CAGCAAGTCCTATCCAGGACCATTCACACCCGATTCTTCAGACCACACGACCGAATAAAATTGGTGTTACTTATGCTGACTTTATTCCTCACAGCTTGGAAATGTTTTACAATTCATGCGAGAAAACAGTACTGAAGAGGGTTCTAAAGGTAAGTTGTTTCATTGCATTTGTCTACCAAGAATAACATAGTTCTTCAGCAGTAAATCGCACGGTTTTTTCGGAGTGCCTTCTCGATCATCGTGATCATAATTGGATTCATGTAATCTCTTACAGGAATTGTGGAAGCTTGTTATGGTAAACATCGAGAAGATTATAGTCTTGCCTCCTCTTCCAGCTATTACGGTAAAGTTACTGGTCGACTTATCCGCGATTTAAGCTGTTTTCATACATTTAGTAATCTTCAATTGAGTGTCGATAGTATTTCAGAATTGTTTTGCTTTTATTTTTCTTCGCTCCATGATTGGTCCAGAAAACTCGTGCCTCTTTTTCAACCAATCAGATTCAAAACTAAACCAAATTGCGTCTTGGTTAACAGCGTTTTCTCGCGCTTTAGACAGTTAACTTGTATTTACTTTGAGTTCTCACTGGCTCCTTATGGTATGTCCCTTGATTCTGATTGGTCGTTGTGACTACTATGGTTTATGTTTTAGGACACTTACTCAAACTTGGCGCTATTTTCCCTTTTTGGGGTGAAAACATCCAAAAATTTCTCAGAAGACAGGTTGCATAGGTTGCAAAACAACTTGAAAACGTTATATTTGGAGAAAGTTTTGGCACTTCACCCAAGACACGAGAACCTCGCCGGGTCAAGAAGTTGTGTTTGTGGGCTCTGACAGTGCCACTCAGGAGTATAAATCAATACCGGAAAACTGACATGAAGACAACAAGAATTGTGGGGTGTAGGGGAGGGGGTGTCCTGGCTTGTATTAGCAGCTAATTCAGAAGTAGTACTTGTAATGATTAAGGTGTTTTTTTTCTGATACGCAGGAGATGAGTGGAATCACCGGCCAGTCTGACTCCAGAAACATGAGCCTTAAACAATGTGCCGTGCTGGAAACCGCTCTTCTAAAAATAAAGGTAATATAATTAAGAATTTATCACGGCGAGTTGGTTTTTATAGTCAGATGCTTTTGTTAATGTTGGTTGATGAGATAGATTATTGAATTTTTTCCTCTTTGTTCGTCTATTTCTTTGCAATAAAGGATTATTTCAATGCTTCTGGGAAAGGACTGAAAAAGGCGTTTTTGGACAAGTGCGCTAACATGCATTCTCTGAAGTCAGCCTTGTCTTTGTACACCCAGACCACCGATTCGCTTATTAAGGAATTTGTGAAGAGCCAGAACTCCCAAGGTAAAGATAATTTGGTGTTATCATTTGAGTGGATAATGTAAATTTGCCACAGTGAAGAGTTTCTAGAACTAACGCTTCCAGCGTTTCCCTTTTTGGCCCCTTTGTTAGAGCAACGACCCAGACCGACGCAGCACGACAGTTTCTTTAGAATCTTATCCCCATGACTTCCGAATTTAGGTTTGTTGTGGGTTGATAGAGGTGTGTTTTCGATTCAGTGAGATGGGAAATGAATATAGTCATGGAACCTGTTGGTGCGTCGGGAAGGAATTAGTCTAAGATGTTATATAAGGAAGGGAGGAGGGGTGGGTTGGATAGGAAAGGAAAGGGGACTTAGGAAGAAAGAAAGGACGATTCAACAAGTAAAGGAAACGAATGAGAATGCCATCAGGGCAACGTATCGGACCAGTTAGGAGAGATGGGTATCCCTTAATAACATCTGTTGCGATTTCACGCGTTTTTAGAGGATCCAGGAGTTGACGACCCAGTGGGAGAGGTGTCAGTGCAAGTGGACCTCTTCACCCACCCTGGGACAGGAGATCACAAGGTTACTGTCAAAGGTACTGAGAAATAAGGAAATACTAAACCTCAATATGTTACTCCTTTTACTGATGACTTTATTTTGTGATAGAAAGTGTTAAATTTGTTCGTGTGTTGTTGTATTGCAGTTGTCGCTGCCAAAGACCTCAGGTGGCAGTCACCTGGTTAGTAACTTTCTGTTTTAACAGCGGATAGTTTTTTAAAGTTACTTTACATTCACCATGTCACACAAATGGAAAGGAAAGTTCGAGGTAAATGTTGTTCCTGTTTTGTTTTCAGGAATGTTCCGTCCGTTTGTGGAAGTGAACATTGTTGGTCCCAGTCTCAATGGAAAGAAACGGAAGAATTCCACCAGGTCGAAAAACAACAACTGGTCTCCGTTATACAACGAAACATTTTTCTTGTAAGTTGGAAGGAGAAGGTCTGAGTGCGGGAAGTTTTTATCGTAGGAACCAGGGCAGTTTTCACCGGGGATGTCAATTGTGTTGGTTGTGCTTTACTTAGCTCTCTGATTAGTCGAGAAAAATTCCCTCCACCCTCCATAGCATTTAGATTCGAAACTCAAACCAATGTCGTCTTGATCTCTCCCATCTTCCCGCGCTTTACGCAGTCAACCCTTTTTCTTTGAATTCTCATTGGCTCCTAACATTTCCCTCTGATCTGATTGGCCGGTTTGTTTCCTTTGATATTGATTTCACGCCACTCAATCGAAAAGCCCTTTATGTGCTTAGCTAACCACCTGTTTGCATTTGTTTCCAGTCACTTGGGCAATGAAGATGAGTTGGATTCGTATGAGCTTCAGATATGTGTCAAGGACTACTGCTTTGCTCGGACAGACAATCTTGTAGGTATGACAGTGCTCCACTTGAGGAACATTGCTGAAATGGGATCATGTGCCTGCACCCCGGCCCTCGGACGCTATGTCCAGATGGATCCCAAAGGTTGGACCATTTTAAAGATTCTGTCACAAAGAATGAACGATGAAGTCGCCCGTGAATTTGTGTTGCTTAAAAATAACAGAAGATCAGAGGGTTTTGATTAATTGTCAGGAATTTATCGCTAAATTATAAGATTACCTATGCTCGTATTTATTTATCATAGTTTTGCCGTAAAACGATGTAGACAAAATTGAAGCCCAATGTTATGAATTATTCTGTAAGTTTCAGTTATGTCTGATATTCGGATGAATAGAGAAATTTTGGAACTTACTTAATAAATATATGCTGGCCATAAGAATTTTTTTTACAATTTAATATATAACATAACCGATAAAATAGGACAAAAATAAACAGTAAATTGATTCCTATTATTGAATTTATTGTTTCATTCATTTAAAAGTCATGATTTGTCTGATTGGATTGCTCCTGTGTGGACGTTATTTCTGGAAAGCATGGAAGTTATGTAAATATTTGCGTAGTGCTAACTTATGATAAACATGCTAAGGGAATTTTTGGCGGATCTTCAAATATTTGATGGCAAAGTAATGTCGTAAACTTCCAGTATTGACATTGGTTAGGTGGAATGTATTTAAATTGTAACTAGAATGTAGTTGAGATTTAGAGAATTATCCTAACATTTCCTCGTATATGTAAAGTATCCTTCATATTAAGATAGTTCTGCAGTACTTAAAGCTGATTGTATAAATTTGGAAAAAGTCTGCACAAAGTTACGAAAATGACTGTCGATAGTAATCTGGGATAACGTTGGTTTTGTTTCATTACGGTCTCTGATTAGTCGAGAAATTTCACTAGACCTCTCAGTCAATAATACGTTAAAATAATGGCCAATCAGGAGTTGGTTAATTTCGCTTTTTGATGGGTGGAGGTTGTGGTAGGGTAGGTGTGAAATCACGCGAGGGAATGTTTCCTCTCTCGCAGATGCTCGCACAAGTTGCGCTTTGGTTTCACACCCCAAAAGTGTTTTCCATCGTCAAGTTCTGATTTGCAGGAAATTTTGTTAACGAACTGCAGGTTGGCAATTTACTGTGTAAGAAACGTCGCCCATGAAAATGATATAACTAAATTCAGGAAAAATGAATCTTGAAAGTGGTTTTCATTGTCACTCACGCAACCACGCCTTTTGGACGTATGGCGTGTTTGCACCGCTGCGATCAAATTTTCGACTGTACCGGCTAAAATTCGTCCACGATTTCTGCGTTCGAATTTTCTTAACAGCCTGTGTACAGCAACCCCCTACCCTCTAAAAGATAATCGGAGTTTTAATCTTCTTTTGGAAGGTAGGGGGCGTTTTTATACAGACTAATTTTGAGTGGCTAGGCGTATAAATTTATGAACGGTTAGCAAAGTACCGCATGAGCAGAATATCCAAACGCACGAACTTTGAACCAGAAGGAAATTAATATAGTGTTGTTGTAACTCAGCTTAAAGCATTTCCTGGTGCACTTATAGAAGTACATCAGTTTAAAGACATTAAGGGACATATGTATCGTAGTTAGTACCGTAAGGCTTAGACACAGGATAAAATAATGATTGTCCAATGAAGTGGACATTTACTATCTAGAAAAATTATTATGCTCCAACTTTGTTTTAAAATTCATTAATTTTCGATATACGTAACTTCTGTGAGTTAATTATTTCGGGTTGGATACGTTTTCCAGTTGTACAGAAGGGCGTTATTTTTGATAATGGAGAATTGAATAAAAGAAAGTTGCCGTAGATGTTTCCTTTTAATTAGACTTTGGGTTTGTTAGCAACTCCAACTAAGAGTATTTTATGCCACTTTCAGTGGCATAAAATACCTGCTAGTGCCCATGCACCCACCCTTTAATACCACCCCACCCATTTTCTCTAGTACCCATGCACCCACCCTTTAATACCACCCCACCCATTTTCTCTAGTACCCATGCACCCACCCCTTAATACCACCCCACCCATTTTCTCTAGTACCCATGCACCCACCCTTTAATACCACCCCACCCATTTTCTCTAGTACCCATGCACCCACCCCTTATTACCACCCTCACCCATTTCCTCTGGTGTCCATGCAACCACCCCAACTCATTTCCTCTAGTGCTCACACACCCACCACAAGTGCTCAAGCACCCCCTTGCCCATCCCTTATTTTATAAAATAGTGAGGATACAAAGAAAACCTGTTTCTATTGCCACTTTATTTAAAACTTTTTATGCTTCAACTACAGTGGGATCAGTATAAGAAAATAATGAGCACCCCCTCTATTAAGCACCCTCCCTCAGAAGTGCCCCTCCTATCAGCCAAAATTTTAAATAAGCACCCAGGCTCTTATTCAAAGAAATACAGTATGTTTGGAGTACATTGACATTTGTGCAAGGGCTACCAGCATGTAGCCAGCACATCACAAGTGGGAAAATCTCTCTGCTACCCAAGCTGTCTATGAAATCTGTGCTTATGTCTAACTATCCTGACAATATCATTAGAATTTATAATTTCACAAACACAGACCTTTCCTCTACAGTGTCCTTTATTTCAGATAGGCAAGTCTTAATTTCTGTTTACAAAATCAATACAATACCAAGCATTTAAGTTTAAGATGATTTAAAATCCAACTAAAAACCACACACTTGGATGCACCAGAGTGGAAATAGTGCAGCTGATGATTATCACTACTTAAAATTAAAGATTCATTGTTTAAAACAAGTTTTTCTGTTCTTGTTGCTGTTAATTTGAGATGAACAAGCAAAATTGTGGGGACATTACTAGGAAAACCAATACTTTTAGACCACCAGGGCCCAGTTCTCAGAAGGGCAAATAACACTATTCAATGGATAAATATCTGTCCAGCAGGTATGTGCCTAAAGATTGTACTGGACGATCCACCAGAGAGAGATTTATCCAGTGGATAGCTTTATCCACTCTTCAAACTACATGGAGGCAGATGTCAGTGACATTGGGGTCGAGATATTCAAAGAGAGACTAAAATAATGAGAATCCAATGGAAGTCAGAAGGGGCATGATATCAAAATAACAGGAAGTTTAGAACATTTGGGGAAATAGAATTCACTAAGGTACCCTGGTGGTGGTTCAAAACAATGTCACACTTATCGGAGACAACCATGTGTGAAAACAAGCCCTGTGACTTATGTCCTTAAGGTGATTGTAGACACAAAAATGAGTACTTATTATTGTGTTCACTTTAAAAATAAATATTAGTTTGTGTTAGTTCAACTATTCACTGTTGATTACGACACACAGGAATTTCCAGTCAAAGATTGAGTTTGCAACCTCACAAGAATGATGTATTTTTACACAAACATGTTGACGCTCACAGGTAATAAAAATCTCATAATTCTACTCAGCCTGAGCTGTGTCTAGTCTGGTGGGCTGTATTCCTCATCATTATCCAATCTTTTGGCCTTTCTTGATGGATTTAGTTCTGTGGTTTCTGGCAGATCAGCACTATCCACATCACGTTTTTTACCAGATTGGGTGTTCTAAAGTCAAAACAAAAAATATTCTGAGTTAAATCTGAATGAACTGTAAGCATGAATTGCGCAAAGTGCTTAAAACGAGTGAACTTTGGTTCCAATAATTTGGGAACCTCCACAAAAATAAATTAAATTTCAAATAAATCTTTCCTGACTTATCAAAAGCCTTATTTACACTGGTGTCTATATTTTCAAAACAACAATAATGATTACAGTCTTAGATTTCTCCACTGTCTGTTTCAGTCTTTGCAAAATATTTACTAGATGCAGGTTATCTGAGTATGAAATTTGGTTCAAATCCAAGCCTATGCATTCATTTTCAGTTTAATAAGTTTAAAGCTGTCCTGTTTTGACTATGATTGACCACATCAAACTTTAATCTGGCTTGAGATAACCTTTCATTAACTCAGATTTAATAAGCTTGAGTACTAAATATTTCTTTTTCATCTTCGCTTAGCTCATTTAACACTTAAAGTAAATTTACTGAAAATAACAAATGTAATAAGATCAAAACCCAAATGTTTTGCTTTGAAATTTCAATTCCCAATTAAAGGATGTTCCTTGAGACAAGCCCAGGTATATGTAGCAGTGCATCATTTTGCTAAATTTGCCTCTAATATCCACTGATGATAAAGTGTTCCAGCTTATTTTAAATATGACAGGTGGAATAAATTAACTGATAAAGCAATCTTTCACCAGTTGAATTTTCAAGAATTCCAAGCAATTTTAGAGGATAATAAGAAGTACTGCAGGTGGTAAATTTTACCAGCTACTGCCTATAAAGGAGCACATTGATAATACCAACATCACTTGTTTTAAAAAACAAAGTTTTCTTACTTCAACTTCCCACTGCTGGTGTAGATATCTCAACAAAATATTTGCTTTATCTGTAACAATGACTAAAATAAGACAGAACAAAAACTATTCTCAAAATCATTCACCCACTAGCACAAGGATCACTATTGATACTTATCTCACAATATATTAGCTTGTAATCATGGTCACGCCTTAATTATTAACAGTGCAGCATGAGTGCACCCCCCTTCCACTCCCCCTCCTACCCTCTGCAAGACGTTCCTAGTATTGTTGTTGTTATTATTCATTGTGCTATTATTGCTGGTGATCTTATTTGTAATACTGATTATGATCACCATGATGGATAATAATGAGGTGGAAGAGGTGGAGGGGGTGGAGGGGGTGGATGGGGTGAAGGGGGTGAAGGGGGTGGAGGAGGTGGATGATGACAATATCACTAAAGCCCCAGTGCTTACAGTGGCTGGGTAAAATGGGAAAAAGGCACCCAAAAGTTTATGGTGTTATGTCTCAGTGAACACTAAGAAACAATGTTGCCTTCCCTTTTCAAGATCCAACATAATCGAAAAATATGAGCATTTTTTTAAAGAATTCTTTCATTACGAACAAAGGTGTCCCTTGTATTGTACCTTGTTCAGCTGCTCCATCTTCTTTAGTTGGCAAGTACACAACAGGCCTACGGTTCTAATGAAAAAAAAAACGTCCATGAAATTTTTGATAGATCACGTATTACAAGAAACTATATAATATTAAATAAAAAAAAAAAAAAGTATTCCTAGCGAGTTAGAATATTAATAATGTACACACACAAGAGGCTACCATATTTCGATCGGCAGTATTCGGTTACCGAGTATCTTTCACCGTGATCATCATTGATGAGATGTTAAAATGAACCAAACAAGAAATTACAAATGTCAAGAATTCGAAACACGTTTCTTGCTTCCTTTATAAATTTTACGTGAATATATTTTTTTACATTTGTTAACGTTGTCGTTGCCTACTTCAGACTTAGTTTGCGCACCACAGTCAAACTTTTCAAGTAAAATAAAAAATACAATCATTCCTCTTGAAGATTTGCTACTGAAGAAACAAAATTTAGAACAATCGTAAAGAAAGAGAAGTTAATTTCAAGCAATCAAAATTCAAGAATTAACGAGGTTTACACCTACCGTGGGCTTGGAACTAGAATCTGTGCAATATTTTGAAAAATTGCGCTGATTAAATGATGGTAGTTCCTTTAGGAGGTCGCCCTAAACACAAATGAACAAATTTCCTCAGATATAGGCTAATAGTAAAAGCACAACTGTGAGAATATTTAGTTACACACCATGCTATCTTCGCGAAATTTCCAACATGTATTTACAAAAGTATCTGCGCAATTTTATTTATAGATCTGTTGTTACGCGCATCCCTTTTGAAAGTCATTCGTGTTGCCGAGTCGCGGGCGCCATTTTTTGGTATCCAGGCAACGCTTTAGGAAGCAAAATGGCGGACGTTAGTTCACCAAATCCAAGTAGTGAACCCGAAAAACCTACCATAGAATCGTCTGATTCGTCTGCTGCAGAGTTGCAAAAGAGAATTTCAGATTCTTTTGATATATTTGATCACGAATCTAACAAAACTGTTGACGTTAGGTTAGAAAGTCACAATAATATTTCATATCTAACTGGCACTTTCATTTGACAAGTTTTTATGTTTCTAAATATCTAACTGTGATCTTGTACATTTTAAGAGAGGTTGGGACGATTGTAAGATCGCTGAAGTGTTGTCCTACTGAGGGAGAGCTTCATGACATTTTAGCCGAGGTATGTGAAACACTGATTTTCTTTATCAGGGGTAAGTTTCAAATGAGAGTGATTAGAAATATGCCTAATTTGCCTTTTTCAATGATGTTGAGGTTCTATGCTTATTTGTTATAGGTAGAGGAGGAAGAACCAACAGGATACATAAGATTTGAAAAATTTGAACCTGTTATGTTAAAAACTCTTCTGGAGAGAAGGTAACTTAAGGAATGTTCTAAAATTGATGGAGTTTCATGTCTATTTTAACTCTTGAAATTAACCTGTTCCTTTTCCCACCAGGGAAAAAAAAGAAGATGCTCCTTTTTGGCTTAGTCCACACCCAAGTTAATTCTCAATTTAATTTTTGATAGATACAAACCAGCACCTGAGGACCAAATTATGAAAGCATTTGAAGTTCTAGATCAAGAAAACAAAGGCTACCTTACTACAGAAGAACTTACAAAATACATGACTGAAGAAGGTACATGGAGCTTTAAAATGGAGTTAGTAGTTGGAACATCATGTTTTCACCTTCCTGTTTTGTTTCCCAAGGATATCTCACATGTTTGTTATGTTTATGCCTGTTATCTCACAGATAACAAGAGTGTAGATAGGATTCTCCCATTGGGGGTGGGTAAGGGGGGGGGTTGAGCTGTACACTTGAGTCTTACTGTCATTGGGAAATCATTAGGTTGTACATAACCTCGTTTGTGCCTTTTTGGTATTATGGGTACACATGGTCAGATGCATCTTTTGACCCCCTCCCCCCAACCACACTCTGCATAGCTCAATTGGCAGTAACACCCAACTAGTAACTGGAGAGGAAGGATTCAAATCTTGTCAATCAAAGCCTGTGTTTTTTCAAATGTCTTAATGTAGTCCTGTGAGGATCATTTCTGTACTTGTACATTGAAAAGGTTTTCAATTGATGACCTGCATCATCTTTTATGTTCACAACAGGTGAACCTTTCACACAAGAGGAAATGGAGGAAATGCTTTCTGCTGCTGTTGACCCAGACAAAGGGATTATATTTTATAAGGATTTTGTTTCAATGATGGTAGTAGATGACTTGTAACAGGACAGAATTGCAGAAATTTCATTTAACTGTGCAGGGTTGTCTATTTTCATGCCAGTTTTGTATAGATAGCTTAGATTTAATTTATTGTGTGATACCAAAATGCCATAGCTTCTCAAAGACACTTCAGTTTTTTAAGTTTGACTGATACCAAAAGATTTTTGTCTTTGTCTTGAATAAAAGGAAAATATGTACCTATACTACAAGATACATTTAAATCTAATGATGGCACTGTAGTTATGTATAAATATTTTGAATTTGTATTAAAAGGAACACTTTCATTTAAATCTTCAACTATTTTTCATTTGAACCTTGGCTGGCTGGGGTGGGGAATTTTAACCAGAAGTGAACTCTTGTTCATTGAGTAGAAAGTCACGGTTGCTGATTTTTCCATAAATTGACCATCAAATCTGGCACTGGGATAGGGCATTTGAATGCAATTTTGGCCCAGGGTAAAAGGAATATGAAAAGTAATCTTTCTTTCTTTTGTAAAAGGAATATGAACAAACCAATCTTTAAAAGTTAAAATGCTGAGGAAGTTGCCCAATTAGCTGGATGGGTCCTTGATTGGTGGTGGGTTTATTAATTAAAATGTTTTTCTAAGCCCCCCTAAAAATGTTGAGGGGAGAGATACAAAATCATGGCGACGAACGACAATTATTGCTGCCAAAGAAGATTTCACCTCATTCTTACCTGTAGTCAGTCACACAATTTGTTGTTGTTTTTTTTAATGAGCGTTGCGTGACAATCGTGACTGTTTTGTTGTTTGGCGCGCGAACATGGCCTCCGCGGAGGGAGAAAGCGAATGCACGGAATTACTCACAGAAGCTTTGATTAATGTACAAATTCATAACAGCTACACCATGGATGAATTTAAAGAACTATTTCCCAGAAAGTACCGGTACGTTTTTTCGAGAATCTTGGTTGATTCGCATAGCTTTAAGAAGAGACAATTAAGATCTCCTCGTTATTTCGTGTCAGGGACCATAAAGATGTGAAGGTTTTGTACGAAGCCTATCAAAGAAAGCGAAAACAAACAAGAGACAGAGTCCGGACGAATATAAGATCGTTTTGTAGGCAACGTGATCAACAGGTGAAGTACTCAGTTACTATCCATAAAAGTTTTTAACCGTTCAGTACTTAGTAGGCTAGCTCAAATCTTGATCTTGACAGTTCTCAAGCTCTCTCCTAACCTTTGCGATAATGTAATAAGACAATTTCTTTAAGTATCCCACTAAAATTTTTTTAGTTCTTCTATTTGTCAGGACGATGCATATGATAGTAAACATGAGGATGAAGCGTGGGAATTAGAACAAAGAGAGGTGGTCCTGCAAGAGGTTTGTGAATTACACAAAATTGATTTTATCTTTCAAATTCTTAGTGATGTCAGCGCACATGTCAGCGGACTTGTTATTGTTAGGCCGCCATGTTTATGTTGTTCAGTATGTAAGCACGAGGTCTTGTTGAATAAAGCCTCAATTGTGCAAGGATCGAACTTCTATTTCATTACATGCATATTCTCCATACTGTTCTCTATACATTTACTGAAGTACTCACAAGGAGAATTTGTTTATCAATCGAGAGCTACTTAAAAAGTCAGTGGCCATTTACCTCAATGTTTGATTCAGGGGTGATTTTTTTACGGAGAAATTAGGTGCTAGTCACTCTTTGGAGTCAAAAGGTTAATCATGGAACTGAATTTTGTTTATTTTCACATCATTTCAGGAAATAAATTCAATGCAACAATATATTGATGAACTTCAAGACAAACTCGGGAGGTGAAAATCCATATTACACAGTTCCTTTTTTTTTTACCTTCCTTGTTGTCTAAATTTCCTGCAGACCTTTAACATAACTGGTTCAATTTTTTTTTTCAGTTGTGCAGATGCCTTGGAAAAGAGAAAGTTCTTTTCTGGCTTGCATACAACAGATTTTGATGTCAACAAATTTAAGGAGAAAAATTGGTGAAACATGGACAGATAAAGCTAAAAGGATTTTGAAAATCATTCACTATAATTTCTCTTTGAATTTCATCTTTTTGTAAATAATGTTAGGCGATACAAACTGGTACATAAAGAGTTACCGTCAATGGAAACTTTGTTTTCTTTGTGCTTGGCCTTTTTTACCCTTAGATCAGTGTGCATATTCTCCATACTGTTCTCTATACATTTCCTTAGGAGCTTATAAGGAGATTTTGTTTCACAATCAAGTGTTTCTCCAATTGGTGATCATTTCCTTCATTCCTTTGACCTTAATGTGTGATTCAGAAGTGATATTGTAAAGAGAAATTAGAGGCTATAGCCACTCTTAGGGGCTAAGGGACAAGAAAGACAAATACCACTGGTTTGTAAAAAAAAATTCTTAAACACATCACTTTAGTAAATATTCCTTGTAAACAACAAATAAAATAAAGAAATAGTTTTTAATCTACCTCTAAGCTGCCCTCCTATTTACAATGTATAATTGTTTCCTGAAGATTTGATATACATCACTTTTTTTTTACTATCTTTTAAAACTGCTTCTTTCTATACATGAAGTTGATATATTGAGTTCAAAATATGAACTCACATGTTCATCAAAATCTCTAAGATTCAACAAAAGAGAACTGTTATCGTAATTTTTTGGTAAATAAATGATATTGTCCTGGTTGAGCAGGACGCCCTTAATACATTTTGGCAGAACAAGAAAGAATGAGAGCAAATTTGTCCACCATTAGTTATCAAATAAACAAGCAATTCAGAAGCTCAAGTCATGAGTCAATAAAAGATCTAATTCTGATCTCCAAAGGGACTCAAACATGTAACTGGTTAGTGTAAAATCAGGGTACTCATTCCATTTTGGGACTCAGAATTGACTCTCAATTGTTAAGACTGAATTTTGGATATTTTTGGTCCACATAATATCCAAATAAATTTGTTTCCTTAAATACTAAATATATAAACTCTGAAAGAATCTTTTTTCTTGATAAACATAAGATGAACCAAGTTAATCAAAGGCCATGAAATTGTTGTTGAGGATTGCTCTGAATCCTTTGTTCCCCAAGAGCTGGTAATTGTTGAATTCCACTTCTTTTTCGTCCTTGTACACCACTAAGATTTGGGAAAGACTGTAAGAAAAACAAAAAACAAAAAACAGAAAAACTATATTATTTTAAAACAAACAAAAAATATCCCCAATGCAAGAGTCCCATCTGATGAGAAGAGAAATCATGGTTTACATGTGTCTGATGGCTTGATAACCAAATGCTGTTTGGAAAATTAACTTGTACTCCAGAATTACTGGGGTGGTGAAAATCAAGCCTGGCATGAATGTTGCTTTCAAGTTCTCTCCTTTGATTCTCAAAGCAAGCTTACAGAAACTTCAAGGTATCTGAGGTATCTTATTTATATCTGAATACAATAATCTTTTCCTGAAGCCTCAGTCCTTTAGTGATGGAAAAAGAAATGGGAAACACAGAATCAAGGCAGCTGTAGTGTAGTGGGAAGAGCCAATGTAAAGGAAGGAATTTTTATCAAAAGAGGATGTCAACCCTCAAGACATTTGAAATTACCTCCCTTGACCCTTTATTTCCCAGAAGTGATAAACATGCAACTTCTCCCTGTAATATCTGTAAATTATCCATTAAACAGGTAATGAGAATTCTGGATCAATATCAGTATCTGGGCAACTGCCCACCTACCCCTCCCCTAACCCAACATTAACCCTAACTTGTTATCAATTGACTGTTGTTGAGTTAGGGAAGGGGTAGGTGGGCAGTTGCCCAGATACTGATATTGATCCAGAATTCTCAACCTTATCTTTGGTAAAATTTGCTATCTTGATCCAACACCAAATTCTTGTAACTCATTAACAAGGAAATGTGTAGCAGCTAGTAAGGAGAATTAACAATGGGAGTTGAAGTTGAAGGGTTTATTCTAGACACCTTATAGCCGTCAGTTGAGTCTTAAAAGTGAGGTCACCTCTATCCAACAGTCACCCCTCTAATATGGACACTTAGCTTTGTAACTCAATTACTTATCATTGGTTGCCATATCAACTCTACTGTTACTACTTACATTGTCGTGAACAAGATTAGAGGATGTTTTCCTTCCTTTTGCATCAACAATGACAGGCTTATGATCAGTAAACATTCGATTGAAGCTCATTTCCCTGTTGCTCAGCTCCAGACGATAACGCTGCACTTCTCGTCTGAGACGTTCAAGCTCATCATCTCTCTACAGTGGATACAGACCAAGCCTAAGTACAAATTTGATAACAATTAAAATATCCCCCCCCCTCCCTCCTTCTCCTCAACACTTGAGTCAGATAAGTAATAGATAGCCTAAATCAGTCCATACTCCAAATTAATGAGATAAATTTTTCGCATTTGATTTTAAAATTTTCCATCCCTCTTTGGTTTCAGATACATGTAATAAATTCTCAAATTCCAAGGCTTTGGGCTTAAGCTAAGAACAAAAGAAATGAATTCATCAAAACACGCGAGCACAAAAAGAAATATTTTGGAAGGGAAAGTAGTAATTAGGAGGACCAAACATATTTTTTTATCCATTGTTTTAGTGTGAACAAAGACTGAAAATCTTGGAAATCTAGCTAAAATTTTCTAAAGTGGTGTTGTAATAACACTGCAATATCAACCCTTTCACTCTCGAAATCTCATCAGTAATTCTCCTTACTGTCTGCCCTACAATTCTTGTGGCATTGGTTTAGAATCTGATTTTGGATCAATTCATAATCTCATTGATATTTTTCTTTTTTCTCATCACTTGTCTGCTTGATATTGTAATGATATTGTAATGATAATTTCTGTTTTGGTCACTCATGGGAATCAAAGGGTTAAACAAAGTTCTAAACTTAACATACATCAATTGGTGATGGTCGGGGTACTTCAGGACTTCCTTTAGTCACTGATCTTGGGGATCTTTTTGCTTCCTTTCTTTTGTTTCTCTCGTCAACATATTGTTGAATTCTAAGTTCTAACTGATGTTTTTCATCTTCAAGCTCCTTTACTTGTTGATTCAACTGTTTATTTTTCCATTCAAGTTTTTCAGCCCTCATTTGGTCTTCTCGTTGCTGTTTTGTGTATTCTGCAATTTTCTGACCAAGTCTCTCAATTTCATCCTGCCAGTCTCCTCGCAAGCCATCAACACTTGCTTCAAGCCTCTGCTTTTTTTCCAATACATCTTTTAATTCATCCTCCAATGTTTTTACTTTTGATTGAAGATTATCAACTTGATTTTGGCTCTTCTTTATCTTGTCACTTTTAACCTTGAGTTTTTCTTTCAAGTTATTGTTCTCTTTCTTTACATTTTCCAGTTCAACTGACAAATGATCATACCCAGAGTTTACATTATCCATAAGGCTTTCTTTCAATTCTACAATTTGTTTTTCAGCAATCATTAAAAGTTGATCTTTATGCTCTAACTGAGTATTTAATTCTGCCTCCCTATTTTGAAGATCTTGGATCTGCTCTTTGTCTTTCTCAATCTCTGTATTTTTCAAGTCCAACAAAACACGGTATTTTTCTAGTTCATCAAGTTGTCCCTCCAACCACGAAATTTTTCCTTTTGCTTCTTCAAGAATACCTCTTATCTCATGTTCATATGCAGTTTTCAATGATTCTACTTCAATCTCGCGCTCGTGGTTTCTCGTAAACAGCAAGTGAATGACCATAGTGAGTTCAGCTATCTTCCGTGATAGTTTTCCCTTCAAGTCGAGTTCACGTTCTTTATCTCTGTGGTGAGCCATTTTGGATTATTTGTAGACAGCCACACAGATGAGAACTGGTTTCTCGAAACAGATGATATTTGTACGATATGACATCCAATTATTTCAATCGTGCAAATTAAGCTTATGCCGAAAACATCGAATTCATCACCTGAGTTCAAATTGGCGAAGGTTATGTTTGATGAAGAAGAAATCCATACCTTTTTTTCCACGTCGAAGGCGAACTGTAACGTGAAATGCAACTCATACTGCGATCACAGCGACAGCCGTTTGATTAACTGCCCTTTAGCTCTCCGTTTTAAATTGGGCAAACTCGACCATGTTTAAACAGATTCAACTTTCTAACGTCGCTCCAAAAATCTTTCTGGCAATTTTATTGCGCGTGCTGTTGATCTCTTGTCAGTGATGTGTTGAAAAAGATTGACTGGACTGTTTGAATTTTCACAGCTTGTGTCCTTTGAAAAACAGACCAAAGTGTTGATTAATAAATTCAAGAGAGAGCAATGGACCAACACATATGTTGCTAAGACGTAGTGGGAGGAAGGTTTTGAGCTTCATTTGCATGACAATTGCCCAAAGTTGGAATGCTACATAGGTGCAAATTAGGTCCAGTTACCTATTCGTTCACATAAATCCGCTGTCCCGGCAACAAAAGTTAGCTGCCCGCTCTGTTTACACAAGAGTTGATGAGTTTTCAAAGCAGAAATAATAACTCTGAGTGTCCGCCATGTTGGACGCTCGGCGTCGTAAGCCTGGCCCTAGTTGTTTTGGTAAACAGATGAAGGGGAGGGGACAAGATGAAAAGGAACCAAGACATGGAAAGGTTGTTGTCTCAAAATGAAAGAGAAAAGGTATAACGGTACGACATGTTATGTAACGACTCCGTATAGATATCAAAACTTTAACAGAACCAGAAGAAACTATGAAAAATTACGTGAAAGCTGAAAAACGAGTCAAAAAATATTGTAAAGTGGTACCTGAGTACTTGTGAAAGTATTTAATTGAATTCACTCCTTTCTGTTACTTTGTGATTTAAAAAAATAATCGGAAGAAATCAGGGATAAGGGGGACGTTTTGCCTAACCGCGCGGAGATTGGGAATAGTAATAGAGGTCTCATACAGTTACTTACACAAAGTAGAAACCAAAAATTTTTGAAAAATGGCGGAATTTTGTGAATTCATCGCTGTGTCGTTTTCAAGGTATTGGAGCCACAGATAGCGAGTGAATAGCTTACTGGTAATTTAATCTGGTGTAAATGGGGCTGAGTGACGGAATTTTGGTAGTTGTTTCGGTTCTTGAAGGTAAGTTTGTCAGAAAATCCTTCAATTTTCGTCTAACTTCAGGGTTGAATTGACCATATTTTAAATTTGTTAAATGTTTGTTATGCGAAAATTTTGTGATACATTCAGGGCGAAGATTTCCTAAACGACCACGACACAAGATCATTGTCGAAACAAAGTTTGATGGAGAAACTCTGACGACAGATCCCATTGATCATGTGGAAACCCCAGAGTTCACAACTGAACTTGCTTGGGAATTGAACAAAAAGTCTTTGCATCAGCATCGCTTGCAGAGAACACCAATCAAAATCCAGGTGAAATATGTGCAACACAAGTGAATTGTATTTTGACAGGCTTACAGATTATAAAATATTTCGTTATTGCACTTTTTTGGTTTGTTTTTGTTTGTTCGTTTGTTTGTTAATGATAGGGTGGAGTGTAGGGAGTTGATCTTGCACTGTTATAATGTGAACCAAAATGAGATGTTGTAACTTAACCGCTGTTAACCCTTATGTTTCCAAGATCTTGTTGATAATTCTTCCCTCCCGCTGCTACACATTCCCTTATAAATTAGTTACAATAATTTGGTGTTAAATCAAGATAGCTAACTCTACCTGATAAGTTTGAATATTCTCATTACCTGTTTGCTGGATAATGTATGGATATTATAGAGAGAAGTTAAATGTTGATCATTTCTGAGAGTTGAAGGGTAACGAGAAAAAAAGGAAAGATTTCCATATAACCACATACTATTCTTAAGCAAAGCTGTTTTCCTACAGGTAATCTGTTGTTTCACCTTTAGTTTCTTCTATCCAAGTATTGTGGCATAATGAAGTATGGGGTTACACAGAAATCTTTCCAGACAAATGTGCATCTCTTTTACATTAGTTACAATGTCAAGCTACTTCATTGCCAAATTTACTCAACTTGATTTGTCATCTTTTCCTTTACTGATTTCAATATGTTCCTAAATTTGCTGGTTATCTATATTTTGGACAGTGTTATGCTCTGGATACTCTGTCATCTCAGAAGGAAGCTGTTGGATATGTGATCCTAGATTTGCGGACAGCACAACAAAAACCAGTGGCAAGTATTCAGTGTTATTCAATTAAAGACCTTTAGAAAGAACAACATTAAGAGATTAAGAAATGCATGCAAAGTGATAATCTAAGAGAGTGAAATGCTATCAAAGCATGGTGAAATAAAAATTACCATTTTTATTTTAGAGAGCACAATGGTATTCCCTCCTGAGTACAAAGTACCAAAGAATGAAACCAGAGTTGAAGTTGATGTTGTCATTAGAAGATGACACTCAGTCTAAACAGACTGAACAACAGTCACAACAAGAAGATGAGAGTAAGTTAGAAAAAAAAACAAATGAGAAATGATTTTTTTGACTAGAGATAAGGTTGAACTGTTTTAAGTAAATCTTTTCCCAAGGAACAAAACCTCAGTTTCATGAACAACATTTTTCAGCCTAATTCAATAGTCTCATTGTCATCCTTTGATGTTGGTATCTCACTTCTAAATATCAGTAATTTGGAACGATTGTTAAGAAGGGTAGAAGTGGAATTATTGCTTCACCATTTCATTGTTTTAGTTACTATTAAGAATTAATGGGATGTCACAATCAATGACCGTAAATCATTTATTAACTAACCACAATTTTGTTTTTTTTAAAGCCTGTCTACATGTACCAGACTACTAATAAAATTTAAATTTCATTGAATATGAAATATACCTAAATGCATTCAAGGTGTTGCTTAGAAATCATCTCATGCAAACTGTTTTATTATTGACATTTAACTTTCTAAATTTGACAGATATTTCAAACTAATTAACAAATTTTGCTAATGGCTGGACATGTTTTTTTCTCTATGCCTTCCAAAGGGCAACACCTAAGACCCTCTCCACCAAGAAAACCAGAATCTGATGGGATACAGTGTCTGCTTAATGAAGACCAAGGGTATTATGAAATTGGACCACAACATGAAGATGACAAGATTTTTATTTTGTCCGTTACAATTGGACTTGCCTCTAATTTAGCCAAGGTAGATTTGCTTAATAATTTATGTAAATCTCTGACATTTTGATCATAAGTCATAAATGATGCCCTTAATTCTACAAATTTCATGTAATTATGAATTACAATAGAGGAAACTCATTATTTGATGAGTCACCAATCTCCCTTTATGCGCCGTTGCATAGCTGGTCACCAGCCCTTCTCATTGCAGAGAACAGGTTGTCCAAATAGTAAATGTAAAAATTTGCTCCCTAGACATATTAAGAGATGAATTATCTACAACAGTGCCAGTCTGACATTAGAGTTCCTACTCAGGAATCCACTTCTGCTATGAACAATAAAACAAGACATTCCCTTTGAAATAATTGATTTACACTTTTTATCATTGATTGGGTTTTTTTTTTTAACTTAGTATTTTTTTCCCTTTAGTTGGTACCATCTAGCTTTGCTTTGCCAGATCCAAACCTCGGTGGTGGATTTTATTTTTATTACTCATTACTGAGCAATGATGTGACAAATGAAGTCTTTCATGATCTTCTTCAACCAAACTTTCCTGCTGAGCGAGCTTCAGTGAGAATAAGAAGTAACTTGGAACTTCTCAGAACATTTTTCACCCAACATTCAGGACTGGAGGTAGATCTTATGTATACTAATTCATATAACAATTAATTTTTAAATCCTGAGATCTTTCATCAACAAAATCCACATTGATGATTAAACAATTATTTGTTATCCATTTGATAGTTTTATAGTTTTTCTTGATGAAAACCTTGCCACAATGTAATGGACTAAAAAGTTGTCAATGTGATTTTGGCTCCTCATTCCTGACTGAGAGGAGATTGTTTTCACAATCTTACAGATGAATGTATTGCTAACAGGACTGGAATCACAGAGATGTTAAAATGACCAAAAAAACCTTAATGAATGTAGTGCTAACAGGACTGGAGTCACAGAGATGTTATAATGACAAAAAAAACACCTTAATTTTTTTCTTACAGGTCTATTTGTGTTGTGGGGACCAGTCCTTAGGCAAAGCTGTAGTCTCTTTTCAAGGCCTTCTCAATGAGCAGCAAAACTTAGCATCACCAACTGTAATTGAAGGGCTATTTCCATTAATTGCACCTGGTCGTAGTCGCCAATCTTCAGGAGCAGTAGATGACTCTGAGCCAGCTGTTGGTGTGTCTGTGTCTTTAAGACAAGAGCAACAGGAGACAATGGGAAATGTCACAAGTCCCCCCTCGCCAATTGTTGCTGCAGGAGGAATGGGAAGACAGGTAAACTTTGCCTGTGGCTCATGATAATGATAATATTGATAATGTTGATGATAGTGATAATAATGATGGCGATGATAACACTAGAGATGTACAAAGATATCCTCCAAATTCTTTTTAGCAGTCAATGCTTGTTCATTATTTTGTGCCCAACCATGTTTTTAAATGACATTTTCAGAGGGTACCTGAAGTAGACAGCCTGCCATATGGAAGCAAATCTCCAGCTAAACAGCTTTCAAGCTCCCCTTTTAGAGGAAAGCAGAGAGAGCCTGGTAAAGGGTCAGAGACAGAGATTACTGGAGAGCACCTAAAGGGTACACCACCTCGACCACAATCCAGCACTCCACACAGTGGCCCAGAAAAACCAGGGTTAGAAGGTGGGGTCACTTTGGGAGCTCAAAAGGTACATATGTGGTAGTTTTGTTGTTAAATCAGAGCAGAGCAGAGTTAAATCTAAACCACTCCAAACAAATTTCATTTCTTTCAGAACTCTCCTTCAAAGAAATCGAAGACAGCCCAGGCTTCTCAGCCACAAATATCAGCTCCAGGCCCCAGCAGCACTGTTCCTTTACTTGGAACAAGGCTACCAATTGATCCAGGAGCACACCACTTCTGTTTTTCTATTGACCTGCGCAGTATTTCCAATCTTGATGTAACATCTCCTGTTAACTGTTTCCTCAGGTTTGTCTGTCAAAAATTGACCAAGTTTGTACTAAGTAGACCATAACCAATGGAATGAATAAGATGTTTATTCTCCCTCCAGGTACACATATCCTTTCTTTGGCAGTGCTGCACCTGTTATCACTAGTCCTCCTGTACAAGTCCAACGCAACATGGAAGTTCTTCTACCAAAATCATTCTGTGCCTTTGACTTTGCGTCATCGCCAATACTTCTTCAACAAACTCTCACAAGGTTAGCAAAGATGTCAGCTCTTTGAATTAGACCAATGTCAGTGCACCTACCCCTCTCCTAACCTCATGAGAGTCAACTGATAACAAGTTAGGGTTAATGTTAAGTTAGGGAAGGGGTAAGTATGTAGTTGTTGAGGTACTGACATTGATCCATGAAATTTAAGTTTGCAATCAATTGTCAATAAAACAAAGCTAAAGTAACCAATGGTGACCAATCAGTGAAGAGATTGGCATCACAGGGAGCCAATGACTGAGCTGAAGCATGGGAAGACTCTATTGATCAAATGGGGATTGGTTTTTCTTTGGCATCTGATTTTTTGAGAAGACAGATGTGTGTTCCTGACAGATCACTTTGTGTAGTTAATCAAAAGCAGTTCAGTCCTAGATTACTCGGATTACTCTCAATTTGTTTTTGTTTTACAATAGAGTTCCCCTTGTGATTGAGGTGTGGCATAAAGACAGCATGGCTGGAAATCTTCTGATTGGAGTCTCCAATATGTTGCTGGCCTCTGTCCTAAGTGCCAATAAAGTTCAAGTCTTGTCGCAGGTGAGAGTCAAGTTTAAATTATTTGATCGAAAATCGGTTTGTGCTTCATCAAGGCATGATACACTAGCACAATTTTCAAAGCACAGCTCAAGTGTTTTCAATGAAAAAAAAAAGAAAAAAAGAAAGGGGGGGCAGCGATCTGATACATTTTTTCTCACCTTGACAGCCATTGCTAAATTTTTGCATTTGTCATATTTATATTTCGTGTGGTAAGGGTAAAGAAGTGACTGGCTACAGGCAAATTTATAACGAGAGGGTGATAATCTTCACTACAGAAAAGTAAGTGCAACAGTTTTGTATAGACTCAATAGATAGTTACAGAGTTTGTACAGACCAAAACTTTCTTTATACATCATTTAATTTAGTTGACGTTGCAGTGGGCGAGAGGCTGGGAGGGGTCTGGCTCGAATAATCTCATTTTCATGCCAGAACCCTCGTAGACCTTTCGCACGCTCACAACCATTATAAAAATCAGAATAGTGTTTTGTTTGGTGTGTTTGTTTCTTTTTATGTTTCTTTTTTAATCTTCATTTAACGATGATGACAATGAACCTCTCTTTCTCAGGCCTGCTCGGAGAATCGGTGAGCTTCATGTGGTTCTCGGTTTAGAGGACATGGGCCCAGTGAACATACAGCGCTTGATGGAGGCAAACGAGGTAAGATTAACCCTTTAACCCCTGAGGGTGACCGGGATCTAACTTCTCACTAAGGTATCTGACTGCTGAATCAAACATCAGGCTCATGAGAATTGAGGAAATGATCGTAAACGTGAAATGCTCCTGAGTTTTATTTTAATTCTCCCTGTCAGTGCCATAGGAAATGTATAAAGAACAGTATGGAGAAGATGTATGCTGATATTAGCGCGTAAAGGGTTAAGGAAAGGGGGGGTGGCTTTTTACAGAGACAGGAGGGTGAGGAAGTTTATAGCTGAAACTCGACATGACGCAAATCCTAAAAGATATGGTGTAGAACTCTTAGGTGTGATCAGAAGGAACGAAGCTTTGCGAAAACCAAAATTAAATCTTTGCAACGAACGTTCCTCTTTTTGTATTTTAGTACAGTCTTTCCTCTTCACTTGAAAGTAGCCAGACATCCAGTGCCATTCCTCTCTCTGAGCCGCAGCGTGTTCCGCCCGCTCAGCCCAAGCCTCCTCCTGTTACTGACCCACGTGACACAGAAGAGTACAAGACCGCGCTAGAACTGGAGCTTTGGAAGGAGCAACAAGAAGAGATGTTTCAAGCACAGGTGAAACTCAACTTTGCGATGGAAGAAAGGCACCCCAGTAGAAGACCCTTTGATGAGGAATGAATAAAACCGTTATTGAACTGTTTTCCTGTAATTTCCTGTAAAGTGCACATCTTTCCATAAAAACACAGTCGAACTGAGTAGACAAAAGTAAGCCGTTGAGTCAATGGTCTGCAAAGATTGGTCCCTCTGTCTGTATTGAATATGTTTCCTTTCTGTCAAAACAGATGCAGCATCGAGAAAACTCGCACATGAAAGCTCTTGCTGAGGAATGGAAAAGACGAGATAAAGAGCGCGAACTGATGGTGAAGAAAAAGGTGGAACAGAAACCTCATTTTGTTTAATTATCCATCTATTTTTGCCTTTTAATCTATAGGCTTGATGGAATGACTTTTGAAATGTACTTTTGTATAATTTTTAGCTGGAAGAATATTCAAGATTGGAAGAGAAGATCAAACAGTCCATCGCTGATCTGGAAAGGAGAGAAAAACTGTTGTCCACCAATGAGGCTCAGGTTTGTTAGAGAGTTTTTAAGAGGATTGCAAGATTCTAATTTGATTTCATGCGAATATTCCTCCATTTTAATTTTTAGAAGCTTTTAAAAGTACGTAAGTTAGCCCTTAGTGTTGGACTAGTGTTGGGCTTATGGATCAAATGATGGAAGTTACAATCTTAAAGTACACGGAAGTCGTTAACTTGTGTAAGAAAGCAAAATTGAGGACCTTTGAGAATGGGGAGCATTAGACGCCTTTTGCTTTCGATCGCTTTTAAATAGTTGATGGGCAACGCTTTCAAAATTGAATGTAATGGTTGCCTAGGTGATGCACTTGAAGGAAGAACTGGAACGAGAACACGAACGACGGACTACAGAAATGAGAGAAGCTGCTCGAAGATTGAAAGATGACTGCTCACATCAAGTAGAAATGGAGAGGTTTAGTTTTATTTTTGACTGCCTTTTAACCATTGCTTTGCGCATCGCTGTTCAGCGTATTATTGATAAGAGAGTCACACGCTCGATTCACGTTTTAGGATGAGATGGGGACAAGCGGGGGTGGGGTGGTGGTGGAAGTGATTTTTCATAGCTGACATCGTTGTTGTAAGGAGTCATGATATTTTGCTTCCTCTTGATACCTTCAAAAATCATTGTTTGCTCCTTCCCTTAAAAATATCATTTCACTCCGAGTGTTTTGTGACAGATGCTTTTGGAGTTAAAACTTCCATTGCTAAAAAAGCGATTGCAGACTTTTTAACAGTGATTACAATATAGTAGTAATCAAGGTTTAGTATTCAACATTCCTCTCTCCAGGCGTGTTATCGTTCGCTTTACGAAAAAAATTCGCATATTGACCGAAATATTCATAAAACTCTACCACGCTATTGCATATTTATAGCGCTAGTTGTGAGCTTCCTCCTAGCAGTCAAAGTTACAGACTTTGATGTGAGTAATTTTGTTTCAAGAATGAAAGTTAAGGACCTGGAGGAACAGAAACAGAGACTAGTGGAGCAAGTGAGTGACATTCCTTCTCCGATTGAGTTACCAGTTTTGTTTCGTGGAATTATTGTGTGGAATAACTCGGCATTACTATTTTGTTCAGGTTTACGAAGCAGAGAAACGATATCAAGCGAAAGAGAATGAGTTTATGGCTTACAAGGAACAACAGCTGACGAAACCTGAAGTAAAGCTCGAGTCTGAAATAAATCTTTTAAAAATGGAAAAGGTAAACTATTATTACGAACGTTTATATGTTGTTTAATTATTTCTTTTCTTTTCTGACAAAAATTGTTGAATTGAATGAAAAGGTCTGTTTTAACTGTTATGAGTCATCTTTCCCCCAACAGACAGAACTTGAACGTAAGTTAGAAACGGCGAACAAGTCAAAGATTCACTACAAACAGCAATGGGGCCGAGCGCTAAGGGAACTGGCGCGACTGAAACAGCAAGAACAGACTGCTGCCAGAGCGCGGCTCAAAAAACAAGAGCAAGAGCTGGAACACATGCGCCTGCGTTATCTTGCCGCCGAGGAGAAGGAGGTATATATTGTGTGCGCCTGCTACACCTTTTGCCAGCATAGTTCCTTTTAGTCTTATAATAATTTTTTATTTAATTATTTGTTACAGAGCTGTATTTTTTTCATTATTAAATAAGTTCTATTATTTAGGTTGTTAAATCTGAGAAAGAAGAGCTGGAGGAAATAAAACTTGAGCTAGCCAGGTAAGTAGTTGGTAGTTTGGTATTATTGTTGTTGTCAAATGCTGTAAAGCGTTTTTTAAAATATCCAATAGGCTCTTATTGACCTTATGGCAGGGCTAAAAATTAACTCCAGTGCTTGGTGGCTAGTCGGGCCAGTTTCCTTGAATTCTTAGTGGCCCTATCCCAAAATGAAGTAGCCCTCGCATAATTTACATTGCAACTTTTCGAAATTCTATAGCATAGTCGCACATCGGGCGTTCAAACTTTAACTTTTAGTGGCCCTGGTCAGTTTTAACTCGCCAATGGCGACCGTGCGACCGCCAATTTTTAGCCCTGTTATGGTACGATTATATGAACTTTGAGAGTTCATGGAAGTTTTTTCTTCTCTGCAACAGATTAAAACAACAGGAGGAGGCGAAAGCACGGGTAAATCAAGCGCCGACTGAAGAGCAGGAAAAAACATCAGCCGCCAATTCGTCACAAAGAAGAAGTGTTAAGCATTCACCTGGACTCACATCTGTTCATGAACATGACGAAGAAGACATTGATAGCAGAATAGCGAAACTGATCGAGGAAAGAGATACGCTGTTACATACGGGAGTTTATACCACTGATGATCGTATAATAGTTGAACTAGATCGACAAATAAGAGACGCTATAGCCAGTAGGGGCACGTGATATAAGGGGAGAAGGTTAGGGTTCGTTCGAATTAATCCGGATTGGTTTATTGATTGAAATTTTCTTGATGTGAAAAATCAGGAGTAGTGCGGTGAAGAAAAGAGGGAGGGGAGGGGAGGGGTTTGGGGATGCTAGAGAAAAAAAGTAAGAATCGTTTAAATAAGCACTGCGCACTTCCGGTAGGTCAGGGGAGGGGGGGGGACATTTGAGATTTGAGAAGGGGCCTGGAATCGTTAGACTACGAGCAGTCCCTCTGGGAAGATTCAATTAATATCGGCGAGGCTTCGCTCTCCTAGAGGCCTCGTTGATTTCAACAGACCGCTGATTTCAACCGACCAGCATGACAGTATAGGCTGAAAAGGAGGACTGATCGTAGTGTAGGGAACCTCGAAAAGAGTTGAGTAGTGATTGTGAGCTTATCAATTATGGTCTTTCTTCAATAATCCTATAATTTTGTAGTTACTGATTTAAAAGTCAAGGCCAAGTGTTACAGCTGATCCGTAATCCTTTAAACCAAATGTGGAGCGATCACAGATTTTGTGTTGTGTTTGAAACCGGGTTTCTTACGACACTGGAAGAAATAACTGATTGTTTTTTTCTTATTGACGACGCTATTCGCACAAGGCACAGAACACAATTTTAACATTTTCAATAGCGCGAAGAGACCCTTCCTAACTTAGACCAACTTAAATTCTGAGACCTTTCCGCGGAACTGAAAGCATTGAGTAATTTAATTTGCGAGAACCGTGTGTAAGTGTGTGAGTGTGACTCCTTCATTGAAACACAGTACACACCTTAACAAAATTAATGTCAATAAAATTAAGACATGCAACTAACTCTTCCAGAAATAGAAGCGAGTTCACTTTCAATACGTTTCGTACAATTTAAGAATTTCTTGCGCAATCTCTGCTGCTGCTTGGCTTCATTGCTCGAAAAATTGCATTATTTTTCGGTGACGCCGGTTGAGGTTGTTGCCAAGGAGAGTAAAGAGTCTATCCAAAGGCGTGTGAAAGTGGTTTGCAACTAAAAATCTGTACGCTGTACGTATTCTGCTGTTCAGGACACTCAGACGCACTCTGACTGATACAGCCAAGTTTTCAGTGGGAAGGAGCAGCCTTAACGAAACTTTCTCCCCATCGAACTCCCGCAGACAATGCCATCACAGTTTTTGGATAAAAAACAAAGCAAAACAAAGACGCAAATGTTGTTGATGAAGTATTTTTACTTTCCGAGCATTCTTTGAATCTACTAGTAATTTAAATAACTAAATGAATGCAATTTTCGCTGTTTAAAATCTGAATATAATGCGTTTACAAAGTTTCTTTGTAAATATACATAGGCGTGTCCTTTTTTTGGTTTTAGTTTGTTTAGTTTGACCATTTGTGAAAGAAACTGTGTAGAATTATTTTTGGTAAGCGCACTAACAAACAGCGCCGTAGTAACGGTGGAGCGGAAAAACGACGAAGGTTGGGTCCGGTCTAGAGATCAACTCGACTCAAACCTCTCTTATTTTCCGCTCTGCTGCTTCTGGACGCCTTCTCTTGTCTTATTCGATTTACTAACTGAACGCCTGGAGTAGCCTGGATTTTTGATCATTGTATCACTTTATGGTTGCTTTTTTCCTCATGGGAAAAATTTTGTTCGTACTTTTAAAAAAGAACTCCACTTTAGAAGTCCGGTGAGCGAATGGATGAGTTTACCGCTGGTTGTTTCACAATCTGTTCCTATGTAGACAGAATCTTTTAAAGAAATTGTCTTCAAAGGAGCCAACCACTCCCACTTTCTGCACCTCTTCTGTCTCAAATGCAAATCAGAGTTTGGACTAATTGTGTGTCGACCAAAAACCGCAGAAATACTTGTGGGTTGGGCTTCAACAGCTTAGCATCTGATGCCAAGTGGAAAGTCAAGTTCCGGCCCTGTGTGATAGAATCTAAAGCGAGTGCTCTAGCCCCATTAAGTTTGCAAGTTGAAACTATATTGTAAATCAGTGTTCAATCTTTCGCAGACCTAGAACACATAGCTTCTTTGCTGCGCTTTCGGTGCGCAGATTAATCTGCTCTTTTCAGCCATAACACCACGTAAGGCAGAAGGCCAACTGGAAAAAGATTCGTTCAAACACAAATAGCGTCTGCCGATAAATTTCCATTGAGCATCGTCGCTGAATTGATCCACTCACGAATATTTCAGATATGGTTGAGTGCCTCAAGAATTCTTTTGTGTTCGTGTTAAATAAATTTCCTTTGATATTTCTTTTCGAAAAAAAAAACAAACTCAATCTTTTGGAGATGTGTTTTATAAAGGTGGAAGAGATGACTTTTTATCTGAATAGAACAGATCAGATATAGGCTCAAAGACAAATACACAATTCGTCCATCAATGATACTATATTCTCTTGTCTCTGAAAACCTCAGCGAGCACGAATAATTGAAAACCAGCAACCAGAAAGATAATAATCCAATCAGATCCGTGCGGAGAACAAATCCGTGATCCACGTGGGATGGGCTTATAATTGATTCTAGAATCCGCGAGAAGGGTTCTTCTCTGTTGCTAGACATAAGGCATTAACAACAAATAAGCTCTTCCTGGTAGAGTCATTACCAGTTATCAGCTTACGGTTACGATAGCGAGAGACATTTCGATATTCGAGTACTTCGAGGAGATGAAAAGGACATATCAAAATGAGTTGGTGAGTAACTGTCTGTGAGACTGTTAAATTGTTACTCAGTAGTTCATAGTTTCTGTAGTTCTTGATAGTTCTAATTGGTCACCTGAACAAGCGGAGAAAAGAGCAATCTTACGAGAAGACTAGCGCTGACACCAGCCTTATTAAATAACAAGTAACTCTTACCAGACAAGCAATGAAGGCAACTCTCTGTCTGTTGGCGCTAAAAACAAATAAGTTAGTTGGTGCAATGGGAGGTGTTTAAATCTTTTATCCCACTTGATACACTGCCAAAGTTATAACATGTTGTGGTGAGTTTTGTCAAGATTCATATCATATCTGTGGTGACAGTAGTGGTGAAAAAAAATTTTACGGTTCTCAAGATCACTCAGATACTTGAAGCCTCTCGCAAGCTACAGAACAATCACTTAAACATAATTTACACTGTTTTACTCTACCATTAATTTATACAGTGTTACATTTACAAGTTTAACCCTTCCAATTAATATCATCTACTGAAATAAGACGTGGTTTCTCACACGTAACAGACAAAATTCTTGATCCTTACAAACAATAACATCAAGGCAGGCAAGGTCAGTTTATTTTTATAGGCATTTAAATCACGGATCTTATTAAGGATTCGATTATTTCAGGTCGACTGCTCCTCGACTAAGAGGGCCTTTGCGGCAAGCTCTCAGTCGCAGGGAAAGCGATACATAATAACCTCTGCCGCTGTTAGGAACTGCTTGTACGAAAGAAAACAACTGGTGTTCATCGACGCAAACAAACTACTAAGACTGAATTTTGAGGGCTTTAACAAGCAATTATGTAAGTTTATTCATTCGTAAATCCGTTATTTTACAGGCTTAGTCTCTCCTAATACGTAATATTTTAGATTTACTCACGATACCGGATATAGCGTGTTCGCGAACTTTTCAAGTCAACCATAGCCTCCCTTCTGGCACACACATGATCCACGCTTATAAATGATAGAGCGGTCCTTATAAACGTTTCTTGAAAGTTCAGACTCTATCTATTTGTCTTCTTACTCAAAGAAGAGAAGTAATTCATAAAACCTGTTGCAATGCTCGAGATTTTAATTTGTCCTGGAATGATTAAACTTTTTTTCATTAATAACTAGGGATTGCATTCTAGATCATTTTCATTGTTTTAGGATAGTGTGTCGTTTCATTTCAAGTCGTGACCTTCGCCTTTTTTCCATTGTCTTGGAAAGCTAGAAATACCGCTTGTCATTTTTTGGAAAGCTTTAATGAACCGTGCTCTTTAAACATGGACGCTATTGTTAAAAGTTTTCTGACGGTAACTAAGAATAAGTAGAATTCCAACGCCTACTGGTATGAATTAGGTAGGTCTATTGCAACTTAAGTGACACATTTCTGAAGATATTAAGAAAGCAAAAAGCAGATGGCTAAGGAAGCCTTGTAGTCACTTTTTTACTTGCTTACAGAACTCTCTACAATACTCAATTGGAAAGGTAATGTGTCGTTAAGTTATGCAAAAATTTAAGGCTACATCTAAATGCTAAATTTATTCTATAGCCTTGTGTACGTGCGCCGTGCTTTTTCATTCAAACCCCTTTATCACAGGAAAACTTTCGCAAGAAACCCTCACACTTAGAAAACAATCACGCTATCTGTAGAAACTTGCTAGCGTCTAGTCCACATTACTCCAAAATCTCAAGTACTCGTTTTGAGCAGTTCTTTTTAAAAAGGTAAATTGTTTTGTGCAATTGTTTTGTGCAATTGTTTACAATTCGTCAGGAATACCCGAGGGATCCAATCTTCTCACACCTCACAAGAGTAAACACTTATGCCTTTCTTTGTTTGCTATAGACGCTTAACCGCCTGAAGAAGCGTCCAAAAAAAAATTTGAACCCCGGATCGTGAATCTTGCGCCGAAGACGTGAACGCGTGGTTAAATGAGAATACCCTTTTTTTTCAGTGTGTCTTCTCTGTAAGAAAGACTATTCAGAACCTTGTCCCTTACATGGTTTGGGCCATGCGATCGTAGACAACAAACGTCTGCAGGGGAGCAGAGCTATGAAGTCACTCCCACCGGAAGTGAGTTTGTGCAGATCAAGTATCCCTGGGACCGGGTTAGGAGTTTGTACTAGAAAACACATTCCTGCTGGCACCTGTATTGGGCCATTTGAGGGCAGGAGAATCCGACCAGAGGAGGTCAAACCGGGCATGGATACGTCGTATATGTGGGAGGTAGGAGGCTAATTCCTTACCATATCTGATACGTTGGGTTCTGTAGTGATCAAACGAAAGATTGTCCTGTACAAAAATTAAGAAAATTTTAAGCGTTCTGGGAGGTTGATTCTACGAGACCAAGCCCCATTGCTTAGTGAAATGATCTGCTCCATCACAGGGTACCTACCAGCGTTCTATCAGCCTCTAGTCCCTCCTTCGGTGGAATGCTTCTCCATCACGGGTTACCTATTAGCGTTTTATCAGGCTCTCTCAAGAGTTCTTTTGGGTGGAGAGGGGGGAATTAATAATAAAAGTCTAGCTGTATTTGCTAATTTTTTGTTTAGTGGTCCAAATAAATCGTACAAGCCAAGGTTTATCGAACCCCTTTGCAGGAAACTTGTTGGATGCATAACGTCTATATGCATATGCATAATACTGATTTTGGGAAATTTGCAGCTAAGAACAGCCAAGAGAATAGAAATCTCTAGAACTTATTTAAACTAAACAGGAAATATTTTTTAAAAGGTTATAATGGACATTTTAAGCTGATGTGTTTTTTTTTTCATTCTTTATTTTTAGATTTTTGACGGCAGCAAGTTAACTTGTTTCATTGACGGCAGTGATGAAGAGACATCAGGCTGGATGCGTTTTATCCAGTGCGCACGCTCAAAAGTTGAACAAAACCTCTATGCGTTTCAGTACAAGGGCGAAGTTTATTATCGTGCATTCAAAGACGTTGCTGTTGGTAAAGAGCTTCTTGTGTGGTATGATGAACGATATGTACAGCATTTTGGAATACCTTTTGGATATCAGAGCATGTCCTTCGTCAAAGATTTTGAAGGTAATTATGGTTGTTAATTATCCATTGCAAATGTTTAAGTAGTATCATCAATATGGTTTGCACGAGCATTTGAAATATTCTAAAGAAAAATATAACACGTCAGACGTCTTTCCAAGTAAAAATGTAAGATACAGACTTTAAGAATGATTTACCTCTGTATCCGTATATTTGATGAGACATCTGTCTGTCATTCTTCTTCAGATGCTCGGCCAATGGTAAAAGAGCAGACAGGGGATAACAAATCTGCGCAGCAGAAACCTGTGTGTGCTCCTGCTAGTTTACTTCCCAGACAATTATTATCTGACAGCGATGTAGATGGTCAGCGATCCTCTTCTAACAGTGACGTAGAAAGTGACGTCAGTGACCCTGGAAATACATTAGTGCCCTTTCCCAAAAAATCTCCAGAAAGGGAATTTACTTCCTGGCGGTGCCAGCAGTGTCGCAAGACCTTTACTCAGCGGGTGGCCCTACAACTTCATGTCTGCCCATGCCAACCATCCAAGCCTTACCAGTGTGGCCAGTGCAGCTTAGCTTTTTGCAATTCTTCTCAGCTCCGTGCGCATGTCACGTCGCATTCCAGTGAAAAACCATTTAAATGCGGCTTCTGTTCGCGCGCTTTTGTCGGCGCGACAACACTAAACAATCACATCAAATCTCACTTCGGGCAGAAGCCTTTTGGCTGTGACAAGTGCGGAAAAACGTTTTCTCAGCCTGGACTTTTATCCAGGCACCAAAGAAATCCCCGCGAATGTAAAAGCGACGTATCCCCTCTAACCGTCAATAGCTAACCTCCGCTCACAGTTCACTTTGTCGAAGAGTGTTTGTTTTGAAATTCTTGGCCATTTAGAGGACTTCTGACAAGTTTCATTAATTTTACACATATAGTTTGTGCGGAAAAATATAAGTGAATAATTATTCATGTTGTTAAAATCGCAGCAAAAAAAAGCTAATGTATGGAGCAATAAGTAAAACAGACAAATGGAACAAATAAAGTTAGAGAACAATGCTTAGACTAGTTTTTTAATTTCATCGATAATACCGAGTTTTAATAATTTTATTTTTATTTTTAGTATTATAAAAATCATTTTCTCTAAGACAATAGTAAAGGCACTCGAACATAAATATTATTATTTTCATGATAAAGGAAGGAGGAGAGAGACTGGAGACCAAGCCTATCCTTAAAGACTGATCATGCGAGAACCTTTCTTCAGAGGAGTTCTGGGTATTCAAATGAAAATATCTTGCTCGCTAATTATGCCTGTAGGTATCGTAGGCGTTCTGGTGACATCTCGTCTGACTCAGTCGACTTGTTTTATGTTCTTGCAAAATGTTTACACGATTAGTTTTGATAATGTCCCTGGTATTTACCTCTATGTCGGCATCTTTGTAAAGAAAAAATTCTAGATCATTGTCTTATCTTTCGTTTACCGTAGAGTTCATTTTCATCTTCCTTTGTTTTTATGGCTCATTACCTTGGAATTTTCTAGTGATGTTTAAAGGAAAGAACTAAGGAAAATTGACGTGGCATTCATTAGAACATCGTAGAATTAAAAAAACCGTTGAACGTTGATGAAGGAAGCTATGCTCACTTTGGCAGAGCGAGCACCGCTTGCACACATTTTTCAAACGGCTAGACACAGAATTTGCGCATTGATAAATACGTGGTCTTAGTTAACCTCGCTTAGTTGTCTTTGTTCTCTTTGTCTTTTGCATTCCCCAGTGAACTCTAAAATAGTCTTCATTCTGCACCAGAACTAAAAGTTCAAGTTTTAAAGACCTTTCGTCGTTTGATACAGGGTTTGCATAGAGACAAAACGGACTGGTATCATGAAAAGTCGCTCTCAAACAAATTTACGAAAATGGAATAAATCTGCAGATGAACAACAGAGATAAGCTTGAAACTGTGGAAACATCAGCTTGATTTCTCCGCATGAGCAGCCAAACTGAACAATGAACAAATTGGATATCTTGTGAAATGCTTAAACTCCTCACTAGGCTCGAATTGAGATTTTACTCTGATTCTGCAGCCTTGCTGTAGCGTTTTCAAAATATCTTATGAAAAGCGCCTGAGGTTAACCTGAAGAGAAAATCAGAAGAAAAGTGCTTTAAAGTCTATTGTTTCTTATTTCCTATTATCTGTGGTAATTCTCCGTGAAGGTAATTGACTTTTGTCTTAATTCAAAATATGTGAATAGTGCATAAAAAGGCATACGTGGAAGCACCGCCGTCTTTGGACAAAGTAGTTTTCTGTCCTTTTAAAGTCTAATCACACGTCCACTCTTAGTTACGCACGGGGTGAAAAGAGAGCGCTTTGCGAGTCAGAAGGTATAGATTCTATACTCCCCAAACTTACGAAGATTTCAAGATCGACGATTTAAGAGGACTGCAAATGGAAGTTAAAAACAAGGTACGTTCAATTTCTAGAGAAATCTTATTTTGGGTGACCACCTTAAGAGTGACGTTGAATGATCCATCGGAACGCAAACACCAATTCGACGAATCTTTAATAAATGGGGGGATAACGCCTTAGTTGCATGAAACATTGCATGTCTCTCATGCTTTCGATTGTTAGGACTAGTTTTTTGCTTGTAACGATTTTTAAAATCGTTCTTGATTTCTCTCGTTTCTTCACCTTCTTGTTGTTTAAAACCTGTTACGCCTCACCGAATTGAGTTTCCTACCAACTCGTCCTGATCGACGCACGTAAGCGTCTGGAGGCGAGATTTCGACACCAATCGTTTGTAAGCAACGAAAGACAATTTTTAAACACATTTCAAGTGGTTTTCCTTCGATTTCACCCCTGAAAACTCGTGGAATTGAGTTTCTAAATCTCATTATGCAAGAACCTAAACTTTTGAAGGGGAAAAACAAAAGCAAAATACCAATGTTATTTGCATGACGTTTTTCATATATTTTCACCCTTGAAAACAATTTTCAAAGTTGCCATCCATTTTCAGTGTTCTTGTGGGTAAACAGACGGTCATGGTTTAGAATAGAAACAAACTTTCTGAAAAATCTTGCTAACAGCTTAGAACAATGATTGTAATTCATTAAACCGAAAAACCGATCTGCTTCAGTGCCTTCGGAAATGAGGTATTCGTGAATCATTACTGTCGAGTGAATGAATCACGGACGAAGTTGACATTACTCACTAATCACTAAAGTTTAGTCAAACTTAATTAACTTCCGATTTCTGAAGGCGATCTTGAAATCAACTCCTACACAACATTGCGATTGTTAAGTGTGCAAGTCGAAGGTTTTAATTGCTTAAAATTTCGATTGAATCGCGTAGGAAAATCGACTAAGTGTTTCCTTCTTTCACTGACATTTTTTATTTATTTTTTTTTTCAAATTTTTCAGTAATGAAATTTGAATGTTTCTGTGCTTGAATTCTAACTAACGCAAACTTTTCCACATTTTACAGACGAGAAAAATGAACGAACCTTTTGGAGGAGAGAGCGTAAGCAGTGTGTATCAGCCCGTGACTAAGAAAGTGAAGCTCACGCCTCCTTCATCCAAAAGCGCACCGGTTTCAAACTTGAAACAGTTATCTTTTACTATGGCTGATGTACAGAAGTGCCTTTTCAACGTATCTACTGTCCATCCAATTCACAGCCGTGAAGCCTTAGGAAAGAAAGATGGAGCTGGTTGTTTTTGTAAGTGTTTCGTGTGGGAGTTGTTTGCGCGAAATGATGCACTTAATTCTGTGTCGATGGATTTTTTTTAAAAAAAGCAAGCCAGGTGGTGTCTGTTCCTTCCATACATCATATAACAGCACCAAATTCTCGTGATATTACTCGTGTTCTTTTATTACTAAAAAAAAAGCTTTGAATAGTTATCGATAAGTGTAAGTTTTGTTATAATTTTTTTCACCGCGATTTTGCGTGCGTAGAGCTAATGCAGCTTTATCCCTTCTCTATTGTGTCATAAATCATAGCAATATTGAAATAAATTATTATTATTTTAGGGTGTGATGCTAGCGCAACAGACCCAAGCTTTAACTGCCCGCATCATAAAAATGAAACCACTGCCACGAAGCAGACAAGTCAATTGTCTCTCGCTTTAAGATCATTTCCGCCGGAGGTTGGCTTGTGTGTATCCAGCATTCCTGGGGAAGGATATGGAGTCTGTGCTAAGCAAAAAATTCCTATCGGGGCATGGATTGGTCCCTATGAAGGAAAGTTTGTGAAACCTGAGGAAATTTCTTCGACTTCCAACACTTCTTACATGTGGGAGGTAGGGAAGTTGAATGATCGACTCTTAGAATGAAGTATGATTTGTTTTTTTTCTTTGTGGAGATTTTTTTGTTAATTTCTCCGTTTACGTTCACAGATTTTTAAAGACGGTAAACTGGCGGGCTTTGTGGATGGTAGTGATGAAGAGTATTCCAGCTGGATGCGGTTCATCCGCTGTGCTCGTCACAAAGGGGAACAAAACCTGTTTGCCTTCCAGTACTTGGGCAAGGTCTACTATCGTTCATTCAAGACCATCCAGCCCGGACAAGAAATGCTGGTGTGGTACGATGACAAATATCCTCAGTACCTTGGCGTTCCAAGCTCAATCTTTGATATGGGTTCTCTTACAGTCAATGGTGAGATTTTAAGTTATGTTTTAAGCATTGGCTGATAATTTCTGCGATTTGTGTGCAAAGGTTTGTTAAGTTTGAAAAACGGATAAATTGAAACGTCTTTTCTTCATAACTTCTACAGGAAAGTCAAACAATCCAGATGCAGCAGAAATTGTGCGCTTGCCGTCCGAAACCTTGACACAAAATCAGTATCCCCCTACCCCTCCCAGCTCAGTTCCTTCTCCTGGAAGCCCACAATCACCAAACAGCCAGCCAATCAGCCCTCGCCAACACTCACCTTCCATGCCAATCGGTGGAGAGCCTTTGAATGGTTTTCAGACGGAAGTGTCCTCCGCCTTCGACTTTTCCTCTGTCACTGCAGCCAACTTGTCCAATCCACTTCCATCGCCAGAAAGCGAGAGGAGCAATCCTCCCTCACCCACTTCTTATGAAAACGGGCAAAACAACGCCACTAAAATCAATCAGCCCGCGTTTAGTAGCATCACAGAACTAAGTTTGTGGAAATGCGGCCAGTGCAAAAAGTCCTTCCCTCAAAGAACCATGCTCCAAGTTCATGTGTGCAATGAAGCCCCAAAGAAGCCATACCAGTGCGGCCACTGTTCACTTAGCTTCGCCCACCCAGCTCAGCTGCGCGCTCACGCTGTCATTCACGCCAGTAAGAAACCATTCAAGTGCGGATACTGTTCACGTGCGTTCGCTGGGGCGACCACATTGAACAACCACATCAGAACACACACCGGTGAACGCCCCTTTGTTTGCGACAAGTGCGGAAAGAACTTTACGCAAGGATCACAACTTAGCAGACATCAGAGAATACCTGGAGACTGTGTGGTACGAGCGTGAAAGGAATGGAAACAATTAACCTTCATCTGATAGTTTTTAAAACTTTGAGTGTTCCTTAGGAAAGCTCATGGCTCAGATCTTAGATCTAACTGTTTGTTGTGGCAAAGTTTGTAGATTTTTTTTTTCAAAACGGAAAACACAAGTGATTCATTCGGGAAAGTGCGTGAAGACGAAACTTACGAACTAAAGCAACTTCGAGTTTTATGTCTAAAAAACGTAGAAAGTCGTAATTGTAATTACTTGTCGTAAAAATGTAAATATCCAGAGCGTTTCACTGCGTGACATAAATGTTACCACTTTTACTAGTAAGATGAAAAATTGTACATAAGGATGGACATTTTGAGAAGTTGTTGCTCGAATTAATTGACTTTTGAAAATAAAAGGCTTCATCTGACCCAAACTATTTGTGGTCATTCCATCTGAGTGTAACTGAAAAGTTGCAACAATCTTCCGACATGTAATTGCGAATCCATTGATATCCAGTTAATTCCGGAAGACACTCGTAAGATATCTGTTTCGTGCGAGATCTTACGCACAAGATGTTCAAACGCGTTTAAGAGCACTTTTTCAAGTAAAAGTTTTCTCACATTTTCAAAAGTGTCATCAGCATTTCAGCATAAGTTTCCTGAGAGTCGTGTTTCCTTATTTGCATGTTCACAGCTTTGTCTCAGCCTCACACATTGCCAAACGCAATGCCACGAAAAAAAAACTTCTGCTTCTGAGTATAATTAATTGCTAAACGCAATGCCGTGAAAAAAAAATTAACGAGTTCTGGATTGAGAGAAGAAACTTATGCTTTTGAGTATAATTAAGGTATAATTGTTTTGCAATTTATGTAAGCCTTCCCAGGAACAGCCACTATTTATATAAATCTTAATTTAGCAGGCACGAAAAAAAAAATTATATCTATCCGCTTTTGGCAATTGTGGTTCTACCCTCCAGCGCAGTTAAAAACATTTCGGTCGGTCGACAAACGATCTTTTGCCAAATTTTGCACTGTTAAAATGAACCATCAGACGAATTTCTTTAGTTGCGTCAGGTTTTAATTGTTTTATCTTTATTCAAAGTGTTTTGTCGTTGCCGTAAACTTGCTTTCTTCCTTGGGGGATGCATTCCAAAGATTTGATGGCCTCGCCCACGGGTTTCAATACTCTTTACCAAGAAAGCCGTCACATACCATTGATTTCAACACAACCACGTATCTGCTCTCAGTGCTACAACCAAATGGCCGAACTTTCCCTTTTTGTGTTCAGTTTAGCATCGCAAATCGAAGACATGTACACTTCAGATTGTAGGAATCGAGGAATGACAAGAAAATTTCATGTTTGCCCATTGAAATTAATAGTAATAAATTCACTACGATTCCCCAAACGGTTCACTGATCTTTCTGAATGGAGTTGATGTAAACAATGAAGGAACCCAGTGACATTGGAGTTGCTCATTTGTATGCGAGAGTTTAATGCACAACTGACTTTGTTATTAATTACAGCGTCGCATTAAAATATGAAAGGAGTAGTAATGAGCCCGGCTTTTCAAAGAGAAGTCTGGTGATAACCTTTTCTGCATAATGATCTTTCGTCGTACTTCCTACCAGACAAAACCAGGTTTAAAAGGACTAAACAATTCCTTTAATATTATACCACTGGTCGTGTGATCATCCGCGCACGGCCATCATTTCGCTGTGCGACATCAACCTGCGAAAAACGAACAAGAAAAAACTTTTTTGTTTTTGTTTTTTGTAAATTATTCCTGGGACGTGACCATGAAGTCCTTAAAGCTTGTTTTATTTATAGCATGAGAAAAGGTTGAGGAAATCGCAAGTAGCCACTCAAAACTCCATAAAACATTCTCGGATGCGCAATCTTTTTTGGTTAAATTGAAACATAACGGAAACGGAAGTGCGCCATCATCAGCCCCCGCTTCAGGTGATATTCGTCACTTTTTCCGATAACGATTTCCAACTTCCATAACTTAGTTGCCTTTGTGTAGACTCTTTTGCGCGTATTTATTAAAAGTAATAACATAATAAATTAACATGTGGGGTCAAACGCGCATGACTTATGTGCTTCTGTTCGTTATAAGTGCAACTTTTCGTAACTTGTATCGTTGCTGAATTTCAAGGCAACTTTTACTCAAATGCTCACTTCTGTTTTATTCATTAAAATATATCTTGAAGGAAATGTCCCTAACAGCTAAAAGGTCTTTTCATTTGTTGCTAATGTTAAAAAATTTACTTATAATAAAAGCCATTGAGGAGTGCGTTGCAAATGTAACGATGAAAAAAATATGTAGTTTAATGACGTTATTGCTATCCTTGAGCAATAACACAAGAAAAGGCTTCCTCCATCCGATTTGAGAAGAACGAAGTTATTCTGGATTCTAAATGTTTGGAAAAGAAATGGATGGATCCACAATTTTTTTAAATTGCAACGAGATATCTTTTTTTACCACTGTCGCAAAAAATATTTCTCTAGGCATGCTTTGAATCAATTCTTATCTTTTTTTTTACTACTGTCGCAAAAAATCTTTCTCTAAGCATGCTTTGAATCGATTCTTTTTTTTGCGAAATCACTTGATTAGCTTGTCAACTATAAACCGTTACATATAGTTAACAATCACAAGTTTCCTAAAAAGAGAGCCAGATTGCTAGAAATCCTCTAGTCAGGCAGGCCGTCATAGGGAACACAATCTCCGGGTATATTCTCGTGCTTGTGAAGCTGGGAGGCCTGAGTAAAGTTTTTTCCACATCTCACGCATGAAAAAGGTTTTTCACCGGTGTGCGTGCGCACGTGGTTATGAAGAGTTGTTGCGCCCGCGAATGATCGTGAACAATAACCGCACTTGAATGGTTTCTCACCCACATGAACGACAGCGTGCGTGCGCAGCTCGTTTGGATAATCAAATGTCTGAGAGCACTGTCCACAGTGATAGGGCTTGCGTGGCATGTTGGGGCATACGTGAATTTGAAGCACCGAGCGTTGGGCAAACGATTTCCCACACTGACCGCAGTTGAAAAGGTTCGCATCGGAACCATCCGAACTGTTTTCATCTTCATCAACAGACCGTAACTGCGCATGCCTCTCGCCTATTTTTGACGGCGCGATTTTTGAGCCGTTACTGTATAGACCTCCAGAAGACATGGTGTCATGATGGCTGTCGTTTTGAAACGTTTGCGTATGTCCGCTGTTTAATCCAAAAGGTTTAACTGGACCTTTATGAAGAAATCGCGCGTCCTCCGAAGAAGGAGAATTTTCAATCATTTGCACACTGTTTTGTAATGGCGCACCATCGGCTGTCCAGGAAACATGGCGGACGCGTATGTCTTCTTCAGCTGATGCACGTAAACTGTCGCCTCTGATAGAGGTGCTTTGAGCTAAGCGGCGTTTGACACCAGATTGATCACGTGACGGTAGCGTGGATCTGACTCCGGTTGTAAATTGAAGATTATCTTTCCAGGGACTGGATGAAGACTGATTTAAATGGGAGGAGCCTGGATTGGAATTATCATATGGTATTACAACTACCATTTCGGGATGTTGTCTTTCATCTATATCAAGAACAAAATAGTTTGTCTGAAAACCGCGTGGGGGGGAGGAGAGTTACTGTATTTCGACGAGTTAACAGGGTATTTTTCATTTTCAGGAAACAACTTTTCAAAATGAAAATTAGAAATATATGTCTCATCAATGCCAGTTATACGCGTTAAACCATCCGTTACTTAACTTTATAAATTGAAGTTACATTTTATTGGGACAGGAAAATCTCGGAGTAGAGGCCAGATGATGATGAAGGCGTAATACAGGACTTCACTTAAAATGGGCACAATTTCTCCACATCCAGCAAAATAATTCTTAGGAAATTATTTATGTTGGTAGCGGACTAAGAATGATTGCTATTATAGTGACTTTACTTACCAACAGGATTATTGAGGGAAATTTCATATATTTCAAGAGGGATGCCCATATATTGCGGGTACTTCTCGTCATACCAAACCAGCAGTTCACCTCCCGGAGGAATGTCCTTGAAAGCTCTGTAATAAATGTTACCACAGTACTGAAAGGCGTACATGTTTTGCTCGGTTCCATTCCTTGCACATCTGATGTATCTCATCCAACTGGACTTGTTCTCGTCGCGTCCGTCAATGTAATAAAGTAACTTTCCCTCGTGAAATATCTTTTGAAAAGAGAGCGATAAGACGAATAGAATTAGCTTAAGAACTGAAAATAAGTTAGCACTTGATTTCTCGGAGGCTTAATTGGTTACACTGCCAAATATATTTTGCAGATTTGAAAATTCCTGAATTTAAATATATCTACTTATCTGCAACCCTTACCCTGTGTGTGTTCTCCGATATATATTTATGGTTATTTTTTAAATTCGTACTTCGGCAAAAAGTATAAAATAATCACTGGGAAACGCTTCAATTAAAATCAGTTGTGTGGATCGCCCTATTTCAGCCTGTGATTTAACGCAAACCTCAAAGGATAATTTACAAAATGTTTCATGAGGATGACTCTGAATTTAGATACTTATCATTCAATCTTTACATGAAAATCGTAGATAAAACCAAATCTACCTCCCACATATATGACGCATCAGACCCCAGTACCACCTCCTCAGGCCGCACCAGTTCCCCCTCGTATGGTCCAATCCACGTGCCCACTGGAATGATCTGTTTTGCGCAGACTCCATAACCTGCCCCAGGAATACTGGAAATGCACAAACCCACCTCATTTGGAAACGATTCGATCGCATTCGGCAATTTTACGATGTTATTGTTTGTGTCATTGTTGTTTTTGACTTTACTTGTCAGTCGGAATGACAGTTGAGGACCATGGAGCTGACATGGCTCAGTCCGTTCCAGATGACATCCTTTACACCCTAGGGGAGGGGAGAGTGGGTATGATACAACTTAACGTTGATATGCTTGAAAGATAGCGCGTGCGTTGTCAGCTCGATTATGTAACTGTTTTTCATTTGGAATATGGCAAAACACTTCGTTTGACAAAAGATTTTTGAAACGTTGTAAAGAAAGTCATCAGTATGTTTCATCCGATTTGATTCTAACGAATCCTAAAATGGGTGTTAGCCTATTTCACTGACAAGGATAAAAAAACGACGTGAATTGAGTGGAGCTATTTATAACCTTATGTTTTTGAACTTCAAGTAACCTAACATTATATAATAAGCTCAGTTATGTACGTATTCAAATTGGTTCTCACTTATATATATATATCTCAGTAATAAATCACAGAGGACGTCAAAATGTGGTAAGAACATAAGTGACACACTCGGCTGCGCCTCGTGTGCCACTTTTTTGTTACCATATTTTGACGTCATCTGTGATCTATTATTGAACAGACGGACGGCAACTTGGAATCTATTTGTTAAATCGACCCGATTTAGAGGCAAACGAACCGCGGCACGTGTGAAGAAGTGACTATATGAAGCTATTAACCACGACACAGCTACTGCTCTAAGAAATAAGAGGAACGGTTTGATCTGCTTATGATAACAATGGCTAAACCGGCATTTATAACTCATAAAAGTTCTTTGATTCCAGATTATAATAACTGTTGTTGCAACTTGACAGCAAAAAACAAGCGAATAACTGGGGTGCTGGAAGGCTCCTCTTGATAAAAACTTCATTTTGAGCACACTGAAGTTCTTTTTCGAGCTTTTTCGTTTCACTTTGGTAGATGCGCAAATTTCAGGTTCCATTTTAGCGTCGAACAAACCCTGCTGAATGATATAAGTTCTTTAGACTTCAAGATAATTACTAGTAATAACCCGTGAGAGGCACCCTTCGCCGTAAAGTGAAAGCCGACTTCTGGTCAAGTTGACGACGAACCTTTTTTTCGTATACAATGACATATTGTGCGAGCTACAAATTTCAAACAACCAAACTGAACAGATAAATAACACCATAATCTCTGTCTAAAAATATCGGATGATGATATCTAAATTTAGCTAAACATATGCCTCATTCTTTTGTTATTTCAACACGAAAGACTGCACTTTGCTTAATACATTTTTCAATTTTTCTGAGGTACGAAAAAATTGTGCAGACCTCGAGACTTCGTTAGCATTTGCATTTTGAGCGTGTGCCCAGAATCGTTCAAGTCATCCCTCTTTCGCTTGACAGCGAAAACTCGGCCGAAAGCTTTGGTGCTTGTTAACGGTCAGTTAATTTTAAACAGCAACTGAAGGTACACAGTTTCTTTTAATTTCCTGTTGTTCAGGATCATTCGCAATTGCGGTGGATGAGTGAATTTCGCGAAAGTAATTAATAATGTGTTGGATGAATGTTTCAAAGTTGTGTTTGGTATTGTATATTTGTCCCGGCGAATTGTTCAATTCACCCCGAAAATATGAGGCAAAATGAACTCCACCTGGTTACCTTCTGAGAACACTCATGAACAACTTAAATAAATCTTTATCCACAAGTTATAACTCTACAAGAAATTTAAGCACAGTTAGTTTCTATCATAGGAAAAATTAAACTGCAAACCACAGAGTTGCTTTAACAATACCGATGTAAACCCGCGAAACCGTGGTTACGGAAATATTCGTTAAAAATAACTTTGGCAAACATTTGACAAAATGGCGACTTACAGTAGCGGATCGCTTCTTCTTTGTGTAGACCTGAACTTCTAAAATCGTCCGTGCTCACAGAAATGACTTGATTTCGCTGGTATAAACATTGATGAAGATCCTCTATGCTACAGAGGTTGACATCCGCGGCATGTGAGCGAACTCTTCTCGGCGTTCGAGATGATAATGTGTGTTCACTTGCGGATTTAGGTCTTGAAATGCCTGCGTTACTCATCTGAAATTCAAACGGCAAATCGATTTATCACAAAAGAGACGCAGGACTCAAGTGCAAGTACACTTATATAACACCTTGTCATCCATCGCTGCTCCCCGCAAAAACGATTGAAATAACCCAAGGGAATTCAGGTGAAGAAAATACTTTGATTTTACGCAATACGCGCCAAGACCAGATTAAACTAAATTAAGATTAGTACCATTTTGACAAAGATGTTAGCGAGGGTTACCACTGTGGTTGAAATCACAACAATCACCACAAAATATTTTCGAGTTGCTAAGATTCAATAAGGTTTCCAATGTGTGATTACTTTGTTTTGACTTGAACGACTTTGACGACCTTGTGACGTAATGAACTCTTACACCGTGACTATGGCCAAGAGTGACCGTTAGCGTGAATTTATTTTTAGCAAGTACCAAAGTTATTTTATGGTTAAGGTCAAATTTGGGCAGAGAAATCGTCCATAAATGCATTCTTTTGGTGTTTATCCCTGTGAATAGAGTTCCTTTTGCTCATCTTCATTGCTTTTTCTTCGCTCGATCAACTCCAGCTGCTACTTTCGACAGAAGTTTATCTAGAAGGTTATGCGTAGGCAGTTGGAAAACATTATACCATTGCAGTTATAAAGATAAATCACTTGAAGTTTGAGTGATCTTTTTGTGGTGACACGAGATCGGATCTGCTGCGCAGAAGATTTGGCGAGTCTTGTGTTCTTTAACTAATCAAGCGGAACTTGGAGATAAAATAAATGCAAATTTTGCGTGAGAACTTCCAAAACTTTGAATCCAAATGAACTACCTCAAGGAACATTTCCAATTGAGGTACATTTGATTAAACGGAGATTTTTTGAACGAATTCGATTACTTACCTGCTGAAAACACGAATTAATTATGATCAGTTTTCTGCCACTTTTTTATTATTGCTATCGATTAGTATTATTTTTAAATAATGCTGTTATGAACAAAAGTTTCTAGATCTGCTGAGAGCAATGATATTTATAACCATCTGAAACATCAACTGGCTATTACAACAAACAGACAAGCCTTAGGTAAACATTTTAGGTCTTCCAGAACACGTTATTTGGTTTCTGTGTCTATTAATATGCACCTCTCATCAGAAGTTATATAAGCAAACTTTTACATCAACAAGTCAGTTCCCAAAACATTGCCTTACCTGCGGATCGCCTAGCTGGGGTTGCGGAGGCCTAAAGTATAACCTTAAAGGTATTTAGTTCCAAGGCATATTTCAAGGAAACTGCTGCAAAAACTAGCAACAACGCCTGTTTCGTGCAAGAAACTCTTCGTTGCTTTCATGGGAGACTGATTAAGGTGTGCTCGGCTACTCATACTGGCTCAATAGAAATGTCAACATTTGATTGACATACGAGCGACGTCACTTTCACCTGCGCATTGTTCGAAAGGGTTTCGCTGCATAAATGATATTCCTTGATGAAAATTTAAGTTAATTACAGAGTTAAATCTTGTGTGTATTTCTATGACAGCTTTCTTAGCTCTGCGTAGAGATCAGAGCTCAAGTATGCTGGATTCCATATCAGGGAATTTGAGAAATTAAATTTTTTTCAAAGCTTCTTTATTTTTCTAACCCAATGAGAGAGTCAATGGCAATTGATTGGCGTGTAGATCTCACAAATGAAAGCTGCATGATTAATGATATAGCACTTCAAGATCATGAGGAAGCATGGAGAAGAAAGCCTATTACCGGATGTTTATTGAACCTGACACCTCTTCTGTAACACTGTGGTTTGGAAGCCCTTCAGGTCTTTATTACTCCAGAATGTATGAGGGGCTCATAAAAGGTGAAATTTACTCAAACTTATAAATAATTACAAGCAGATGGTCAAGCGGTCGGTTCTAACAGTGTTGCCAGATATTTCTCGTGGGCCTTGCAGTTTTAAGCCGTACAAAACAATGATATGAATAAGACTCTGAATGATTTACTCTTGCAATTTTATTTTCTCTTTATGACTCATTTTGTACAGGATTGTTGTTTTTATCGTTTACGTAATGTCCACGCCACAACAATGAATATTAAGTTTCTGTAATAAGTTTAATGGTCGTGGTAAGTCATGTCTTCAAACAATACAGGATTTTAATACAATATCAGTAGTCTGTCTTATTCTCTTCTGTTGATAAATAAATTGAAAGGGGACATTCCTTTACATGTTCCAAACACCATTGTGTTGTTGCAGGAAAAGAGAAACATAAGTGAATACTAGAGGGAAGGCGTATTAGTCCGAGTCTTGCTCAACACTCATGATGGTTTGTCTCCAATCGGTATGATTCAAATTTAAATCTTCTTTATAAGGTATTTGCGCAGCATTTTTCCCATTAAGAATGAAGTGCAAACTGGAAAGTTTGAATAGGCGTTATTTCGCGTGATACATTCAATTGAATGATTTTTGCAAACTTAGCGCCAATACAACTGCGGTTCTTCACGTTTTTCTGGCCTGTTGGGTCATTGTGCATTTGATGTTACATGAAGTCCTACTTTATGAGGGAATTCACACTTCCTCACCCTAGAGAAGACGTTTTCCAGTGGCTAACAATCGTTGGAGCTGTGCATTTGATGTGACACGAAGTCCTGCTTTTTTTTCTCACCCTGGAGAACACGTTTTCTAGTGGCCAGTAATCGGCCTCCAACATGAGATCGAATGTGATTGTTCAAAGTGGTTGCCCCAGTGAAAGATCGTGAGCAGTATCCGCACTTGAAGGGTTTCTTGTTGACATGGATGACAGCATGCGCTCGCAATTCACAGACATTGTTAAAATGGGCTGGGCAGTGACCGCACTGGTAAGGATTTGGTGGAACCTGGGTACCAATTGCTTTCTGGTTCACAGACATTTCTGGAAAAGTTGGAGCTGTCCTTACGCTAAGCTCTGTAGCCCTGGATTTGTGATTTACTATTGCTGTCGCCTTTTCAGCAAAATTTAATTCATCTCTTGGCAATGAGAGGGATTTAAATAATTCAGAACGCTCTGGCTTTGCCTCTGTTACTTCATCAGCCCTATTCCCTTTCAGCAGACTAAAACCATTCTCAAAGACGGACTTCATGTTTGACACAAGTTTCATCTTGCCTTGCTTCTTAGGAGAGGGAAGCTTTTCAACGCAGGTTTTACGTATAGGAGAGCGCTTTCCTTTTCGAGAAACTGGATTATATCCAAATTGGCTCCTAGGATGAGAAACAGGCGAAGGAGGAGGACTGGGAAAGAATGAACTTTGTGGACTGGGGTCGAACTGCTGGTTTGTTGCGTGTGGAGAGACAACAATCACTTCATCAGATTGAGAGCTAGCACCTAACAAGAAATATAAACTGCAGGGTTAGCAGCTGAAAACTTTCATATCACCATAAGCCACATTAAGCTCTACCTTTACCTAGCCAAACTCTGGAACTCCTTGAACGATAACATTAAGTCTTTAAAATGCCCCAGGAATTTTAGACGTCATCTTGCAAACGTTTTATTAAGTTGATATATTATATTATTGATATATATTTTGTAATTATAATATTATTGTATTTACATTCTCAATTAATTTATATATTTGTATTTTTTTTTTCTATTGAGCTGAAAAGCCCACTTAGGGAGCATCAATAAAGTGTATGTATGTATGTATGTATGTACCTTCTTAGGTATACAATAATTACAACCTTTAACGCTTTCTTTACCAGAGGTAAACTGCTTTTATCTATCACAGGATCTCCTTTGAAACCTTTAAAACACTTTCCCTTAGGCTAACTCTAGATTTCAAGGTGATCGCAACTAGGTTGACGTCACTTTATAGACCTTGAAGTATCATCACATGCGCTTCAACTCCTCAGCTACATCTCCCACTACAGTTGGAATAACGTTTGTTTTATTTTCCGTCATTTGTTACTTCAGGATATCCGTTAAATTGCAGGTATCTCTTTCACGAATTTAGCCCAAAATCAGCAAGGGACTGTCTGGAAGTGCCTTAGGCTGGCCATCTTAATTGTGTCTTTGAATTTAACTAGAAAATACTCACACTCCTCCTTTGAAAGTTACGCAGAGTACCAAGAATGGTGACATACCTGGTGTAATTCTCGTATTCGAGTCCGATTCAGGACTCAGCGGTTGTTGTTAGTTTGTTTTGGTTTATTTTCACAAGGAATATTTGAACGTCAGAGGAAAAAGGATCACTTACCACTTGGTATGACAGCACCCATGTCAAACATAGTAGAGGGGATACCAAGGTACTGTGGATATTTGTCATCGTACCACACCAGCATTTCTTCTCCTGGCTGGATGGTCTTGAATGTGCGATAAAACACCTTACCCAGGTATTGGAAAGCAAACATGTTTTGTTCTCCTTTGTGTCGTGCACTGCGGATAAAACGCATCCAGCTGGAATAATTTTCATCACTACCATCAATGTATCCTGCTAGTATGTCGTCTCTGTAGATCTAGTGGGAAATGCAAATACGTAATTGACTATTTAGCAAACACCCCTCCTCCCCCCCCAAAAAAATATATAAATGTTTTGAGTCTACCTTGCAATTGAATATTTTACATCATGATGTATTTCCCTTGAGAAGCCTTACCTCCCACATGTAAGATGTGTCAGCAGTAGGAGACATTTCCTCGGGCTTCACAAACTTTCCTTCATAGGGCCCAATCCACGCACCAATAGGTATTGTTCGCTTGGCACACACCCCATATCCTGGCCCGGGAATGCCGGACCGACACAGGCCAACTTCCGGCGGAAGTGATCTTATTGCAAGTGGTAATTGATTTTTTTGCTTCATGCCAGGGCTCTCTAATTTGTGTTGAGGACATTGAAACTTTGATTCTACTAAACTTGCGTTACACCCTAAAAATGATTAAAATCACAAAAATTATATTATTCCTTAGGTGTGAGCAGTTTACCCTGTGTGAAAAAAAAACGAAACAAAGCAAAACAAAAAAATAAACAAAGCACAAAAAACACACACAAAACACAGAGCAAAACTAAAAAATAACGCGTCAAGTTGAAGAAGGTTCCTAAATAAGGCATTGCATCCCTCTTCCCATGACCCATTGCGCTTCTCTAGTCCCTTGCTCTATAGTTTTCTCTATTGTTTATCGTGAACCATATGTAAGAGAGAGGCTTTCATACGCTAATTTTTACGAAAACTTCGGGGAGATCAAAATCCAAGAAGGACTGTGTACTAAATGTCTATTAATAATGCATCAATATATGAAAATAAAAAAAGAATTAAACATTGGAAAATGGCAATCATTTACTCCAGTATACTCACAGAAGCAATCTTTTTGTTCCGTTACCACTGCCTGTCCGATGTTAATGGGTCGAATACTATTCTTGTCGAACAAACAGCTAAGTAAATCTTTATAGCTGAAGCTGTTTCCTGTCATATTTCTTTGAGAAGGACTGAAACTAGCGTAGTTCTTCTGAAAAAATGGGAAGAAAATTCTCTGTCGAAATTTCAAGATTTCGTCTTTATTTGAAGGAACGAGAAGGGAACTTCCTTTAGGTGTGAATTAAGTTATCAATAATGCTAATAATAATGACGAAAACAATGATGATGACGATAAATAAACACTTGACTGACTTCGAAGGAACTCTTTAGCGCGTAAATAAATTCGCTTCAAGTAACAATCAATGATCAAAAACTAATTACCCTTCAAAAACAAATGGAAATCTTTGAAGAATAAATAAAATGCATCGACTGACAGGATGTTTAATCAGATATTTTAAGATTTAAGGTAAGAAACAGCTTAGGCTGCTTAAAATCTAGACATAATTTTTACTATATTTCCTTCTACTTACAAAGCTGGAAACTTAGATTTAGCGGAAATAGCTGTCAAACATTGACGCAGTGTTGTATGACCAAACTAAATTGTCAGTTTTTGAATGACCCATATAAACTCGGTATTTACCTGCATGGATATGAACCTGTTGGGACATTAGCTAACAGGTTTAAACGGTAGTTACTGAAATACAAATCCATATCGGACCTACTTCCTCAAACAATGACATATTCGGGATGGTACTGTTTATGTGTTTTAACTTAACACTTATTCATATAAAAATCTCGTGCAATTTCTTACCTCGTGTATATGCTCCATCTAATTGAAGTATTTTGTAGGTTTAACCAAGGCGCTGTGCAACAACTCAGTTCTTGTGATACAAAACCCGATCGGTTTGTCTTTATTGCAAGAACGCGCGCAAGACAATCCGCAAATGTGCGCCTCGGTCTGTTTCTCAACTTTGTGATATTTAATGTCTAAAGAGACAGTTAACACTTTGACGCCCTTTATACCATTGAATTAAATGGCCTCGTGTGAAGAGAGTATTGTTTTCACACAGAGTAACTGCATAATGTAATACAGGTGGGCAAACAATGCCACTGGTTTCACTAATTTCGCGCCATTTTCGCATGCATTAGCTACATAATTTTAGAGCCACAACCATTTCCCTCAAGCCAATATTTAACACCAAATACAGGTTTTTAAGCTGTTTCAAAGTGAATGAAATCATAATAGTACGGCTATCAAATTTATCACAATCTGACGCAGTTAGAAAAGATTGGTAAATTCGCTTGAAAATTTTAGAAGTTTAACTTGCACTGAATTGTTTTTTGGCGCCAAAACTGGTAATGTATTCGAAAGTTATGCTAACACAAAAAATTTGCCTTCCTTTTGTTTACAGCATTTCAGACAGTTCGTCACGTATAAGTAATTATTTTGATTATTTAGCATCTCCTTGGACTATTCATCGTTGATGATTCCATTCCTTGGTTTAAAACAGCAGTTCTACTTCACTCGGCTGTCTTGCTAGCAGTCGTCTTCTTGTTTCCATCATGTGTAATCGAATTTTGCCCAAATGTACGAAGGAATCAAACCCATGATAACTTTGAATTTTCGTAAAATTTTCCAAACGTCAGATCCCTCATACACGGAAAAATCCTTTTAGAAATGTTTTACCCTCACACAAATTGAATTTCATTACCCTAATTATCCTTTTCGGAACCATTGCTAGTACAGAGTTAATGAAATCTTTACAATGTTCTTACGTAATCCTTTTAAAAGCTAGACGTAATGTTTCTAAAGAGCCCTTAGAAGAAAAAGGATTTAAATATTCACAGTCTCTTTTGTTTATCAAAGCAACCTGCGACGGTACAATTCATTAAAAACTGTTGACGTTTGTCTTGTTAAAGAACGGTTTCCTTTCGTGCACAGATAAGGGCACGCATTACTAGTGTAATTTATCATCACTACGTCAAGTTTTGACAGGAGAACGGTTCCTTGCGCTCTAAGTTATGCACAATCAATTTCTTATTTAAATACCAAAACACCGGACTACTTTGTAAAAAGTGTCTCTAAATATAAATGACTTTTTGAATTGTGTCCGCTGCAAAAGAACTCACTGCTCCGTGAAGAACTCATTAGTTAATGTCAATTTTTGACAACAATGGCCAAGAGATATCTTTAGGAAACAGGAGACAAAAGGAAAGATTCCTGAGAAGCTTTTATTCATGATTTAAAAAAGAAAACACTGCATGTTTTGGCATGGAATGCAGTCTTTTTAATCCTGTAGGGAACAATCGCCTAATTCCTATTGTTTGTAGACATTACTTTGTGAATCCAAAATACCAGTGTGTTAAGCTGTGCAGAAGGCCCAAGTTATCAATGTTTCATGCCTCCTTACTGCAATAATTTCGATAGCTTGCTAGAAAAAGAAGTCAGCAGATTAAGTTTAAAGAGAACAGTTTTCATTTAAGTTGCCCAAGTTGAGCTTTGACAAGGACCTCTTTCACATATATCCAAATGCAAATAGCACGGCTGCTGTACATAAAAGAAGCCGTCAGAAATAAAATAAGTCAAGCGAAGCAGATTTATTACCTCTTGTGAATTAAAACTGGCGGGAAAGAAAGACACATGTAATATACAGCGCATTAACATGCTTACCTTGATAAGCGAAATTGACAGCCTGACGTTTCAAGGGGCGGAGATGGTTAGTCTCATACCCATGTCTCACAGCCGTGCAATTCAATAAATATGTATGATCTGGGTAAAAGGTTGGAACTTGATCACCCACTAGTCCTTCCAACAGCCCTCCACCCGCTCCCCCCCCCCCCCCTGTCTCCGCTCCCGCTCTGTAGAAAATATTTATGCTTATCAACTATTATCTGCTCTGTTGTGGGGCAGATAAGGCTTCCTTCACAACAAAGAAGACACTGTGACATGTTAAATAACTTTATTGCCTTTGTCTTTCTACGCTGTGAAATAGTAATGCGATATTCTATGAACCTTGATAAACTATACACAAATGTACACTTGTTAGAAAAAGTCTTTCAATAAACGCGCTGGCATTTTTGTGAGAGTACGCTAAGAGCAGTTTCTCCTTTTAAAAGCTTAGCTTCTCTGACTTTTTTGTTTTCCATTTTGATCGAGTATCTTATTTTTACATTTTAACTGTGGTTTCTTTCGACTGAATTGGTAATTAAAAACTTTTTTTTTTATAAATGTAGCACAAAAAACCTCACGTAGTTCATGTTGACAACGTATGTGTAGTCACAGTATCCGTTCTACTTTTTTCACTCACAAGGTCACACGATTCCCGCGCGTGTCTCGCGAGGTGCATAGCTTGTGAAAATGTCTTGCCGCACTTCTCGCAGCTGAAAGGTTTTTGACCCATGTGGGTCCGCACGTGATTGTTTAGCGTTGTTGCCCCAACGAACGTGCGTGAGCAAAAGCCGCACTTGAACGGCCGCTCTGTTGTATGAGATATCACATGCGCGCGCAGGTCTGAGGAGTTTGTGAATGTCTTACTGCACTGTCCACACTGGTAAGGTTTGGTGGGTTGGGTTGGACACACGTGCATTTGCAACGCAACTCGCTGAGTGAAGGTCTTATGGCACTGTTGACATCGCCACGATGTTAACTCGCTTGTTTGGCTGGTGGGACTTGGTATCTTATTGTTGCCACGGTTACCGACGTCACTTTCCACGTCACTTCTCAAGGGAGACCGCTGGTCTCGTGGTACGCTTTCTAACGACGGTTGTCTTTGATGCAAAGTGTATGTTGGAATCAGTGGTGGAAGTTTCTTTGCTTCAGGTGGCGAAGCTTTCGTACCTGAAAATAAGTTTTGTGGTAACTTAAGTAAAAAATGAAACAATGAAATTAGAAGATCCTCGCAGCTAAGAACACTACTGAAACTAGTAGTTGTAAGTAGGACCTGAAAAAAAAAATTTCAGGCCCATACGGGATTTGAACCCATGACCTCTGCGATACCGGTGCAGCGCTCTACCAATTGAGCTAACAAGCCAACTGGGAGCTGGTCAATGAATTGGGTACAAATAAACATCCGAGTGAATGAAGATTTAGATATATGAAAATTCACATATTTGCACTGCGGTGGAAAGATGAAATTAGAAGATCCTCGCAGCTAAGAACACTACTGAAACTAGTAGTTGTAAGTAGGACCTGAAAAAAATTTCAGGCCCATACGGGATTTGAACCCATGACCTCTGCGATACCGGTGCAGCGCTCTACCAATTGAGCTAACAAGCCAACTGGGAGCTGGTCAATGAATTGGGTACAAATAAACATCCGAGTGAATGAAGATTTAGATATATGAAAATTCACATATTTGCACTGCGGTGGAAAGATGAAATTAGAAGATCCTCGCAGCTAAGAACACTACTGAAACTACTAGTTTCAGTAGTGTTCTTAGCTGCGAGGATCTTCTAATTTCATCTTTCCACCGCAGTGCAAATATGTGAATTTTCATATATCTAAATCTTCATTCACTCGGATGTTTATTTGTACCCAATTCATTGACCAGCTCCCAGTTGGCTTGTTAGCTCAATTGGTAGAGCGCTGCACCGGTATCGCAGAGGTCATGGGTTCAAATCCCGTATGGGCCTGAAAAATTTTTTTCAGGTCCTACTTACAACTACTAGTTTCAGTAGTGTTCTTAGCTGCGAGGATCTTCTAATTTCATCTTTCCACCGCAGTGCAAATATGTGAATTTTCATATATCTAAATCTTCAAATGAAACAATGTTTGTGCAAAGATATTAACAATAGATCAAGAAGGCTTCTACCTCTTTCTGTTCATGGTAAATTTAACATGTGCAATAACTATTGCACTTTTTTTGGGTCAGATAAACCTAACATAGCATCATTTATTAGGTGATTAGCTATTTATCCGTCTAATTACATACATTGAGAACTCCAAAGAGGGCTTGTACTGAGCGGGAACTGAGAACTAGTGACTGCTCTGGTATATCGAGTAGTGTCTTGAGGTTTAAATGGGGATGATGTCGAGTTTATTGGTCGGTTGGGCTGTTGCGATGCCATTTTTTCTTGTTTTCTGTCGTGCGTGGCTGTAGATGAAGAGTTATTGACAAGTTGTGAAGATTGCTTAGTTTGTAATGTCAGAAATCTAGCTGACTTTCTGACTAATTGACTTACGGAGCGACCCCATGGTAGATTCAGTGACTAACTGACAGATTGTCAATTAACTGACTTTCTGGCAGAACGACTCACAAAAGAGCTGACTGACACACATTCGACTTATGAAGCAATTACTGCAAGGTTTAATGGAGTGATCAACTAAGGAGGTAACCAGCTCAACTGCTGGCTGGCAGTTTTGCCTACAGAGTGATAATGAGGAATTTTCAGCCAACTTATTCACTAATTACTCGCCTCTTTATCGATCCAACTGTCTTCGCATGAGTACCACTATCTATCTTTGCCAGTCATTTGTCTCTGGTCTCCACTAATATTGGTCTAGTTATTATTGTGACTAAATCCATCTTGACTCACTTACTGACTGATGCAAAGGGCCTGATGCAAGATATTGAAGAAAAGATTATAAGGTACTTACTACCTTTACTTGAATATCGATTTGACCCAATGTCTCACCTGAAGAAGCTCCACCTGGCATAGCGTTAACTTGTAACCCGAGCGGAATGCCCATGTACATTGGGTATTTGTCGTCATACCATACAAGCAGTTCTGTGCCTGTAGGAATATCTTTGAATGCTCTGTAGTAAATGTTTCCGTTATACTGAAATGCATACAGGTTCTGTTCGCCCTTATGTCTTGCGCAGCGGATAAACCGCATCCAGCTGGAACAGTTCTCGTCACTCCCGTCAATGTAATGAGACAATGTGGAACCTTCGTATATCTGTGGAATTGATTGAAGTTAACAGGGTAATTTGGTGTTGTTAACTGAGTTGATAACGTAAATTGGCCACCGTAAAGAGTTTAAAGGCTGACGTTTCGAGCGTCAGCCCTTCGTCAGAGCGTTTGAATAACTCTGACGAGGGGCTAACGCTCGAAACGTCAGCCTTTAAACTCCTTACGATGGCCAATTCACGTTATCAAATCAGTTGACAACACCAAATTACCCTGTTATACTCTCCCACCGACGCGGCGCCACAATTTCTTTAGAAACTTACCTCCTTTATGATTGAATTTAAGTAAACTGCAGATATGCACGTATTTGTATCGTTCTCGTGCGTGTTTCGTGGCCACTTAGGAGGCTAGCAAACGGGTTTATGATAGACCTGTGCTCTCATCTCAAACTACTTCGACGATTACCAGGAAACTGTTTGATACCCAGAAAACGTTCAGAGTTCAAACTGGACTTGTCCTCCTGACTCATCGTTTATTGGCGGGCATTGGAGAAAACTACAATAAAAGTGTCTTAACCCTAAACTCTTCACCTGTGAAATTTAACCTGTCGGGAAGGACTCGACCTCTCCCAATAAGTCTTGGTCTTGTTTTCTTGAGGAAAACAAGGTTTTTATGTAACTGTTCCCAAACCAGTTCGGCTGTATTACAGTAGTGGTCAGTCTCCTACATTTTGCCTTTTTACAATGAATTTCTCATCATTGTTCTTTTTCTTTCGGTAACAACTGGCCGCTGTCTTTCAACAGCGCGAGATAAGGCTCAAGTTCGCAAGCGTTTTCATACTTCCTATTTCAATTTACCTCCCACATATGTGACGTATCCATTTCTGATGTGACGTCGCTTGGACGAATTCGTCTTCCTTCAAATGGACCAATCCATGTCCCCGTAGGGATGGGCTGATTGGTGTACACACCGCACCCCTCCCCCGCTGAGTAGGAGACTCCAAACTTGCATTCCGGTGGTAAGGACTTGACGGCGTAGCTCACACGTCTGTCGGTCAACGGCTGAGTGGGTTGCCTGTGTAGGGCACATGATCCAGGGGGCATTGTTTGACAAACTTCACACGCTGAAGGAAAAATTAGTGATCACAATAAAACTGCTCCGACCCTCTTTAGGAATATTTTCACTGATCTTTTCAGGAGTGACCAGTTAGTGCTTTCCCCCTACGTTATCACTGGTTTATTCTGGTTATTCAGCAATGACCATTTAAAAGAACTGAGAGATATTTTTCGATTTAGCGTCAAGCAACGTCACGACCTGGACAATCCATTTTGTAAGTAATAATAGCAAAATCAGACTTCACACGATTGAGTTAAATTAAAACTCCGTCGTTATCTTTCCCATGATTAAGTGGATAGTACTTGATGAAAGTGCAGGCTCTGACATGTTCTGTCTACGCTAGATACTTATAAAAAACTAGAATTATCTCTGGCAATTAGAATTTCAATAAATCTCTTTGTGCTCCCCATTTTTTTTGCCCTGAGCAATGCTTCAAATAGATAAAACATTCCATCTGCCCACTCGCGCGACGCTGCCTGTCAGTCCAAGTAAGTGGAAAAGTCTGTGGATTTGTTTGCTTAAATTTTCCATACTTTTCTCAAGATCATTAAATCAAATTTCTTGTGACTAAATTAAGAATGGAACTTGATGATCAGTAGCTTTATTATAGGTTGTTTTTTTAATCCCAATGCTCATCAACGAGTTCCCTGATCCATGCCTAAGATGGAATTATGTAGCATTCGCTAAGTTTCAAAGCCAACGTGTATTGAGGATTCGATCTTTAGATATAACCAAAAAAAGCTCAGGAATGAAAATACTTTAAATATTTTCTACCTTTTTACTTTAAACAGCAATGCATCCGTGTACGTTATTATCATAATTAATTGAATAGTATCCCCCCAGTCTCGTATTTTTCATTGAAAAGATTTATTAAGGAGTTGTATTATGAACTTTAAAGACCACAAAACTGTTATTGCAAATAGCACTCATTGAAATAATGACCAATTTAGCTTTCTTTCGCCTATTCGAACGGAAATCTGCGGTACATACTAGAAAATATTGCACAATTTTGACGAAAATGTTTGGATTTACGTCACGTTCGGTCTAGACCTAATTTTCGTGCGACAAAACTCAATTGTAAATGGGTTTTAGTTAATTGCATGACTACACATCATAGATATGGCATCCAGACGGTGAACAAAGCGCTTCCAATGCAAGTCACAATTAGGAAAAACATCAGATCTAGATACACTACCAATCATTCCGAATTAATGTTTCTAAATGCTAAAATACTTGTCAAGATGTTAATATTTTGTTATGATGTTAGTAATTGTCATAGAATTGAATAATTTTTCAAACAACCACTGTGGTTTTGAGGGCATAATATTTAACCGAGGCCTTATGAATGACCCAATTTCCGTTCAGCAGCAGCTGTTTGATCTTCTCGGAAACAAGCCCTTCAAATAACAAATTAACAATATTCACTAAGCCTCACCGGATAGCAGTTCAGATAACTATTGTTGCGACATATCTTCCGCCCGTTTCATCTTACGTGATTATACACAAGACACTATTTAGACGGCTTAGATGGTTTTGCTTTCAAGCACAAATTTTTTTCGAAGATAAATATTTGCTGTTTTTGATCGTAAAGGAGAGAACGCGATGGTTCGTTTCTCAATTGCTAGGTGCAGACGAGGAAATACAGTATTGCTGGACGCATCATTAATTGTTAAAGCCAAGCAAAAAGGCATAGCCGTCCTCTCCAAAACCGTAAATACCTGAGAGACAATCTTAGGCCAACGAAAGTAAATCAGAAAGTTGGTCAAAAATGCGCGCGTGTCCATTCTCACAAACACGCGCCTTGACGCGAGGTCGCGCGTGACTGATTTTGGTTTTTAGGCAAAACATTTTCCGTACAAGAAACGTTGTAAAAGGTGTTTACAAAAATTACCTGGATTGAGTGCCTCTTGTGCTACAAAACGCCCTGCCGACTGAGAACCAAGTTCGTCTTTATTCACCTGCCATCGTGTTGTCTGGCCATAAAGGACGGTAAACACTTCTGAAGCGGTGAAATATCTGGGACTCTGATTTGAAGGTGCATTCGGTTCCAGGTTAGACGGCAAAGCAATCTGGTTCAACTAAAAAGATTTTATATGTCACAACAATGGCACCGTTTCTCGAATTAACTTGAACATTAAATCTACGTGAGATAGCATATGTAAATTAATTAGGTCTGACTGAGTGTCACAGCAGAACAATTGGTGCTTTAAATTGCAAATGCAATGAGTGATATCTGCCTTAGCAGTCGATCATAGAAAGAGTCTGGTGGAAATAAGTGCTTCCAACAGTAAATTAACAAATATATAGCCACAGTCCTGAAACCCAATATGTTTTCTTTTTTAGCTAAGAGGCATAGAGAAGACAAGCGATAAAACCCTCCTTTTTGATCCCCGCCGAAATCATAATATATTTCGTTTGCTCTACGCGGAACATTCCCAGAGTTACTTTCTCTGTTTAATGCTTACCAAATTTATCTCTAGCCTCCTTTTAGTCTCTTCACTAAACAGATGAGACATTTTGGCTGGACACGTCTGGTTTGTTTGAGTCCTCTGTCATAAATTCTGTTAGCTGAAGGCTAAAATGCACCGATGGATTTAAAAACAATCTGAACACTTTGGACGGGCGTTGAATTAAAGTTCCAAAATGTTCTTTTCAGTTTAAGCTGTCACTTATTCACGCTTGGCTTCAAATAAGCTATATAAAGTTATCTGATTGGTCAATCTTACCCTTTACTTCTATAGTGTTCTTTTCATTGTCATCATGAAATAACTTGAATTTGAAATAAACCCCATTTCTAAGTGAGTGCAGCACGAGATATGCACGTGAAGTTTTGGCAGGCTGTTTCAATGTGTAGCCTGTGGTCTTGTAGTAGTTTCGTCTGTACCGTCATAGGGTCTTCTTGTGAAGTATTTCCATTCTTGTGTCTTTTCGTTTATAACTTTGAATAGATCATGTCCTTATTTGAGTTAATTGTTCAAGAATTTCTAAAGCCACTCAACCATAGAAAGTGTGTGATTTAAAAAAAGCTCAGGCTAAATTCTGTTTGACACGTGGTGACGTCGAGACGTTAGATCATTAATTCATTTGAAACAAGGCAAGATATATCCGCAAAGTGTTTCTCTAGTTTTCTTTGATTAGCAAAGAAGGCAAAAGTTCACTAAGGTCATTCGAAAAGAAGTCATAATTTGCATTATAAGCGTTAAGTAATCACAATGAAACCATACAATTGCTCTTGATTGAAACTTGTCAAACTTACTCGAAAGAGGAACAGACAATTTTCAAGACATAGACCTCTAAAACCACATAAATCTTGAGGAATGGTTGACTCAGTTTTTTAAATCGTGATCTGTTTCTTTTACCGATGGATTTCTCTACATAATGGGCAGTCATTGTCTTCAATCGTCTTGCCGTGACGTAGAAGAAAACGAATTAGCGAAGTGAAGGTACTTGAAAGGTTTCATCTCGCCTCGCCTGTACTCCGCGCTTGTGGTTTGAATATTTTTAGACTTGGAACGGGGAATACGTACTTCTACACCGAACAATTGAACGGGGTTTTAAAGGAATTTGATAACAAAACGGTGTTCAATTACGCTAAAAGACAATGACTGCGTACTAAAAATACATCTTTCCGTTGGGAGGTGAACTTTCTAGGTATTAAATGACGAACATCCGAATCATCAACAAATATTAACGGCAGGATCCGGAAATATGTCAGAACCGGCGGAGAAGAGAATAGCTTTCACACAGTATTAAAACATACTTATTCGGACTCATGAGCCTACAATGAAGTACTTCGCGAGATTTTAATGTTTAATCATTTTTCCAGACTTTATTGGTACGAACTCACTCAAATATGAAATAAATGAGTCATTACGTCATAAGAAGGTCTCAATGGGGTCAAACGAGCAAAATTTCACCGTCAACCATTAAAAAGTAAAAATATTTTAACCGTGAACTGTCATAAAGTAGACCGATCAAAAGTAGCCGTCAAACGTTTTAAAGTTCTCTAGAATCTTTTATTTTAGCCGCTTGCCACGAACAGTTCTAGATCCCGAAACATCTTAAGACTGCTGAACCAGTAGTCTTAGTCGGGTTTCCAAATTTGTTCTCTTTCAGGTCACTTTCTGTAACTTTCGCCTTAACTGGCACGTTGCAAATTGTGATATTTAACTGGATAATTAAATATTTAAAAGATAGCTGGCTACGTTAATAAATTCTTTCATAACGCGCTTTGCTACGCCATTTCCCCCGTTCGACCAAATAAAAACTTATAGCAAGTTGTGATCATGGCGAGCGTCCTGAAAGCCGTCATCAGCTTTTGTCGTAAAAGTGGAAGAAAAGCCCTCTGAGCGATACACACTATGAGTTTCCCTCGAGGAAGGACGTAAGCATATTGGGAGTTTTCGCCAACTTATGACTGATTTCCTCGGCCGGTTTCAGCGACTTGGTGCTGTGTTAAATCTGGGGTTGGGCTCATTTGCGCTCAAGCTGAACCGGCTGGTAAAACCGAACTACTTAATGGAAAACTGAAAATTACAGTCTAACAAACCAATAATAACTCTATATTTTAACTGTTGTCCGGACTGAGAGCGAGTTAAACGGTGAGACGTGCTCTGAGGTGTCGACTTGTTGCAAATGTTATTGTTGTGAAGTATCAAAGTACAAGGTTTTTCAAGGTTACCATTCTTGGATAGTCTAAGAACCCCACACAGAGAGTTTCCTGATTGTCGTCTGTTTTGTCTAGTTGTCTGATCTCTGTCTTTCTGAATTGGTCGTGTTTTGTACTTTATCGTAAGTTTTTTACAACTGTTCGGGTTTGACTGATTATTCTGAGGTCCTCATGTAAGTCTTGTGCACGAAATTCTGTAAGACAGAGCTCGTTGTTTTTACCTTTGAGTTGTTTGTGAAGCGTGTTTCTCGAACAATGACTTCCGATAGTGGTCATGTTTGGGTTTTTCCACCGACCGGCTTGGTTAGGACCAACGCCAAAGTTCCTGTTTTTGTTTTATTGTTCAAAGATGGTCATTATATTTGGCGAATATCAAACACTTTGTTGTTTATTGCTACAAGTGTCTTGAAAGTATTTTCAGGTTGGCGCTTTGATCAAGAGATTTAATCCCCAAAGTCAGTCGCCCCTAACCCAAACATGCTGGCCAATAGTCGGTACTTAGAGACATATACAAGAGAGACGATTTAGTAATGGTAGTTGACTGTAGAACTTTTACGATGAAGAGGAAGAACTAAGATGGTATAAAGAAGAGTCTTGTTACCTCTCACTAGCGCGGGTCAGCTTCTCAGAAGTTAGTTTCTCCGCCATTGCGACGCAACATATTTGGTGGGAACCCAACCTGGATTCCCTCGTCTTTTAACCAGAACCCTTGACGGTTTTCAAATTAAACCCAGAGTAAATTTTCTTTCCCGTCGAGTTCCCTCCAACAGCTATCCTATGACTTGTAAGCAATGTCACAAGCCAATCTGAAGTCTAATACAACGCAAGCGAAGGAGTAAGAGAGTGCAAGAACACTGACTGAAGCTGCATTATGTCAAATTGACTATTGAATGATAAAAGGCCAGTTTAGCATATAAACTGAAGTTCTCTTTCGTTCATAGAAATGTAAATACATGAATGAAAATAACAGGTATAAGATATACATTCATTGTTTTTTTCCTTACCTTAATGTCGTGGTTTATACTCAACTTCGAATTATCGACGGCGGAGGTAAAACTCTGAGTATTGAGCAATCACTGGTGCACATCAAGGCTACCCAGCCCTTTTTCAAAGAGTCTCTCGTTCTTAAATGATAAAAGTGAAAAATTGCAGTTTGGGGCACAGTTAAAACAGCCTTCCTCACATATTCATTCACTCGGTCATGTTCTCTGGTCGCGCGTGAATCAGCAAAATCTGTCTCGGACGACGAACTTTCTCGAGGTTGTTTGTTAGTATCTTAGGCAATGACATGATGAACACGCACGCTGACAGAGCAGATTTTGTTATATGTTTACTTTCGTGTAACATAAAAATATCAAATTTACGGTGATGACTTAATAGTGAGTTCATAATCAACCAGTTATTAATATCTGGATGTTTTTTACCTAAAAACGGGCTGATATCATTGGACACATTTGCAGATTAAAATACGTGACTACGAACAACAAATGGTTTATACGTCGAGTCATCTCCATGCATGGAACTTTTTTTTATTTCCGAATTCCATGTATGACAAGAATGAACTCCTTGTCAGCCTGTTCCAGGCTTCCAGTTAGTTAACGGTGCGCAATGGCCGTTTGCACGCAGATAAGAACTGAGTCTGTTCCCGACCCTTCTCAAACTTCTGTCCCTTTTTCTGCTCAGCGCGATTATGGTGCTGCGTTTACTAAGTAAGCGTATTGAACAGGCCAACTTCTCATAAAATTTTGCCAAATTTTAAGTTAAAACAGTGATAAGAAATGCTAGAATTTTAGGGGAGTCTTCTCATTTCTTTTACTTAGAGATACTGAGTGGATTAACCACCAGTTCTTAGTATGTGTCAATAAAGAGATTTATGATCATCGGTTGGCTGAATTTGCTTTTAGATGTGAGTGAAAAAGTGAAGGGATAATGTTGCATTGATACCTTATCGCTGAGTGTAACAGACTAGTGGGGTTGGATGGAGACCACCAATCCAAAATACCGCGGTCCCCTATAATGTTCATTTGCCAAAGTGACGTAATCGAATAATCACCCCAAATATTAAAGACGAACAAAAACTTTTGATAAAACATGGAAATTATTTACTTATAATTGACTTTTTAATTCACATTACTAAAACGAATGGCTTAAATTCTGAGTGTACCTTTTTGAAAGGTTTGGTAAATGTACAAAATGTCGATGACTATTTACAAGATGAAGTCTATAAAGATATATGTTGAACGCTTTTAAGTAGTTGCCTTAATCTTAAATGTTTACTTTTATAAGTATATTAGATAATTATTTACTAAGGTGAGTAAAGATAAGAAATATAGTTTTGTTATCTATTTTTGAACTTGATGTCCGGTTATTCCTCTCTATCAATATGATCCTCAAGCGTTTTGTTTTTCTGTTTAGTCCAGTCATCATGATAACGAAGTGCTAAGTAAGCATCTAAATATAGACTAGATTTGTTTTTCTATACAACTGCTTTGGACTTTTAAGTACAGGTGTATTTTGAATACAACTCATCGCGACAATGAAATAAGTAAAATAAAAAGCGACTCCGACTTTCTCACAACCTCACTACGGTTTTTATGAGCTGGAATAAAAAAAGATTTATTTTCGTAAATTAACCTACGAGGAAGTTAGATGTCTAAAAAATCAATCCCTCGGCTTTGTTTCACTTACTTGCTCGTCTTTGTACAGAATTGGAAAGGTAATATTTTAAAAAAAATTATGAACTAATAAATGAGTGCTGACTGCACAAGCGAATTATTTATATTCCGGTGTGTATGAAAGGCGAAAATCGTAGCGTAAGCATAACCTTTAGGTAATGTCAATAACTATAATATCTTGAAAGACGGTGCTGCTAAAAGTACATTTAGAGTGTGAGTTTCCTCTGTACAGAATGTTGTGTAATACGAACAACACGGATGTGTTATGAATCAATACTTGTCTCTGGGGAAACATTCGTAAAGAGATCTCTTGTGCTTGCTGAGCTGCGATGCTTGTGAAAATGTTTTGTAGCACTTGTTGCAGGTAAAAGGCCTTTCTCCTGTATGTGTTCGGACATGATTGTTAAGAGTTGTTGCTCCGGCGAAAGTACGTGAGCAAAATCCGCACTTGAATGGTTTTTTCCCAGAATGAATGACAGCATGCGTGCGCAGCTCGTTTGGATGCGCAAACTCCTGCGAACAATGGCCACATTGGTAAGGCCTGTTTGGATTCCTTGCGCAGATGTGCATTTGAAGCAAGCTGCGCTGAGCGAAAGACTTGTCGCATTGACCACAATGCCAGATCTTTGGCTCGCCATTTTCCAAGATGAATTCCCCATCAGCAACACGAGGCCATTCACACGGCAACTCCGTCTTGTCATGAATGTCCTTGAGACGTGCTTCCTCCAATTTTCTAAGCATCTCCTTGGGTCCGTCAGTCTTAGGCATGTTCTGTATTTTCGCCCTCTTGTTGATGCCATTACTTTCCTCATGTTTTCTCTTGATGTTTTCCTTTTGAGCCTGTTTGTTTACATGGACCTCTCTTTCTGTCGCCCTTGGTGTCTGCGCAGTTCTTGTAGGAGGCGAGTCAAGTGGTGTATTCCTATTAGAAGATGTTTGTAATTGAGGAGAGGCCTGTTTTACTGCTGTTATTGTCGGAGGAGGAATGGGGGAGACCTGATGTCCATCTGTGTTAGTCGTTGCCATTACCGGGTAAGGCCTGGACCCTAAAGGGTAAAGTGCACTAAAGTTAGAATCACTGTCGAACTTGGAAAACTGCCTGACAAGTTTTACATTTCTTGTTATTAATGCCAAAATCGTTATTAATTTTTGTCTAAGCCATTCACTTCCCTGTCAATTAGATCATTTTTCTTCCAACGTTGACAGGTGGGAATAATTAAAGGGTATTATCGAAACGAAGGCGATATAGCCAATTGTGTGGCATTCTGTTTGTGTCCTCGTTAGAGGCAACGAGTATGAAAGAGATGTCGAGAAAACCTGGACTTACCCATTGAATTCAAGTCATGAATGCTCATCGGAATCCCAAAGTATTGTGGGTAGATGTCTTCGTACCATACAAGCAGCTCTGTTCCTATAGGAATATCCCTGAATGCTCGGTAGTAAATGTTGGCACAGTACTGGAAAGCGAAGAGATTTTGCTCACTTCTGTGGCGGGCACATTTGATGAATCGCATCCAGCTGGACGAGTTCTCGTCCGTTGCATCGAGATAATACAAAATTTGGCCTTCTTTGTAGATCTAAAATGAGGAAATGTCAAATTTAAGTCATCCATCGAAACGCAAGCACAATGGAAAGTTTTTTATATATTCTGTTTGTTGTGTTCGAATGGTTAAATTCTATGTAAACCTGCGACATTAGTTGATGAAGAGAGGATAAGTAGTCTGACGAGTAAATTGACGAGCAGAAAGCAAAGTACTTTCCATTCAATCATTCATCGTAAAACTGCACATCCTGGAAATCCTGCTTTTAAGCTTAGCTTCCAGGTTTTAAAAAAAATTACTTTCCTCAATATCTAACTTGAAACTATATATAAGTTTTTGTCTCGTACCTCCCACAAAAAGGAAGAGTCCATATTGGGTTTTACATCTTCTGGATTAATCCGTTTCCCCTCATACGGTCCAATCCACGTTCCCACCGGTATGTGTTGTTTGGCGGACACTCCATATTTCTTGCCAGGAATGCTGGACTTACACAACTGAACTACATCTGGGAACGACTTCATGGCGTAGCTGTTCAAGTCCCCTGGAACGCTCGGCTCTGATTGGCTAGAAGGAGGATGAACAGGGCAGCGGATTGTGTAAATCTTGTTACAGATCCTGCAAACTGAAGAAAAAGAATGAGATTTTAACTTCTTCCTAACTTCAGCGATTTTATATATATATATATATATATATATATATTCACTCAAAAAAATCGTTACGTTTTTTTTAAATGAAAATTCTTACCGAGAACCATTCGCTTCTAAACTTACACTTTATATTTCCTATGATTTAGGCTTTAGGCCACAACGAAATTAAGAAACCTTTTTGTATGTTATTGTTTTCGACATATTTCGGGTTTGGAAGTGATTCAGCCAAAACGGAAATCGCTCGACTAGTCATTTTGGAAAAGAGCTAGGTTAACAGAATAGTTTTCATCTGAAATTGGCGCTGGCCTCTTAGAGAGCAAACAAGCTGTAAATAATAATTAAAACAAACAATCATGTCTGGACAAAACAACATCAACCTACATGAGGATGGCTTGTCCATTCCTGTACCGTTTTCTTCCAGTTTCTTGTTCTTACACTCTTCAATATTAATCGTCTCAACATTTCCAGTCTTCTGGTGCAGATAATTATACAGGTCCTCGGCAGTGAAGGAAAAAATCCGTGGTTTTATTGCTTCTTTCTGCTGTTTTGCCTTGACAGTGCTCAGATGTGGTCTCGCAAGTGTCGTCTTTTCAACAGTGGATGCCTGCATCGTAAGAAAAACAGTACGAGTGTAACTATAGGAATAGGATCACTTAAGTGAAGACACGATAAATATATATGCCGGTCATATACAATGCGGTTTTACTACTACGCTAAATCCTCACGCGTCACAAAATAAAAATAGCAATACGGTGAAGCATTAAGTCAATATATGAGCTAAATATTGGCTTCTGTTTACTATACTGACGCGTGTTTTTTGTGTGCTATTGAAAATCGATAAAGCGATAAGTTTTGTAACATCATCAAACAGCAATTTTTTATCCAAACCAAACCAAAATTTAGAAACAACAGCAAAAACAATTACAAAGGCGGTTAACTCTAAACAAATTCTTATTGTTGTCAGAGACTCCTGGTGCGTACATTTACTTGGCATCACAGTCCAAGGCTGTTTTAAAAGCAATTATTATGTGTTTTTGACAAAACTATAGCATTGCTCATTGCAATATTTGGAGAAAAAGGGTTATGTTTCACATGAGAAACGATACAAAATAAAACTCATTGGTGTTTAGTTCAATGACAATTCGTTTCTAAACAACTATCATTTGAAATCAAGATACAACTCAGTGTTTTTTCTTGCTTTTTTGGTTTGTACCAGTTTCCTCGCCTTTATAAGAGGAAAATTTGAATCAAGGATTCGTTTGAGATGTGTCAGTTTTGCTGTCCAGGGGTCCAATTGTTGCTTGTAAGCGTTGCTTAGGTAAGGCAGCACTTGGGGTTGTTTGGGGCAGGAAAGAGTCATCATTAGATAAAATATTAATGATTTGTTTTTGCAGATTTGTAGTCGGGATTACCTCTGCTCACGTCAGCGCTGACGCAAAATAAGCGTAAAATGAAAACAATTAAAATCCATTTTATACGATGTTTGATCAATCGGAAAATCAGCCTAGGTATCATAAAAAAACTAAACAATTGTCAAACTACCTTATATTGGTATAGCCAAAATGATTTATTTGTCCACCAAATATTTATTTGCGTTTCTTGGTTTCTATCACATGAAGAGTTTTGAGGTGGAATGAATAGATGGCGCAAATGTTTCCTTCACATTTTGGGAGAAGATTTCTCAATTTTTTTAATCTACCAATGAAAAAAAAGAATTGCTTCTGTGTTCTCTTTGGGGGAGTTGACAGTCAGGTTTTCTGCTGCTCAAGTTATCAATATCGTAGCTGGATGTATTACGAAAGAATTCAAGGAAGGAGAAACTTCAGTGAGGGAATGATCCTGTAGAAACAGATGATCATGTAAAAAATGAGAAATTTCCCGAATTTCTTGTCTACAGAAGTTGAAAATGTACAACTTGCATTTAACCGTTCAAAGATATATAACAGCCCCCTTGATAGTTGACATCATGGACTGTTTTTAGCGCAATCATATTTTTTACTCACCATCTCTTCTTAGTAAACAGGAAATCTTTGTCGCTTTCTCCGCGCAGGACATCAAACAAACTAAGCTTTATGTAATTATCTCTTAGCGATTTCCCACGCTTAAATTTTCCTTGCAGAATTAAGAGCTCTTACTGTAACCCCCTTTGTGAATGATCTTACCCAGGTAAAACGATTATTGATAAAAAGTGGCATTATTAAGAGGCAATACTTGTTGTTATGTTATGAAGCACACTAAAAATACTCTGGGCCTTTGCTATGGTAACCTGGCAAAATTCTCGAAAAGGCTTGAAACTTACAGGGAATTTTACAAATTAAACTTTGCCCAATGGTTTAATTGTAAGATTATTCAATGATGTTGTTATACCCACGTCACATTTCACTTTGACGTAAAGGAACCAATGATATACATTGCAAGTGTATTTAAAACTAGTCATTAATTTTGATTTTAACAATGAGCCTTAGAACAAACAAAAGATACCTCAATAGCATTGCAGGTGACGTTGAGATCTGGGTTAATAATGACACGTGCATTAACCTCAGCCAAAGTAAACGGTCTCATGATTTGAAAGAAAAAGCGAGAAAAACAGCGTACGTGACCTCTCCCAAAGTTATCTTGATTTTGATATTTTTGTGCTGAGCGAATTTGCCAATAACCAAAATATAGTTCAACAACAATTAAAAGTATTTTTTCTAGCTCTATGCCATCGTCTTCTCTTACTTGAATCAATATATTTAAAAGGCCAGTATAGATATAGTGGTCTCATCATAACAGTTGAAGATATATCGAGAGATAAATATTGGAGTCAACAGCAATGTGTCGAGACTGAGTAAGAATGAGGTAACTGTGGAAGTATGAGAATTTTTTAACTGGATTGTAGATGAAAAACAAAAACAACAACAACAACTTTCGCTTGCAAATGAATGGAGATGTTTTCCTTGACTTGTATGATAGGCATGAGGAATAGTTGCTGTGTTTTACCACCAAACTGTTTCACTTATCCAATTATAACAACTCGAGATATTGAACTTTGTGTTTTAAGGACAGACGGAGCAGTCAAAGGCTAATAAAAGCGACGTCTGTCTTAATCAGGTATTATAGGTCTTGAAATAGTGCCAAAAGATAATTTCGTCTGACTCGTGTATCTGGAAAAATTTTCTATACTGAAAAAAGACCGGAATTTTTTTCCCGGATCAGTAAGAGTCAGCACAATTCATATTTTACGAAGCAAATTTGTGGCAAAGAGATCAAAATTTGCACCAAAACAAGACATGAGGAAATTGTCCATGGAAGTTAATGTTGTTTCTGAAAAATATTGCGACTTCGCTGTCTGCCGCTTCAGCCAATACTACAACACTACAAGTTCTTTAAAAATCAGCACTGTAACAAATAAAAGCCTTCATATTCCAAATATTGGCTGTCATTATTGGATATATTGTCTGTTTCATCTCCAAGCGAATTACTCTGCTATGAGTCGCTATACACTGTTTACACTATAATGTTTTCTTCGGTTTCCAAGTGACAAAATAGCAGAACAAAAAGTCCACTATACGTGCTGCTGATTATTATCCCCTTTTGGCCTCAAAATAGTTTGTTTGACGCTTTGATTATCCAAAATAGGAAAACTTTTGTGATTAATTTATCTCGTCCAATAAAAAATAAATTTTTATAATGGACTGTTATAATTAACATTACATCATATTTTAAAAATAATATATTTATTATTTGAAGCTATGATTTTTTATCTCAAAACTAAAAGTAGACGTCCTGAACTTTCGATTCTTGATTAAAGAAAGTGAAAGAAATTTTGAAACTTGCAAGATTAAGTTTAAAGCTGTCATGTAATTTTATGTATAAAACATTGATCATTTGTTGCGAATTCAGATGAACATAACACACTGAAAAGTGATTCATCAGAGCTATATAATCCCTTGTTTCAAATGTCTTATGGTTTTTTTTATCTTCTTATCTATTTTGTGATGTTGTCAAAGTTTTTGCAACTAAGCAAGATACAAATTCTTAACATCAATAAATTAGACAATAGTTTCTACAAGGATTTACTGAATAACTTGCATTTCATAGATTTTTTTAAGACAGTGACACCAAAATATAGCAAACAGGTTATTGCTCAATTCTGAAATCCGCTTTTTTAATGCGCCGAGTAACAAAAGTGAATTCAGCTTTATTGATGAGGTGACCAAAACAGTCGAAAGTGAATCGAGTGCCCTTGAGCGCACATTTCTGGCGTGCAGAAAGTAATTAATTTTCCACTCCAATGATTGCACATGTTTTTGTGAATAGGAACGCACTCATGCGTGAATTGCAGGAGTCGGCCACAACACGTAATACAGTGCCTCTACTTTTCAGCATTAGTTCTAATATTGAATAATCCATCCATTAGGCGCCTGACTGCTGGCACTAAAAATATCCGTTTATCTCCAAAGCAAGGAAATTCAGAATAAAACGCTCCACGACGAGGATTTAAATAACAATCCGAAACAGGAAAAAAAACCAAACTCGTCGGGTGTTGTTAAGAATAGAAACTAAGGTAGCTCTTTTACACAGGTAACTTTATGGCAAAATGAACATCGCTTCATGTAGAAGAGTTACGTCGTACTAATAAAAAAAGCAAGTAAAATACGTTTCGTTCTTTTAACCGCTATGAAGGCAAGCACTATCCTGTTTTCTGTTCAGTAATGGCTCAATTCTCTCTGTCATGGTCCGTAAGTTGTATAAACTTTATCAGTTTCGGCGCGAAAACTTACCATCATCTTTCTGTCTGTAAACTGCGTCACTAGACAAGTAACTTGTTCCTCTTCAAAAATCTTCAGATTTCCCCTGTTGCACAAAGATTAAAGAGATTCTGATGATCTTGGCTCTGAACGCGATTTGTGGAAGCGTAGACTATAACTTAACTTGTTCACCCCTGAAACTAACGTCTCACAACTGGCGTGCGTCGTAGAATACACTGGGCTATTATGATGTCAAAACTGGTTTGGCCGTTTCGAAAACAAGTGATCATGTGTCACTTGTTATGGTAATGGTTTATCACGGTTGAAGGAACAAAGATCTTTCTAAATACAATATAGACAATAAAAGGGAAAAAAACAACTTAAGTATTAATTAACGAACTTTCATGCAGACTAGATAATTCGATTCGAACTATAGGTCAATTTTATTAAGTTACGAAGATCGCAAGTTCTTCGTGGTAGACGAGTCTTTTTCCGTTGCAAGAGATATCTCTTGAAGTGCAGAAGCTTTTGCGCAGATGGGCTTAAATTGGTTTTTCGCCTGCGGGTCAGGCTTCCCTGAGTTCGCATTTTGAGGGCTTTGTCTCAACACGTTTCGAACTTTAGAATTTAGCGTCAAAGAAAGACGCTTTTGTTAACGAAACAGAATTTAATATCATGTGCTTTTGTGTTCGTCTTTTCTACGCATCGCTTACTTCCAGCTGCTTTCAAAAGTTTTTCCTGTTTCGCTGAAATAATTAACCGATAGAAAATTTTCAGGTTTTGCAATGAAATTACTGGCCCAAAACGAGCACTGATAAAGCATACCCAAGATATGCGCGTACGAACGGTCCTTATGCAAAGCTCTGATGATCAATATTGTCACAGCAATTTCATTTTCGTCGTTTTAAATTGATCCATTCAGTTCACTTTCGTTAGCATCTCAGGTGCTACCTTCAATTGCTAAAGTAAACTCCAATTTTAATGAATGTGGTTTGGGTAAATATATCGATGCTCTGTATGTAAACACGAGGTACTTAATATTTCAAAGACTTTTCCCAAGACAGGAATGCCTTAACACAAAGGCAAATTACTTTTCGAAGGTGCAATATGAACGAAAACATGAACTGGTTTCCTGACAGACTTACAAACAACCAGACAGGAAAAAAAATAACATTATTGGAAGAGAATATTTTCAAATTTCTCAGAAACATTTGAAAACCGTATCACCCGCTCTTTTGTATACGATAGACGGTTTTATTTCAACTCAGATAGTTTTCTTCTCTATATTGGTTTTTGATAGTGTTTTCCCGGTTGATTGGTAAAGATTCTGTTATCTTTCCCTCTAATGTCAACTCGACTTACACCGATAGGTCATGAAATTGAACCTTACCGTTCTTAATCAAAGCGTTAATTAACATGAAAAAAATTCTGATTATTTAGAAAACTATGAGATGAAATATAAAACTGCATCTCGTCATATTTCCAACATGACAACAATATCATTTTTATGCCGCTAAGCAGCACGTTATCGATTTTTTTCTGAAACCAATATAACCTCTTTTGTTATCCGATGGTTTTGTTTCCAATTGAATGCATCATTTCGACTGAGTTCCGCATTGCCCGACTTAATTATTGTAATTACTCTGCCTGCCATGCCAACATCAAGAGCTTCGTACCAAAAGGAACTCTAAAATGGACGAAATCTTCTAGAGTTTTCTTTGTAACTCTATAGGAAATAAAGCAAATTGGTAGACTCTTCTTCAAAGCGTTGACGACGTCATCACTTCTAAATTTGTAAAGATTTTGTTGTGCGTCTGGTATGTAGTCAAGTTCAAACCAGTCAGATTTTCTCAGCCTCGACCAAAAAAGAATTCACGATTTAATAGATTATAATATCCACTGAGCAGTCGAGAAAACTAGCATTCGTCTTCTTGAGATGAACATCATCTGCAAAAGTACATGATTGAGCACGTCTCATCTTAAATGAACGCGTGATTAGTCAAGCTTGGAGTTAAAAATGATTGATGCTGTTTAGTCATGCTTGAGCTTCGACCCTCTTTACAATAAGCGCTGACTCCATCACAATATTATTTCGAAAATTATTCTAAAAACTATTATTTCAAAACAAATTTACGTTTCCAAACAAATGAGCGGATTTAACTTTAACCTTTGGAATTTAGGTAGTTTTTAGCCTTTTTGATTAATCGTTTGTAATTCTAACATTACTCGAGATAAGTTCACTGCACTGCGATATACTTGTGCAAAACCCGCCTTAAACGACAGACAAGTTGGCTCTTATTTCTCATGTTTCGATGATAATAATAATATTACTAATAATATTAATATTTTCGATGATAAAGTTTGATGTCCTGTTTGTTTTTGACGCCTTTCGTGTCATTTCTCACCTTGAAATATTTAATTGCGCTAAATTATCATATCACAGCATTGAGTAAAAAAAAACAACAACAATAGAGCAGAATCATCAAATTAAAAGCAAATCTATGTCAGAGAAACATTTGTCCACCGATCTGCTTACGAGATCTGATAAACACCGCGTGTGGCTAGCTGATATTAGTGGAGTTATCGTCCCATAAACTTTGGAAAGAACGGTACCTCCAGAAAACTAAGGCCGAACAACCTAGGTACATAGCCTTATCTTCAATATCTCGATGTTACGCAGACAGACCATGAAAGGAAACGGAGTGTCAAAGACTGTTCGCTTAAAAACATTTTGTTTTATTTAAGAGAAGGTTATTGCAGTTTAAACCTGACTTACACTGTATTTGATTAACTTCAAACGTTTTTAATTCACCTCGAATTTTAAATCTCAAAACTCATTGAGTTTTATAAAGATGTTAAGCTATGGAAAACATCAAAAAAGTTATTCATAGCTGATGGTTTGAATATTTCGGCTCCGTTTGATTTTTTGCTTCCTTTGGTAAAAAGTGGTCAGTGCTTAATGAATATCTAGCACCTCACGTCGCTACAGCCTAAGGATACCAGGATTGAAAAAAAGTTCCGCTCTCAGGTCTTCTTGATGAGTAGTGCGTAGGAGCTCTAACCGCCCAAAATTCCTTTTAAGGTGTTGTGCCACTTCAGATTCCTACGCGGCAAGCCTCAATTTCTAAACAACAATACAAAAATTCCACATTCCAGACATCTTCATAAGCAGCATCAATTTATAAGCATAGCTCTGTTGTCAAATCCTGTAGATTTGAACTAATGATAATTCAAAGCAGGAATGTTTGCAGTTTACACTTTGCTGCACCTCATTGTTCGAGCCACTTGTTAAGCGAGCAGTTTTTCCGCTTTGACTAACGTCACGTCGTGAGAGTAATTGCCCCGCTCGCCAGAGGCCAATTTTACGCCCTGTGAGTTTTCCTGTTTGTGCTCCGTTCACGCCGTTCTTAATGGGAAACCGAAAAACGCTTGAAATTTGCTGCAGATGAGTTTCGAAGCAGTGAATATAGTTTTTATTTTAAAACCTTCGGGGAACATGTTCTGAAAGTTTTTGAACGACATGAGTACTTTTTATCATCAGGCATTTGTAGCAAGGTGGGACAGGAAGAACGCAGAAGCTTGTCAAACGGATGTGATATTGCAAATGTTCAATATTTCCAATGAACTTGAAAATCAATAAGTCTACAAACAACTTCATTATTTTGCTTGAGCTCATTTGAACCCCCCAGATTGCTCGTTTTCTTGCAGTAATAGATGAGAATTAAATTCTATTTTGAGACTGAAAAGTTCTTCAAAGGGTCACTAAATTTATGTTTATTTAAAGAACTTGATCGTGAAAGAAGGCGAGGCGAAAGGTTAATTGCACTGTCGTAATGGATATGATGTATATATTACTACGCGGAAACAGTATCTCTATTTATAAGTCAATCTGGTTAGTCTTAAATTTCCAATGAAGTCACAGTGCAAGCAGAACAGAACCGCATAAGTGTACACAAATGTGTAATGCGATGTGATACTGTCATGAGAAACTGCAAGTTGCTGATCACATCGGTCAGTTGTTTACATAACTGGAAACTAATCCTATATCGTTATAACATCTTCTCTTATCTTCTGATCTAATTTCGTCATAAATAACATCCATGACAAAAATTTTATCCTCTTTGGCAAAGAGAAATGCAGGTTCAGCTGACACGATATAGAGGAGGGTTGATTCGGGGCAGTAAAGGATTATTCGGTGTAAAAGATAGTGACAATATGTTAAGCCATGCGTTGAACTTTTTTTGCGGTTAATAATTTATCATACATTTAGGAAATTGTTGTTTTGATTGAAAGCGACCGTTTTGACCATAAGCACAGGGTTTAAATAAATTATTTTTTACCGTGACTCGCGCGCTTTGCTTCTGCATAATTAAAAAAAAATATTTATCGAATTTTTTTTTCGTGTATACAATCAATAAGTAACCACATGATATTTCCCTGGCAATTTGGAATGAATGACGCTAATAAATTTTCTTAAAGAACAGAAATTGCACTTTCCCACGGGCTTGTGCATTTTGCTGGTTTTTGAAAAAAATTGCTCGTTATTCAATCCAAATTGCACTCGAAATTATGTGATTATGTGAACGCTGATTCGGTTAGTACTTAGGATGGATATTGTGAATCGCCCCCAGATCTTATTATGTGTCAATCGTGATCAGTATTAATTTTTATGTGCAGGGGAGGTGAAATGCTCTCACCTAGTTTCGAGTGCGTGTTCATAACACTTACGAAGCGGTAAGGCCAAATGGATTGTTCAACAGTAAACCCATTGATTGATAGAGTAATCTAGTGTTATCAACTGAGTTGATAACGTAAATTGGCCATCGTAGAGAGTTTAAAGGCTGACGTTTCGAGCGTTAGCCCTTCGTTTGCTCTGACGAACGTCAGACTTTAAACTCTTTACGGTAGCCAATTTACGTTATCAACTCAGTTGTTAAAATTAAATTACCCTGTTATACTCTCCCACTGACGCAGCACCTGAAAATGAGCATCATGTTCTTCAACGGGTTTCGAACCCGTGCCTTGGCGTCACCTTTCACCTGGAAATATCATTTAGTTTCCATTTTATTCCGAGAATTTCCGTTGTGTATAATATTTTGTCAGCCTGACATGATAATTCAAAGTGATCTAAGTGATATTTTTACGCCCTGTTATTTGCTCCAAAGTTCTTGTATGTCACAAATGAACTAATATACACCAATATGATAACACTTGCGCGAAAATGTTATCTATCCTGTAAATTCTTTTCAACCGCAATAGTACTGGTTATATCACAAATATGAACAGCTCTTGAAGCAATGCAACCGATATAGCTATAGCAATTAGGTTAAATTATCTCGATATCTTATCAATACTTTTTCATTAGCAGGCCGTATTTGCTCCTCATAAACAATACAGTGTTCGCCTCAAACGAAGCTTGTACAGCTCAAGATAATTTGGTTTTATTAACTGAGTTGATAAAGTAAATTAGCCACTGTAGAGAATTCCTAAAACTGACGTCTCGAGCGTTAGACCTTCGTCATCCACTCTGACGAAGAGCTAACGCCCGAAACATCAACTTAAGAAATTGCGGTGGCCAATCTACATCATTAACTCAGTTGATTAAACCAAGTTCTCTTTTGATATCGCCCACCGACGCAACACCATAGTTTCTTTACATCCTGCAAATTCCTCACAAGGTCACATCTTTTTAAACTGTGGACAAATGTGGTCTGATTACCGATTGACTCAGTTATTTTCAACAATACTTCAGTACAGTGCTGGTATTAGATTGGAGCTACTCTAATGTTGCAGAATAACGTTCCTCCATCCATCCCACAGACTCTGTTAATGGTAACTCGTAAATCGCCATGCAAAATGAAATGTGGAGACTGAGTAATCAAGTGATCAATTATTTTATTATAATCGTCAATTAAAGGTGCACTACAACTAATAGCCTTTTTACATCAACGGCTTGTATACATAACCACTTGCTAAGGATAAATATTCAAAGACGCTGTACGCGTCATACGTCGGTAAATAACTATGATAATTAATAAAAGCCGTGCCGTGCCGTGCCAAAACAGGTTTATTTATTTCAATAAATTGCGTTAGAAATTTCAAAAATGAGTTGATTTGAATGTAAGCTAATCACATAGCCTAAAGAGAAATCCAATTCTTTTTACGATGAAACAGTGAAATAAGCGGAATGTTTATATATTAGGGACACGCGAGAGAGAAAGAAACCAAGCCGAACTACAATACAGCGTTCTTCATCTAAAGAATCTACTCTAAAGTTAATAACTCAGTGGACATAAACATGTTACCTCCTGTACATGTGAAGCTAAGTGTAAGATTAAAATCCCCCTAGTTGTCATTCCATGGTGTTTTACTCACTTCACTTGGCACTCTTCAACATTATTTGTAATACATAATGAGAGTTATCATTTTTAAGATTTCAGTCAGGATGCAGCTAACTTCATTCCCTGAAAAATTTTAATTTACGCAAATCCTACGATGTCGGCTAAGCTGGGAAGCTTGTGAAAATGACTTCCCACACCGTTCGCACGAAAATGGCTTCTCTCCAGTATGCGTGCGCATGTGATTATTCAAGGTGGTCGCTCCACTAAACGATCGCAGGCAGTACCCGCATTTGAAGGGCTTCTCGCTCACGTGAACAACTGCGTGCATACGCAGCTCTTTTGGTTGAGCAAAAGATTCATGACAATGGCCACATCGGTAGGGCTTACAAGACATGCGCGAACAAAGATGATTGTTCAGAAGAGAACGCTGAGTGAAGGACATTTTACACTGACCACATTTGAAATCATCACACTCCCTGAAGTTCTCCAAAACTTTCTCGTATATCTTGCGGTATCCAGTAGTCAGCTGAATTCCTGTGGTGGTTATCGAGTTGTTTTCTGCAGGTGACATACTATTGCTTGATTCTTGTTGCCTTCGAGGCCGCTTGAGAGGTCGTTCTGTTTCTTGAAGGAATGATTTGTCCACCAGCCGCTTACAAGGAGGGGAGCTGTAGTTAACATTAGGCTTGCTGCTCCTTGCTTGATGGTCAGCTTCGTGACTGACATTATCAGGAGAGGTTTCTTGTTCCGTCTGTGGTTGCGCACTTGAAATAGTGACGCTGTCAGCATGCTTCGTGCTTGATGCTTTTCCTTCGAAATCTAGAGAAGAAAATGGGATTTCATTTGAAAAAGATGAAAACAAATTATATAATTAATTGCTGAAATAGCATCTGATTCAAAACAGTCATGTGTAAAATATCTTCATTTATGCATGTGTATTTTCTGAACTCAAGAATTGAAAGGCAACGTTTTTCGAAATTCGTCGTAGAATAAAAATTTAGCTAATGTGAGTTAATTTACTCCTTAATTTGGGTCCGTTTGAAGAGCAATCTCTTAATATTTGCTAAATATAGCATCAGAAACATAACGTTTTTGAGGCATATAATAATTTTGTTTAACTGGTTTTTAAGAAATATTTCACCTGGAAAGTGTTGTGAAATATTCTTCGTCCAGTTACCGACAGGTATCCCCATGTGCTGCAAGTAATAGTTATCATCATACCACACCAATAACTCTGTACCACTTGGTATTTCACGGAAAGCGCGATAAAAGATACTCTTGTTGTGCTGAAATGCAAACATGTTTTGCTCCTCTTTGTGACGAGCGCAACGAATAAAGCGCATCCAGCTCGAAGTCTCCATATCACTACCGTCTAAAAAAAAGGCCAGTTTCTCGTTCTCGTAGACCTGCAGCAAGAGAGAATAACGTATTTTTGTTGGAGCTGACCTTAGTGCTATTGGATCAGCAAAAGAAATGACGAACTTAAACAGAGAAAAAGAAAAAAGGGTTGTGAATTTTATTTGCTCAGCCTTCGAGTTATGATTTATTTGTCTTGAGCTTTACAGAAGGAAAGGGGTTGAGTCTTCCAAAGGAGCCGAATTCAGTAATAAGACTTAGAAAACCTGACGCATGATTTATCAGTGAGATACAGTGAACTTGCAGCGATTCAGGCAAAACAGTGTAACGGTGTAACAGTGCCTGATTTCGAGATTGTGACATTTCAAAGATTAAAAGTTGGTGTATTAATTTAAAAGTGATAAACCTATGGTCTACGCGCGCACATACCTCCCACATGTATGACGTGTCTATATCCGGGGTAACGATATCAGTTGAAAGGTACTTTCCTTCATATGGACCAATCCATGTTCCCACGGGAATATGCTGCTTTGCGCAAACTCCATAACCCTCCCCTGGGATTCCAGACAGGCAAAGTTTCACTTCATCTGGGAACGAGGCCACAGCGTAGCTTAGTTTTGCATTCCTTGCAGACTTTTTTTGACCTGTTTCCATGGCTACATCAATCCATCTTCCATCTGGCGTTGTTTTGGGGACCTTGGATTGTTGTTCTTTTGGATAATAACGAGTGTCAGTGAAATAAACTAATTTTTATTAGGAGCTAATTCATTTTTTATATTTCTGTTAAGTTATTTTCTTTATCAGTATTCCGAATTAGTCTGTCAAAAGCCTAATACTCTGACAGTTAAATAAAGTCTGCCACCACACCATGGACGCAACTGAAATGTTGTGTAATGTTAGAACATAATATTTGGTGGGATTCAGTGTCAAATTTTTATTCTTTTCACCACGATGGAAATAAATAAATCGTTATCTCTTAGTTTAATTTGTTCGACCCTCAAAAATTAAAGGTGTTCTTGTTAGCAGAATTTATAGTTATTGCATCGCCACTTTTTCAATGGAAGTGCAAATCTCTTGTTTGTTGAACCGTTTTGGAGACGCACAGAACAGAAAATAAATATCTTATTAACCTTCACCTACTAGTCTACACTATAAGCTATGGATCCTCCTTTGTTTAGTTTCGCTGTACGACTTATGCCAGCGCTTGATTCATATGCCGAAGGGAAAAACTCGGTCCGTAACTTATGTTGCTACGCGATTCAGGAGGTTCGAGTGCCAATAGCTAAAAGCAACCAATTAGATTGCTCCATTTATGGTCCCGCAAGGGCTCATATTTTCCCAAAATCGGACCGGGTAATGTCCCAGTTGATCCCGCGCGACTCCGGGGAGGATTTTGCCCGATCAAATCAAGGTAACTGTCCACCGGATAAATAGTTCTAAGACCGTAAAATGTGTAGTTAGAAACTCCGTGTATTCACAACGAACTAGAAAAATCGTGACGTGAAGGTCATGACGGTACGGACCTCGTTTCACTCGGTCTCTACCGACACGGACTTGTGGCTGGTCATATACATACATGTGTGGACCCCGAAATCGTTTAGTAAGAGTTAACGCTTTACTTCTTCATCGACCTATTATTTAATAATTCATCAAAAATTATTTAATATAATTAATCTACAGTACGATTTTAAAATCTTCATCGACCTTTAATTTACCTGAGCTTTCCATGTCTTCTTCAGTCATCGTTTCTAAAATGTGTACCTCTTCCACAGAATTTCTTCCGTACAGAACATACTGCAGATCTTCTTCAGTAAAATGCCCCCCGTACTGTGAAGAAGTATCAGATCCTGTTGATGATGGCGGACCGTCCATCTAATTAGAATTAAAGTACAAGATATGTGAATATTCCAGCAAGCATTACCATTTTCATTATCAACATTCGTTTATAAGCGACAAAATTGGATTTAAATTTGGGTAATTATAAGATACCTTCCTGACACAAATATTTCAACTAGTTACTGTCTTCACTAGATTTTCTTTAGTCTGAAAAATCGTGCTAAGCAGTGTCCAATGAAATTCTGTCGCATGGTGTCGTTGCGCAATGTTGCAACGGAGTTAGTTCCGGAAATCGGAGCTAGTGCGTAACTAATCAGATATGTGGAAATTTATATGGGAAAAATCGTTCTCTGTCTTGTTTAGTCAATGATTAGAAAATAATTTATATCCGTTTAATCAAAGGATCAACGTAATCGTCTGATTTCGGAAATTAAAGAGATATCCTTCCAACTGAATATTGCGAAACTGCCGTGATCGGTTGCTTACGATGCTAATCAGGGCTACTTAAAACTCGATCTCTGATTGGTCAAATTGCGGCCGCACCCCAAAAAGGAAACCTCTTCAAGTGGTGTCGAAACTTCCTGCTAAATTGCAAAGAACGACGAAGGAATATAAGATACATTTCAATGAAAATGGATCTTTGAGTTTCTTTTTTGCAATTTATTTTTTCATACACGTTGAAAATCCTACGACAAATTAACAATACATCATAAAAAGAGGGTTTCAGAAAGGTTAAGCGTCAGCCGCAAAACGGCCAAAACATTTTGCCGTTAAGCCTTAAAATTGACAAATTTTAACCGTTAGTCGTAAAAGCCATCATCTGTTTGAGACCACTTAGGAACATTTTCTGTAGTTATGCTATCTCTTAAATTGAAACTATTCAGTATTGTGATTAAAACACTGATCGATTGAAGATATAAAATCAGTAATCGTTACAGTTCAATTCCTCAAAACTGAACTATAATCTCGGTGAAATAACGAGTTTAATGACTCAAAATTGACGATGTATGATTGGGTTAGTTGCTCAATCATTGTCTGCTAGTAAATTTAGCCATGTTTAGAATTGAATGGTTCAAGAAAAATGTCGCTGCTTGAAGTGATCCTGAATGTCGCAAGAACATAAATGTCTACTGTTCTCTTTAAATTACATTTTGTTTACGCACAATTCAGCTCTTTCTTCCTAGTACGCAAAAGAAAAAAATCCCAAAATTTGAATGACTGAAATCGTCAAACCAACAAGTGGTATTGATTCGATTGCGAAACGAAATATATACAACAGCAGAAGTCCTTTTCAATTCGTAGGTACAATAGTTTACATTAAATAGCTTACGAGAGAGGTTCTAATGACAACTCGGCCACTTGAATGTTTGCACGTCTCTCCTAACACTTCGACGTGTATATTTCAGTGACAATTTAAAATCAAAATACGATTTATGTGCACAGAAATAACTTTCAATAATCCAACATAATGGGGCTGGTGTATTCTTTGTTTCACCGGTGACATTTTTGTTTAAACGTTCTTGTGAAAGTAAAACAAAAGACGGCCAGGGACCATTTACGACGGCTGCAGAGCCACTTTCATCAGAAAGGGGTCAAGAAAAGGGAGGCTCACAAAGTAAATAGAAAAACATTTAAGACAAACAACTGGAGAATGGTGAACAAACCAGACTATTACACAGAAGTGATGGCAAAACTGAGCTGAGTTCTCGCCACAAAATGTTCTGAGGAAAGAGGCGGCAACAAAATGAAGAACAGCGCTAAGTAGAAACTGAACAAAACTCAGTCTCGTATTCCTCCATTATTTCGTATACGTCATGGCTGAAAAGATGAAATAATTGCCTTTCTTCTAATGATCATCAATAATAACAGACCTATTTTGCCTTACCTTTGAAAGCGCTTGGATCTCTTCCAAGTTCATCGCCGCCTCATCAACTGCGAGTGTTTCTCAGAAAGCCCTGTTAATCTAATGCATGCTACTTTACCAAATGTAATTCGGTTATCAACCGACCAATTAGATCAATTTGAGCACGAGGCCTCTTTACATCTAGCACAAATACTTGGTTATTTTAAGAATGATCTACTAAGAATCCTCCTCGCCCTCGCGGTGTTCAAAAGTACTCCGTATTTGTGGAACACTGAAGACAATGTAATAAATATTTAATGAGGGCGGCCATATCAATGGCAAGCTTCAAAAACGAGCGAAAAAAAACTTCCGATATCTTGCCCTGAAAGCTGGAACAATAAGTACTTTGAACACGAGAATCATCTTTTAGTTTTTATACCCTTTTTTGAGTTCCTGGTTCACCATCAAAGTGAGATAAATGACCGCAATGCGCATTTTGCTTTGGAGCCGTTATCAATATCTATTGCAAGGGAACACTGAGTGCACGAATCACGACATACTATACTGTAACTTCAATCAAACTGCAAAAAACGGCAAGAAAGAAAGTTTATATGTCTTGCAGCCACGTAGCGAAGTACTCATTTGTCGCAGAGAGAAGTATTAAGATTTTTCTTTCGGCTTTCAAAAACTGATTTGTGATATGCAACAAGTGCTACGTTCCAACAACGAAGTGGTTAAGTGCCGCAAAAAGAGAGCCTTGAAAGAAAGTATAAATACCGCAGTTTAACCGCAGTGCCAAGATATAAAATTTGCGTTTAAATATTTTTCTCTATGCTTTCACTTAACTATGTAGCAACGAAATGCAGCTTCAATTTTTGTGCTTTGAATTGCGTTAGAATGGAGCTGAATGAGCCACGCTTGAACCCACGTGCTGGTAGGTTTTCAATGCATGACAGCAGTAGATCGGGGTGGGGTTTATTTGACATTAGTGAGCTGTGCTCGTCAATCCTTTCTGATCAGAATAACAGAGGCAAACAATTGGAAACAGTTTTGAGACAGCCTATTCAAATGCTTTTACAGTCCAAAAGAAACAGCTTCAATAAATATTTGCTTTTTCTTTGAAATTATTTCAAAGAGGAATTCAACAATGCTTTTAAACAGGGCAGAGTTGCCACAATGCGTTTGACGTAAACAAATGACAAGGAACTCAAAACCCCGACGTACCTGCATAAAATTGCAAAAATAAAATGCAAGCTTTTCTAGAATATTAATGGATAGCAAATCTTACAAATTTCAGTGACATTTCAAAGTAAATAACACAAATTTGTCATGATAGTTAATCCTACCTTGTATGTCAACGAACGTTGCTGATTTGATTTTAGCAGATTTAAGGGGGCTAACGTTTCAACAATTTCAACTCTCTTTTACAACGTCTACGAGCCATCAATTCATATGACATTTTCGCGATTAAAAGTGACTGTTTCTCTTAGGGCCATATGGCCTTTTTCTGAGAGCTAACAAATTCAAAGTTAAGTTTCAAAATTGACACTCTTTATGATGATATCACCCTTTCAAATCAACGGCTTATAACACGCGATGTATAAGCTCCAGTCTTGGTTTTAAAATCAAATGAAACAAGGAATTGAATCAGTATAAAATTGCTAAACATCCTTAAATAAGGAGATATATAATGCTTGCGTACAGCAGTTTGTGTTTCCAGTGAAAGCTCTTAAACGGTGAGTGCTCAACTAAAATTTTTAAAAATCGATTCTCTCCCTGAAGGTCTGATATTTCCTATGAAACCTGAAACGAGGTATGTATCTGTGGTATAAAATTTTGAAATATTTAATGGAATTAAATTGACTGAAATGAAATAAAAAGCATAAAATACTTTGGTCGTTGCCCAGAACTGCAGTTGGGTTGTTTTACCAAGAAAATATATTTATAATTCCTGTTTGGTTTTTACGTGTCTTGTTTCCACTTCCTGTCACTTGAATTAATAATTCATTATAAACATGATACTTTGTAATAAGCTAAGTGAGAAGCCGAAGTCCTTAAATGGAACTCGAAGCTGAAACCTTGGCTGATGGATCAGTTAAAGCCTAGGCAAGCCAGCTGAACTAGATGTGGGAGCCACTTACGAGTCTCTTGAAATTCGGTATTCTTGCTTTTATTTCCCGTCTGTCGCAGCTTTTAGTGAGCGAATTCCTCTGTTAATGCACTTTTTATCATATACTGCAGACTTCTGCCATCTGTTTCTTGTAGATCGACAGAGAAGAAGTGACAGGCACATGAAAAAGGCGAGTTCTTTACGACTATTAGCTTTGCACCGTGGAATATCGACAAAAAATTTACACGTTCTAAAAGGTGCAACGTTTTCAAGCGAGTATTATCTGTATCCTCCTCGTGTTTGATTACTAATAGCGCGTTACTGAAGCGCACTTGTCAGTAGCTTAAATCTTCAACGTTTTTCTTTAAATTTAAGGGTGTAACATTTATATTGAGGAGGATGACAAAAAGATTGTGATTAACGCAACAGAGACAGCCATCCGAGGCCAGTAGCCTCTAAAATGACTTGCATTTATCATTAATCACACTTCAGTTTAATCTGGTTTGAAAAATACTGCATTGTATTAGCTACTTGCAGTATTCAACTTTCTTTTGCACCCGGATTCTTTTCCCGCCATTTTTTTGCGCATGTGCAAAGCCTCTGCACTTATGTGACAAATTTCTATGAGAATTGAGGCCTGAATTCACCTTTGGGCTTTTTCAAAAACGTATTAACTTCCTTCACTATTTCTCAAATAACTCTTTTTCCTACTTAGTTTGTATTTATGCTTCAGACCAAATTCGTTAAGTTTGAAAGCCTGAAGATTTTTTCGGGGAAAGAAAATTCCATTTAATACTCTTTAGGCTGTTTATTCTTTACCATTGTTCTGTAGCTCGTAATCTCTCTCTAGAACCAAAAAATCGCGGGTCATGAGGAAACTTGTGATCAATTGATGTCAGTTATACCGATGCAACAGGCAGTCATTACGACAGTCCTTCTTTGTTCCAAAAAATTATACCCAAGAACTTGAAAATCCCTCGAATACTAACTAGTTTAAAACTCACTGTTGAATGGATTAGTTTTGCTCAGCCGCGCAACTGTTAACAAATAGGATTTTTCAGACTGAGTGAAACTACTAGTTTCAGAAATTCAAAACACTTCTCAGAAGTCGAGGGCACATGAAACTTTCATGTGCCCTCGACGAGAAAACAAAATGATGCCAGGAGCTTTTTTTGGCATTCAACTTCCAGGCCATAATATTGCTCCTCTTCCATAAGCGTTCCTGCAATCAGCTATAATGCTATTGAAATAACTTCTTCGCAGTTTACTCGTTGCTTCTGTCAGGATTCCGGCAAAATTCTGAGGATTAATATCAGGGCTGTATGGTCAATATACAAATATTAAAATACACCTTTAAGGCATATTGCATCCACTTTAAGCCGTTTGAAGCTAGTACATGAACACCAGTCAGTTTCAAAAGATTAACAATCTGAGTTGTGGTAAATACAAGACTTACTCAATCCTGACCTGCTTTCGTGACAAAGCGCGTATCACACAAACCTTTTTTTTTTAATTTATCCAAGATTTTCCGTGTTGCGGGTGAATGATGTCATTCTCAATGAGATAATGGCCCAGACGTGAACAATATTATGGAAAACAATCATTCCTATAGTGCACAATAAGTTTCTTTCTGGATAGTACAAAGTTCCGCATACATTGTCGGTCAATGAAAACAAATACAGGGCAATTTTAGAAACCTCCACAAGAGCGAGTATTCCGTTTCCGATGAAGAATGTCATATATTGCTAAGGAAATTGTTCAAGTTTTCCGTTTCCAGGTTTCCTATATAAGATGACCTCTCAGATTAAAATATCCCACACGGATATGAGTGTAAGGATGTTTTTCTTTTAAATTCTTCTTCTTCTTCTTTTTTTTTTTTGTAAAGAAATGCAGGCTTAAGCCTTCTTCATCGCGATCGACACTAACAGATAATCCAGTCTCAGAATTATCAAAAAGAGAATTGGGCACTTCGTTCGTATGTGACAGAATTTATTTTGATTATTTGCCAAACTCGAGTATAGCGCTATCCGGTTTAGCTAAAAACTTATCGCAGAAAAAAAAAATATATAAGTGGTCTTTTTAGTTCTCATTCTATATTTAAACGCACTCGAGAGAGTATGCATCAGATACTGCCTTCAAAAAGCTTCGTTTCCAAGTAAACAAACAAATAAGAACCTAGTATTTCTCTGCCGGGGACTCCATCAATGATATTTTGTAGAGACCCCAATAAACATGTTCACGTAATGAGTGAGTAATTATGTCTATTTTGCATATACAGATTCTATGAGTCAGCTTCTTTTCGCCACTTTTGGAAAACTTATTTCTACTTGTTTTGAAGGGAAAGGGTCACCACACTGCAACAACAGGCCTTGATTTCGATCCTCACTTTTTTTTAGCTGAAAATATTTCCCATTTTCAGAATTTAAGCTGCACAAAGAAGTGTAAACACGCGCGCTGTTTTAGCTGAGCCGAACTGTCATGGCGGGTCACGACACAGCCACCGGAATGCGGAATTTTTGAGAACAATAATTATTGTCGGCATGGAAGTACAAAAGGTTAAGGATATATTATATATTTTATGCTCCGTAAGGGTGATACATGAAAGTTTTCTTGTATTTCTACACATCTGGAGATCTAACGAAGCATAGTTTTGCCGTCAAAACGAACTGAATGACCAACTTCGCGGAAGGAGAAGAGGAAAGGCAACTTCATTTTGGTGAGTAAAGTTTGATTGCCTTAGAACGTATTTTAATAAGTAAGATAGTGGAGAAAATGAACATTCAGATTGCACTTTGAGCCCGGCGACCCAACTCAAACCACTAATGAAGAGGTTTCTCCACTAAAATCAACGGAATATTATCGCAATTTCTGTGAGCATGCTTCGGCATAAAGCCTTGTGGGACAGAGAGCTGTGAAAATCACTTCCATGTGGACGTATGCAACCTACAGCAGTTACATCTTGAAGAACTGAATTTCGCGGTCAGCAGGAGAACTCTTAAACAGAAGACACGCTCTCAGACACGTTCCTGTAAAAACGTACATGTTGCTTGCTTCCTCTCTTTAAACCGGTCGGCCAACATAAACACAGCCATTTGATATCAACCTTGTCATCTCATCCACGCCTTATGCTCTGTCATACAAGAAGGAAATGCTTTAAAATGGATTTTCCCTCTTCTCACGTGTGGTTTACCTTGCTTGGAAAGACCTTTTGGTCCATGGCCCGCGGTCATGAAAACAAACGGGAACAAAAAGTGAATTTTCCACTACACGAGGTAACAAACAAGGAAAATTTTCGGACCAATTAGAGTTACGCAGCGAGAAGGGACAGCGAATAATTCAACATGTTTTTCTCGAAATTAGAACAAAAATGGCGGAAAAGTAAAATGTATCCATCGCTCTTTTGCTCCAGCAATTCTCTTCATGATAAAATCCATCGAGGTCATACAGATGATATAGTTTTATTGTCTGTGATTCAATCAACGGACATTTCAAGTCTGGTTCGATCAACTTCTTTTAGCGCTGGCCAAATTTTTCCCCCAGTTCTGCACAGAGGCAGACAGCAACATTCATCACTATTAACTCACTACTTCAATCCATGGTGAAAGAAATTTTAAACCTCTGAAAAAAGTTTGATCTTCACGCGATTGCAGGCAACTCAAAGTTCAGTCTAAAATCCAAAAGTGTCTTTAATTCCAGAAGAAATAGTTAGCTACATCGTAAATAAAACTTAAAACTAATATAGATTCATTATCATTTTGATACCTCTCCAACTCAAGTAAGGCTACAGATATGGTTTGTGTCAACGATTGACAGGGAAGTATTGAATTTAAGTTACCTTAATTAGTTAGGGTTTAAGAAAGGCTAGAATGTTCTGCTGAAAACAAATAGACGAGTCTTTTTGTATGTTGCTTAAAAGCAGAGAGTCATAGAGCAAAACGAGTAAACATTTTCTAAAAATAACCAATGGAACGAACTTTCCTGCCTCGCAGCTGGTTAAAATTTTCCTAGTGCATTCTAGTGGATATCAACTATTGAGTTCGAATTTTCGGCTTTTCAAATCTATTTTCGTTGATACAAAAGAAGTTTAGTGTTATGCTTAAAACATAATGTTTAAATAATGAAATTGTGAATGCTTGTTTCTCATGCAGCATAAACCCGCTGGTTACAAATGGAAGACAAAACCGGCTCAAAACAAGAAGACAAAAAAGAATACTGTGGGGGAAATGGTTATTGTCTGATCGACGAGAGAACTCTAAATTTACTTTTATATGGCTCCCGCGAAGTCAGAGTTATAGACGTGCAGAAACTAAAACGGAAGGTTGAAGATGAACAAGGTACGAAAACAGCTTGTTAACATCGCGGTAAAACCAATTATTTATCAAGTGCGCCTAAAAAAATGGCTAAGAACAATATCACTGATATTTTTGATACAGGAGGGAATTTGACTCAGCTCTTAAAACTACCATAAAGCAATACAAGCCCGTTTCTACTTCCAAATAAAACCGCACCATTTACCAAATGTTTCGAATCATACGTAGACCCTCAAGCATTTATAAAAATATTCGGGATAGCATTGATAAAGTTGTTATTCTCTTTTGTTGACATTGAATTAATTTAATTGTTCCAAAAATTTCCGCTTTCACTGTTGTGTTTACGAGGTTTTTATGTCCGCCCTGAGTAATTACCACAAAAAAATTTGCATGGGCAGAGTAATTTAAGCCAATATATACCCTTGTGTGTATTGTTCACTTGCACTTTCCTTTATCTAGAAGCAATACTTTTCGGAGGGAGTGGAAACATTTGATACTCTGCAAATCCTATGCAAAAATTTTATCGACTAGAAATCACGTGAAAAGGAAAACGTCTAGTTTTCTGTCAATCTTGAGGTTTCCTGACGATGAATGTGTCTTTGTATTTGACAATTATTACATAATTTTATTCATTGGTATCCGAGCCACAAATTAATTGTTCATTTTCCAGACCTTTTTTTAAACTACAACGGTTGTCAATATCCACAGAGTGCATGCAAGTCAGAAAAGCTCAGGTTCCGGTGAAAGGTTTTAGAAAAGGGCTTCTTTTGAAACGCAAGTAAAATACAGATCGGAAATGATCTTTCACGTTGCGGTTTTGGTCAGTTGGATGTTGTCATGTAGAATCTGTTTATTCTGTAAGTAAGGCTTTGATTAAGCACGTAACAGATCCACACTTGATATGACAAAATTCTTAGCGTTATTCATAGCACCATTTCTTTATTCTTGTCCTTGTCGATAAGCTCTGATCTTGATTCACCTTGCGGGGTGAATCATTCGAAGTATAGAGGCTGTAGTATTCAGGGTCATGCCTAGCTCCCTCCAATCACTCTACGTGATCTCGCACTGCTGTATTTTTCATGGCATCTGACGGGCACTTGACTATGACATAGATGAAAGTTTCGGAGCACTCAGCCTCAGGCTAAATGTACCTTTGTTGCAAGCTACCTTATGAGGAACAGATACTTAACAGTACAACTGCTCATTCAAAATAGTCCTCCCTTTCAAGTATTCAATCGATTTTTCACAGGAGGTTCGTCTTCCAAAAAACAGAACAATACCGATGACCATGAGAAGCCTCGGCTCACAAACGCCATTAGATCATTCCCGGATGAAGTGCATCTCTGTAGATCGAGTATTCCTGGTGCTGGTTATGGAGTGTGCGCGAAAGAGCACATTCCGCTGGGCACATGGATAGGACCGTATGAAGGAAGCCGCCTGCCCGCCCGAAATTTTCCTTCAAATTATGAAACAGGATATCTATGGGAGGTGAGATTTGAAAAAATAGTTTAGTGGGTTGTTATATGGGCTTCAATCTTAAAGTAATTCCTCTTGAGATATTTTTATATCTTTCTCCTTTTCGGAGTTGCTACATTCATTTGTCTGTAAATAGATCTTGACATGCTTGAGTCTAAATATAACTTTGAAATAATTTAGAAAACAATTATGAAAAGATGAAATATTCTAAAGATTTATGTCCTCTTATGAGCTTCTGATATTGTATGAAGGTGTCTTCTTATGGATATATTCTGTATCAAAAAGAAATTGACCGAAAATGTGCGTTTATTTTGAGCATAACATTATTATGAGTATACGCATCTCTGAAGAAAATAAATACACTGACTACATACCAAAAATCTAAAAGATTGAGTCCTCCATAGAGAGATATCTAACTTCGAAAAATTGATTTTAAAATATTGGGAGAAAAATGGTTTAGTTTTATTTTAGGACTTGGAAATAAATCACAGTGCGGTAATCCAGTAAGTTGCAGGGGAGGGGGAGGGTTGGGAGTTGAACTTGGAAGCACCAGATGGCAAGTGAAACACTTTAACTTCTCGGTCACGTTGCCTCCCGTCCTCTTGCTTCGTTTTACTTGCCCAACCTGAAGAAGAAGTGAAATGCTGAATATTTAAATTCTTGCTTCATAGATCTACAAAGATGGCCGCCTAAGTCACTATATTGACGGACGCGATGAAGACAACTCCAGCTGGATGCGATTCATTCAATGCGCACGTCATGTAAAGGAGCAGAATCTATACGCTTTTCAATACTGTGGCAACATTTTTTACCGGGCGTTTAAGGAGGTCCCCCCCGGGACAGAATTGCTGGTTTGGTACGATGAAAAATATCCACAATTTCTTGGAATTCCTCTTGGTATACAGGACTATGAATTCTTCAGAGAATCTGGTAAGGCGGTGTTGATTTTTCAATTCACCTTAAAAAAAATTTTTTTTGATCTTCAATAACGGGTTGAAAGAGAACTGGTTAATGTTTCAGTTGAGAATGATTTGCAAAGTCTTGTTTTCTAGTAAGTCGAACTAAAAAACTAAAGCGAAAAGATGTAGGCAGTGTCAGAAACGGAGAATTACTATTCACTGTTTCCACTATGCTGTGATCAAATTTTTTAACCACCAGGATTTGTATACAATATTAATACGAGTGCAATTTGATTTTCATAAGCCCCAACAAAAAGACAACAAAATTGCACGAGCCCGTTGGGCGAGTGCAATTTGTGGTCTTTGAAAAGTTTATAAAACCTTATTACATCAAATTGCACGAGAAATCATGTCATTACTTGTTAATAATTTACATGAAAAACGCATCACAGTAAGTCAAGACTGACGAAATTTGGCAGTGCGTGTGCTATTTGTAATTTGCACTCGTGTTACATGAAAAATACATTCGTTTTCAGCCACTCAAACGCGCGTAATTTTTTCACGTATATTATTAAGTGTGTAGATCGAAGGCGCTGAGCATAACTTTTATTTGTTTTATCTGTTTTGAGTGACAAAGTGTCCTGAACTTTATTTTAATGACCGTATGAAAGATGCTAAGAGTTTATGAATCCTCAGAACGTGAACCCCATAACTTACTTTCTCCATGGCTTGTAAATTAAGACCGCTCGACTGCAATTTCACATTTAGCTTTCCTTTTTTATTCACAGTGTCATCTTCCAATACCCAAAGCTCTCCAGTCTGCAGTTCCGCCAGTTTGTTTGTTGACCCAGTGACACGGTATCCAAAAGCCCACGGTTTTCAAGAATCACATGATAATCCTAATACGGGTAGTTTTAGATTCCCTTTACCACGTGAGCCACCTCCACGCTTCGTACGCCCCTCAAGCAGTGCGGGTAATGTTTTCCCGCGAGACAAGCTTGGCACTTCTGGAATTAGAGGTGGTCCTAGTTTTGCTGCAGGCTCAGTTGAAAGTAAAATGATTGAGACAGATTTAACCGCAACGACAACAGTTGATGGACAATTTTTCAGGAACTTTTCGCAAATACCTGCGCCCAGTGGTAACAATTTTTATTCGCCGCAAATAAAGAACAAGGACTCGCAAGAAAAAGTTGTGAAAACTGAAAATTCAACCCGAGGGTATATGTCTGATAAACATTGGGAACGGCAAAGAGATGAGGATCCCTTGTCTAATAACGAAAGAAGACTTCCAGCAAAAATAAACGCTCTGCGTGAAATGCCGCCATTACAATTCTTCGATAGTGAGTACTAAATTTATTCACTTAAAAAAAAAGTTTCCACACAGGGTCGGTTTAATAAAATTAGTGTTACTTATGAAAGCCCTTTGCTGAAGCAGGTGACCCGTTATTTGCAGACCTACGTGTTTCACAGAAACTCTAACTTGCTTTCGACGCATAGAAAAAATATGTTTTCCATAAAACGAGTGCTTTTTCCAAAAGCCATATTTTAAAGCGTGTTAGGCCAGAACGTAACTTCCCATGAGTTAATGTATTGGCATGCCTCTTGTTAATTTAATACTTAAGATAGAAACGCCCAACTGTGACTTTTCCAGATGATCAAAAACATTCTCCTCGCACGAATGAAGTTCAAGCTCTCAAGCGAAATGGAGATGGAGTGAAGAGTGTAATGCCAGCGCTTCGTCCTGCTATGCCTCCGCTTCTCCACACACCGCAATATCATGAACACTTAGGAACAAACATATCAGGAATTTCTCTGTCTCCGGATGAATTTGGTATGTGGAGGTGCCGGCAGTGCTTAAAGACTTTCACTCAGCGGGTTCTTCTTCAAATGCATGAGTGTTCCCAGACCCCTGATAAACCGTATCAGTGCGGCCAGTGTACGCTTTCATATGGGACGCCGTCAGAACTCAGAAGTCACGTGGACACGCATACCAATGAGAAGTTGTTTAAGTGCGGGTTCTGTTCGCGCTCTTTCTCAGGGGCTACCACCTTAAACAACCACATACGCACCCACACCGGTGAGAAGCCATTCAATTGTGAGAAATGCCACAAGACATTTTCACAAGCTAGTCATTTAGCGAGACATCAGCGAGTCCCTGGGGACTGTGTTCCCTGGCAGATGGGATAGATTAAAAGTCAGCTTAGCTGCTGCAAATTGATAAACAGACTCAGCTAAAAAGCTTTCTTGCCACCCAATTCAGATCATACGACTACTTTTTTGGGAGGTAAAAACTGATAGATTTGTAACACGGAATTGAAAGAAATGATGTGTATGCAAACAGAGAAAGTGTAACTTCCCAAATGAATAATCAAACGATCTGATCTTAGCGGAAACAAAGATGGGAACACGAGAGCCAAACCCGCTTCTGTTTGTAAGGATTTGGCCCGATCATTCCAATCAATACTCAAGCGATCGAGAATTTAATGAAATCAAGATCAGACAATCACTGGCTCGCACGATCCGCGCGTTCGGATAGAACTAAGTTCGTGTTTGAGCCTGATTCCCACTTGATCGCCTTAATCGTCCCAGTCGCCCCAAAACCTTGCGCAAACGAGACGTTCCAGATTGTCACGTGACAATCAGCCCTTAACTTACACACAGAGTCGTTCTAATGTTTCTCAACAAAAAATTTTAGTTAATGAAAAGCGTGCACTTGGAAATGGTAGGGTTTATTTTCACACCGAGTCAGTTTAAGGTCCATCTCTGGTTTTTTCACTGCACTAATACAACTTAGTCAAGTTTTCCTATAATGTCTCTCAAATGTCATTCCTTACCCAGTAGCACTCATCCACTCCGTTTCTTGAAATATCTAATTTTTTTGCTGGGAATTACTCAAGAAGATACTCAACGGTAGAAGCATTTATCATTAGGGATATTTTGTATTCAAATTGGAATGAAAAGAGTAACAAAAATGAGCTTTCTGTAGAATCTTGTTTGTATATTTTCGATCCGTTTAACCTGAAGGGTTACTTTCCACCGTCTATTGGAGTTGATGACCCCGTTTGAATGTGCAATATGATAATTAATTTCTCCTTGCAGTGGATACCGTCATCCACGACTTCCTCTAACAACTGCAAATTGGATGGACGAGGGTACTCTGGAAATACGTACCAACGTAGTAACTGAATATACTAAACGAAAAGCGTTTTATCTGCTTTGCAGAAAAATAGAACATTTACAAGTTAAGAATTGTTTTTTCTTTTTTACATGTCACAGGTTTCTGTGCGCCATCAATGTTATTTTGTACAGTGGAAGATTAACTATATACAAAGTTTATGTCAGTTTCTAGCGCATATCGTCTACCCCTCTAGTGTTAACTACGTGTTTCTCAGTAACGACGACAAGGCAGTGCTCACCAAAACAAATTAAAAAATGCTTGATTCAGGGCTGGATTAAAGTAATACTAAATTTCGTTTTTTAAGTATCCAACTATAAGGTCAGTCTAGATTTAATAATTCAAGACAATGTCTAACAGGTTGGATCCTCTTTCTCGACTTCGATAAATAGATTGAAGGAAATCAACTGATGCGCAAGCGTGTAAAACTTTTTAGTCCGGCCATGTGACGTGCAATGTTTTCATTTCTCTTTTGCTAGAATCGAGAATGGATCAGGCGCATCGGTAGCACTGTTTATCACAATGGCTCTTCGCTGAGAGTCTGGGCCTTGTTGTCCATAATGATACGTCTGTGAATGGTGACGTTTCTTTCGCGTATGACTAGATTGAGGACCGTCTGCAGTCACGAGATAATTAGCATGGTATTGCGCATATTCAGGGGGAAGTGAAACGACCGCTGACCAAGAATTTTGAATCACTGGTGATTTATGGGCTGATATTTGTGGGGTGTTTTTCCAGCCAGAAAATTCCGTGGGTGGTTTGAGCTGGACCGATGAACCAAACTGTGCTGAAGAACCTGTGTGAAATACGTTAAGTCGCAATTAGAGCCATTCACTATTGAGCGCCGAGATTGCTTTGATTTTACTTAGCTTTGCTCTGTGATTGGACTAGATAAGTCGCGCCATCCTTCCAACCAATTAGATGCAAAAACAAAAACAATTGCAACTTGGTCACTGGAATTTTCCCGCGCTTTAAGCAGTTTTCTTTTTTTCACTTTGAGTTCTCATTGGCTAATGATGATGTAAACCTTTCTTCTGATAGGTCTTTGCGATTGCTGTACTTTTTCGCTTTTCTACACTTAATTAAAACTCCTCTAGTATCCTTTTACATTGGATTGATTGAGAGAATGACGAATTGTTTTCGAAAAAATCAATCAGCGATGAATAGAACAAAGGACGGGAAATTGTAAGGCACTTTGTACACTTCACTGTAATTTACCTTAAAGGTTTTTCTGATTAGTAATACGTACTTGAGCCATAAACCTCTAAACTGATATCGGTGATGTTCAGCGGTATACCCATGTACTGTGGATATGTATCTTCGTACCACACCAGTAGTTCTGATCCCGCAGGAATGTCAGCAAATGCTCTGTAATAAATCTCTTTGTTGTATTGAAAGGCGTAAAGGTTCTGTTCCTCTTTGTGACGAGCACATCTTATAAAACGCATCCAACTGGACGTTGTTTCGTCTCTACCGTCCACATATTGAAGCAGTTTACCATTTTCGTATATCTAAAAAAAGATTGTCAGATTAGGGATTTTAGTCTAATTATTTGTTGCTTCCAGATCGTCTACCAATGCGTCTACCAGATTTTATCTTGACAATATTTATACAATATCGAGCAGACAAGTGACGGGAATAAAGAAAAATATCAATTAGGGGGGTTATCAGTTGATCCAATATCGAATTCTTCGAACTTGCACAATAAGAATTGTACGACAGAAAGAAAGGAGAATTACTAATGACATCTTTGAAGTGAAAGGACACTTGAATGGTACAACAAGACAAGGAGACTGAGGTGCTTTGAGCGTCTCTCAATGGTTCAGATTTATCGCAGACCTCAAAACCCATCTAAAATTAGCCACTGATATTATAATGCAGTTTCACAACAGAAAAATATTTTACATTTAGTTTGAACTGCATTTTCTATGATTGGCTTGAAAAAACTTGTCGGCCAGCTGCTAAAATCAATCACAGAATCGTAAATTGGTCAGTCGCGTGCCCTTTCCCGCATTTTTAAGTACCGACTTTTGTAATTAAATCAAGTTGTCAATCCTAAATGTTGATTGCCAATTTGATTTTAAGCATTGATTTGGTGTTACGAAGGCAAATCAATTATTTAGCCTATTGGAGTAAACGTAAGGTATTAAGTAGGAGTAAAAACCTCTTTACCTCCCACATGTATGAGGTATCTGTGGCGGCCGTGACTTGATTAGGTTTAACAATATTGCCTTGATATGGACCCATCCAAGTTCCTTCTGGAATAACTTGTCTTGTGCGGATTCCCAATTGAGAACCAGTGGTCGATGGACAAAGATCGAGTTCATCCGGACAAGAGGATTTTGCAAACGTCAGTTTTTCGCCATTTTTCTTTTTTGTTGTCATTTTAGAAGATGACACTGAACCTAAATAAAATAAAGTTATAAATTATTTGTGATAAGCAGAACATATAAATGAGTTCTGAAAGAAAAATCAAGGTGTGCACATGTAGAGTACGAAAGATGTTAGATTTTGAGCTTGATCAACGAGCAAAGAAAGTTGTTATTCCTTTCGTCAAGAGCGTGCAACAGAACAATTTTTAAGCACCCCGAGAAGAATCCATCCTTATATCGTGACCTTCATAGAGAGCTCAAATGCTTTCTGTGTCACGCGCTCGAGACGAAACGGAGAACATCTTCCCTTGAAAGTCAGTTTGTTTTTCTCTAGAATGTAAGATGATATGCAACTCTAAAGTACGTTTGGATTAAGAGCAGCCTGATTGAACTCCTGAACTAAAGTGGCGTCAAGTTTGTTGAAAACCTCAGAGGAAACAAAACGTACATAATACTTGGTCCCAGTCTCACAGACCGCGACGATCGGTAAGAAACGATGCTAATTTTGAGCTCAGTTTACAAATAAGCAAAGATGATTTAAAACATACATATCAAATTGAGCTAGGGGAAGAATCAAACATCTGAGTTTCTTTTAAAGAATTAAACACTTTAGTTATCAATATCAGCTCCCTCCATTGATAATCTGCAGTTATATCGATCATATTGTCCGGGTTTTAAGGAAAATACTGCTATACGTGGCTTCAAGGAAAGATAAGACTTGCTGTTACTAGGTAACAGAAATACTAATAGCGCATCCTGAGTTATCAGTGACCAGTTTGAAGAATGCTTTACCTTTTCGCCTCGGTGCACTTGTCACCTTTCCTACAGCTGTTTGGCTGGTTGATTCTTCATTACGTTGATACAAACATTTGTGTAAATTTTCATAAGTGAACGAAAATGGCGCGCAACCCGAGGAAACTGCTGGCTTGACATCATGATGAGGAAACTGCGGAAAACAGGGGCTTGTGTTCGCCATTGCGAACGCTGTAAATACTGTTCTAAACTAAAAAATAAATTTAAAAAAATGTCAGATCAATACTAACGTCATCATCCCAAAAGGCACCAAACTCTGATTTTCATTAAACGTCTTATAACACCTTTTCTCGATATGGAGAGTTTTTCGCGAAGTAACTTCTGCTCGCCGAAAGAAAAAACCTATGACTTTCGTAAGGCAGCTGAACACTTCCGAGCTGGCAACTTTATCCACTCTATTTCAAGAGCCTAATGTAAAGTTCCTTTGCTAATGGATTATAAACGACCCTGCCGGGCTAGATGATACGTGCCAGTTGCCGTATCTCTAATACATATTCATGTTTTTCGAGTTCTGACTCCCTGATTGAATTGTCTCGGGGGTATGAGCCGAGCGTGGAAAGAGAAAGGTGCAGATTCCATTGTCTGCGTCGGAGTAAGTTTAGTCGACAGTCGTTATGTTGTAAACGACAGAAATCTTGCCATCATTCACAAGTGTAACACAGTTTAGAACATTACTGCTTATATTGTTGCAAACTGAGTAGGAAACTGTGTCGAGGTGTTAAGATACGTATTTTTTCAGTTAGTCTTAACGGCCCCTAGTGGTTATTTAATATTCTTGTGTATTTAGGTTAAACGTGTTAAAAAAAATTGAAGCAAGCCTTGAATAATTTGTTTACAAGAAACGATGGCGTTAAAATTGCTTGCTAGCACATTTCTTGGACGGACGTGCTTGCTCTGGAGCCAAGGGCACCGTGTATGGCTGAAATCACGTTAGATTCTCCAATATCGTACATAGATGATCAGATTAGATGTCGATTTAAAGGAGATATTGTTCAAGACCAAAATTTTCACTTAGAACCATTGCGTGTTTACAAGAAAGAATACTAAAACATAGGTGATCTCCTGATGAACAATGAATAAAAACTGTTCATTTATACAGAAAATACTATCGTTATAACATGGTATGTTTGTGTCAAATATGTTAAGCAAACATCCCTCATCGAACTGAATGTACTTCGTAGCTGGTGAACACTTTGAAGCAATATTACTAAATAGTTTAACAATTCAGTATTATCCTCATTTGAAACGTGTATTTTCATGAATGATATTTTCATGCAGTGTCTAGTTACCTACCGTCGTATTCTGTGTGTTGTAAAAGTAGTTCCAGCAGTTTTTCGGGGTTGTAGACTTTCACTGGCGTGATTAAGAAGTTGTTTATATGTTTTTAAGGTCAAAGTCGATTGGCTTCGCGTCGTTTCACCACAAAACAAATCTACATCAGTCACACATCGTGAATTCGTTGTTTTAACTGCCAAGTATTTGTCAAATTGTAGTCCATGCATTGCAAATTAACAATGTGTGAAGAGCTACGTTATGCTTCACAGGAAGCTCACGCTATCAGTTGCCATGGTAAAATGCTTAAGTTTCAACATGAAAACTCCTAACTTTTTAAGGGAACTTAAATATCAGCTACAAAATTTTTGCCAGAGTAAACTTACGATTTTTGGCGTTTTTTTCCAGCAGATTCGCAAGGTTGGTTCCGGCAAGACGAAACGAAAACAATAGCAAAATTATAAATGACGTATTTAGTCTTGCCCAGAAGGGTTGGAACAGACGGACGGAAGTCAATGACAGTTTAACACAATACACATCAATGTCCCATGGCTACCTCAGCTACTTCAATAAAACGTGCATTATTTCCCCCGGTTTTTTTTCCCACGCAATTACTGAATTCCGCCAAAAACACGTTTCATCAGAAACTGATTGCGTTTTTCAAAAAACTGAATAAAACCGATGAGCCTAGTTCTTGCGTGTGAATGGGGATGACTTTGAGAGAAAACCAAAAAAAAAAAGATTAATGTAAACTCATTTGCCACAGTCCTGATACATGCTGTTAAAAATTCACTCATCTTGTGGTTTGTCAAAAATGCAGAATA